AAAGTAAGAAAACGGTATAACATATCACAACGCCAACAAAACAAATCACGTGACACAACAATAGCATTCCAGCTAGCCTGGGTGGATTTACATACGGGGTCGGGTTAAGAATGAGGGATCTTTCACAAGAAATTTACAATAAAGTAGAGCAAAAATTTAAATGTTTGTACTTGTCTAAATTCAAAAACCATATTTTTCATAATAATATTTTACCGTTTTTTGTCTATCAAGAGAAATAAAGGAGTCAAATAGTCCCTATGTACTTCCTTGTTGGTTATTTTATATTCAGTGTATTTTGTTTAAAAAGAATGACTTTAAAATCAAATACGAATAATTCAACTACAGAATGACTTAAAATTAAACGTGAACATGCATATATACTCGAAAAGTTGTTGAAGCAATCTTTATCTCACAAACACATTTTACAAGTAAAAGGTGAAGATCTCAGACGGTGATCTATCTCAAAAATCCATAAACAATACATTATATGATGTATGTCAGGGGACAAAAGACGGACCCCTAGAAATTCCAGAGGTGGAATCTATGAGATGCTGTTTTGGTATTTACTGGCAAAACGTGATATCAATTGTAAAATGTTTCGAATACGATATCACATGTTGGAAAGCAATCTTTATCTCACAAACACACATTTTAAAATTTGAATTTCTTACAACATTAAATAATGAATGCTCCCTATTATATACAGATAACCACTGGAACCAAGAAAATTCGGTCTACCCAGTTTCATGCATTTTTCCAATTTTTCTTAAAGTTTACATAGTAGATAAGTGAAATAAATTAATTTGTGAGCAAAACAAACTATAATTTCTATTGGGGTTGATTATAATTAAATGCAAAACAATACAATTATGTGAAAGTGAAAGTAATTAAGATATAGGGACCTATAGTCTTGGGAGCTGTTGTTATTTCATAAATAATTTGAATAGGTGATATCACCTATTCGAGTAAGTGATATCACCTATTCGTGGTGAATAGGTGACATTACCTAGCTATTCAAAAAAGTGATATCACCTATTCAAATAGGTGATATCACCTATTCGAATAGGTGATATCACCTATTCAATTTGAATAGGTGATATCACTTATTCGAATAGGTGATATCACCAATTCGGCACGAATAGGTGATATCACTTTTTGGCAATTAATACCAAAACAACGCCCCATAGGAATCAGGTGTCTAGAAGGAGTAAACATCCGCTATTGACCGAACACACCTTCTGTCATGATTTAATGTATTCTTTTTCTCTGGTAATTCATTTGGAATATTGTAAAAGAAATCCTTAGATTGAATGAGAGAATTTTTCACTCATATGAAGACGCCACCATTTGCCGATGGAGAGCTGCAAATTTTGTCCTATACTCGCCAATCAGGGCCATTGAGCAGAAAGGGATGGGTTTTTTTTCGTGCCCGCACCTACTGCAACACGGGGCCCTGGTTTATGCGGTATCATCCGAAGGACCGGTCTCCACGTCCCACAGTGGGACTCGAACCCGCGACGTAAAGATCAACTCCTCGCTTCGCGATTCTAGAGCAGAGGCTCTAACCACTGCGCCATACGGGCAACTCCTGAAGTATTCCTGATAGTGTAAAAAGTCAATGTAATGAGACAAGTCACTATCCATGGATTTTTTTTCTGAATGGACTTACAAGAGACGGCTTATCATTATTTCGAAGGAATGAACAACCTACCATAGCCTTCGCTTTAATATGGTGTTTCGATTTTTTTTAAATACATGTAAATCAAACGTCAAAGTCAAGATAACCAAAAAGGCAATGAATTCAAGAATACACAGGTAAAGTGTGAAAGTCCTAGCCCACAATTTAGAGTGAGCAAGTTTGAAGTTTTTCATAAGTAAGTAATGCTTAAAGAAAGAACTCCTCCGGTCAATAATGTTTGTACCAGTAAAAAGGACTTGTCACAAAGAATACCAACCATTCAAGTTATAGGCAAAGTTAAAGTTCCTCATGTGTTACTAGCTCAAAGTTAACTCAAAGATCAAGGTCATGATGTCAATAATGTTGATACTTGTCACAAGGAATACACATGTCAAAAAAAAAATTATGGCCAGATTTCAAGTTTTTCGAAGTAGGTATATGTAAAACTTCCAAGGTCGAGGCTGTTTCTTCGGTTGAGACCGTATAAACCGAGGTCCCCTGTCGCAGTAGGTGCTGGCACGAAAAAGATCCCTCACTGCTCAATGACCTTCAGTGCCAAGTCTAGGAAAAAATTTGTAGCTCTCCACCGGCAAGTGGTGGCGTCTCAATATGAATGAAAAATTCTCGACAGGGACAATAAACAACTTACAATCAATCAAAGGTCGAGGTCAGAAGGTCAAAAATATTGATATGCCTAGTAGAAAGGCCTGGTCACATTGAATCAAGCGAAATATAAAAGCCCTAGCGCAAGCCAATCCAAAGTTTATGACCAAAGTTTACAGTTTGGTTAAATTTTTCAATAGAATTAAATGTTAGGTCAATCTTCAAGGTCGAAGGCAAGAGGTTCAATATCTTAGTACCTAAAGGGAGGTTTTGTACAAGGAACACATTTGTGAAATATGAAAGCTCTGACGTCCATTATTCCAAAATTATGATCAAGGTTCAAGTTTTGCAGACAAACAGGTTATTAGACAAATGGGAAGGACCACCAAAAAGTATATGCTCCCGGATCTTCATTTTTATTGGGCAAAAAAAAAATTAGCAGATCTTTCTGTGCTTAATCCGCATGGCGCAATGTTTGGAATATCTGCTCTAGAGTCGCAGAGTAAGAAGTTGATCCTTGAGTCGCGGTTTCAAATCCCACCGAGACAGGTCTTTCGGATGAGACCGTATAAACCGAGATCCCATGCCATAGTAGGTGTTGGCGCGATAAAGGTCCCTCCCTGCTTAATGACCCTGAGTGTCGAGGATAGGACAAAATTTGCAACTCGCCACCGGCAAGTGGTGGCGTCTCCATCTTCAAGTGAAAAATTCTCGAGAGGGACATTAAAAGTCTAATCTGTTTCAAATGCGTGTTGGAGCGTCTTATAGAATTAGGGAAGGAGGATGATAATTTTTTTTCTGATTCTATGTAAACTCATTTCTCCTAAATTGATACATTTTTATAAATGATCGCCTTTCTACCTCCTTCTACTTTTTGGTATACTTTTGGTGACCCTCTCATATACTCACCATTATACGGGCCATGGTTTGTTTTTGTTCGTTGTTGTTTAACGTCCCTCCCGAGAATTTTTCACTCATATGAAGACGCCACCATTTATCGATGGATGACTAAAAATTTGTCCTATACACGGCACTTACGGCAATTGAGCAGTGAGGGATCTTTTTTGTGCCAGCATCTACTTCAACACGGGAACTGGGTTTAAATACGGTCTCGTCCTTCTTGTTTGTTTTCAATCAAAAGTACAGTTTTATGAGCAATTCTACACATGTTTTGTGTTTTCATTTATATGCGACTTCTGTTTTTAAAAATATCGGAGGTCAAAACTGTATTGTCAAAATTTGAAACATCTTTCAGATTGCAACGTAACACTCCACGTACACAAAAACGTTCGAGAGTAAAAATGTCGCAAAGACGAAAGGGCGACAAGCAATAATAAAAAATTGCTTCTTGCATTCGTACTTCGACCTAAAAGTGAAGGTATAAGTGGCTTAATTAATCGGAACCTAAAACATTTTTGACAACTCTCTAAAAAATGGAATTTACTCATCCATTCATTGACCTGTTAAAAAGTTAATTAAAAGGTGCATACGTACACAAAGTATATTCCAAGCTAATATATTTCTGTTTTTAATCACGAAAATAAGTTTACATCTTCAAAATTTTACTTATCACCATCAAGTCTGACAAAATCACACATTCACATATTTACCACATTTTGATATTCTTTAACTAACACCAAATACGAAATTGCCCTGTAATAAAAATCACACAGTGCGAGTAATACATGTTTCAGGTCAGAGTTTCGTGTTGTTTTTTTTTAAAGTAACTCTAAGATACCTCATTTGAGTTTTGTGTACATATGTACAAGTGTTTCTGATGTTGATGGCGCTAAATTCTTTTCTTGTGTAATTTTTATCAAATCTCTCTTTTTGACGACAATCACTTATTTTAAGTCAGCTCGTCAAAATCAGGCTGTGGTTTAAAGAAAGCACTTCATAATGAGAGAAAAAATAATTTAAATAAATGTACAAATTGACACAAAGGAAGGCACACAAAGGTCCCCGCTGCGTCAAGTTATTTGATATCATTAAAATGAAGGAAAGTTCAAGTGATCGTAAATAAAATTCTATAGTTACGTACTATAAGTACCATAAAATGGTAAAATATTCACATTAAGTAAAATCAAAAGGTGTGTAACGGCTTATAATGAGATGACATAAGATTGAGTTTCGTTTTTAATTTGGCCGCTATCTGGGTTGCTTTTTGGTATCACATTGCTGTCACTTTATTCTCCGACAATGAACATTTAATACATCCAAACAACTTTGAAATCATTTTTTGCACTTCTTTGTGATTTTATCAAAACTTTATCGACATTTTTCACGTGCCATTGAATACCTCTGCTAATTATTTTCGGCAGGGTCACGGTTTACCCTTCCCCTCCTAACGATGCTTCACATTACAACAAAAGTTTAACAAAAATTCAGGTAACAATGGCTCCGGGTCGTTGTCAAGTCTAGCGCTATTCTGTAACAAACTGACTATGTTTAACAGGCAATATACATGTGATCTTTGTTCAAAAATTTTATCTCAAATTTTAAAAATCGACATTAAAATATAATTAGAAGTCAATATTTCTGTAGATACTTGCCATATCTTATGTAAGGTTTCTGTAGTGAAGTATGTTCATCTCTGGATCGTCTAAGATCAGAAATGGCACACTTCTTTCAAAGGAAGGATGAGAATTAAGTTTGAAAAATTTTGGTTATAAATACACCCACTTTAGTAGAGACAAATTAAATAAAACATATTGCCTATTTGCAGACTTTATTTAATTAGTTATCTACAAAATTTACAACACTGTAAGTTTACGGAAAATATAAAAGTCATCCACCATTTGTATTTTTTTTATGAGACATATAAAATTCATTTCAGCTTCATGGGTGTTACTTCAGTAAAAGAAATACACATAAAACATGTTTCATTGAAAAATAAATTTAAAATCTGTCCAGTATAATTGAATTCTGCTTTTTCACAAATTGCATATGGGTACAAAATCTGACACTGTTGATATATTTGCTTCATGATGAAAAGAGGAATAACTCCTTCATTTGTTGCAACAAGCTTTCTGAACTTCAACATAAGTATAAACCCCCTTAAACAGCAATGTGTAAAGGGTATCTATATAATCATATTCCATAAAGTATGAACAGAATTTCTAAATCATATTTTATATTATATTTAATTTTTTTTATAAGAGGTATTTTCTTAATGCTAAAAATTAGTTTTTAAAATATTAATGTTATCTGTTGCTTTGAATCCTTCATTTTTTGTGCTGTTTCTTCTTCTTTCTTTTCTTTTTCCTTTCTCTTTCAGAATCAGGACTGTCAGATGATGATGATGATGATGAAGATGAATCTGATGATGACGAGTCACTGTCAGATGACGACGATGATGAGGAAGATGATGATGATGAGCTGGAATCATCGTCTGAGGAGTCAGAGCTGGATTCACTAGAGGAGGAGGAGGAACTGACCGACCTGTCAAATACAATAATGGTTGTTATCATTTTAAGTTTTCTTTTTAATGAAACTGCATCGTTAGCATTTTCTTCTTCTTCTTCCTTTTATAGAGTGTACTCAAAGTGAGTGTCAATACTCAAGTATATACATAAAATAACAAAAAAATTCAACTGACAAATAAGAATAAAATGTACATAAACTGAGGGTCTAAATCTCTGAGTCATATAAGTTCTTAGTTTTGCAACCGAAGCACAACATACACCATTCTTTACACTAATTTATATAGAGTAAGATTGTTCTCTAGGAAATATCAAGAAGTACAATGTACCTTCTTCTTTTCTTCTTTTTTGAATCCTTCTTTTTCTGTTGTATGGATGTGCAAATGTTCCTGTTAACAAAATAGCACATTACAATTACATGTTGTCACAAACTTAACTAACAGCTATTACATAGACCTTATATGAGGTTGATCCATGAATATGACAGCTCATATTAAAGTCAAAGAGTCATGTGTTGATGGCTTGATGCAAATATATTTACCAGGACTGAGGTACATGTATTCAATTAAACACTTTCAGGTTTTAAAGAAATTTTTCCCGTATATGAGGTTTTTCCTTTTTTCTGAATTTCCTACAAATAATTACTTTTATACTAACCTTAGTGCATCAAAATTTACAATAACTTAATTGCATCAGAACTTACAATATATTTAGTAAATCAGAACTTACAATAACTTAATTGCAACTGAACTTTAGTGCATCAGAACTTACAATAACTTAAGTGCAATTGAACTTACAATATCTTTAGCGCATCTGAACTTACAATAAAGAAGTACATAACTTACAATAACTCTGCCTGCTTTTTTTCTTCATCCATCTTCAATCGTTTAGCCATTTCCTTTGATCGAGACACTCTGTGAACATATTTCCGTTTTCCTGTACACTCGAACGTGAAGTGACCTTTCTGTAGACATTTCTGGCAGGTAAAATTCTCCGCACTGGGCTGCCTAAAAGAAAATCCATCATATACAATGTACATTTTGTAGACACAGCATCATATCGCAATAGGGTATAGAAACTAACTTCTCATCATAAACATGGTACAGTGTAAATATTGATCTAGAAGAGCCACAAGATTAATGACAAGCCCTAAATTAAATGAATAGATCAATAACTATTTTCACTTAAATGGATGGATCAATTGATATTCAACCATTTTGCCCTTTAGGGTACCTATCACTAAAATAACATTTCTTCTTCAGTGAAATTTAAGTCCATCATCTTGTGCAATTTAAAACTTATGTGTGATGAAAGAAAACTTTTTACAGGACCTAGTGCAGATTCAGTTTATGAGAGATACATGTATTGCATTTTGTGTTCTTTTTCTTTTGGTTTTGAAAACTGACATTTGAATGATTTTTTTTCATCATATAATATTAATATCAAATCCATAAAGTGTAAATCAGTTTTACTGAAGAAAATTTTTGTGCTATCAAGTGACACTACCCGGTCTCAAAAATTTTATTGTCATGTATATTTGTATCCCTAAAGATTATATACAACATTAACCAAACTATTAAAAAAAATTCTACCACTTAAAAATGTGTTTCAAAATTTAAGTGACCTACAGTATATTGACTAAATTACTTACTTAGATACTTAAAAAAAAAAAAAGATATAAAGAACCACCTGTATGGCATAATGGGACTTATTTATATTTTTTTTAATAATTTGATCGTTCACAATTTTATCAACTATAAAAATGATCTCTCTCTTAAAAATATCTTATATCTACCTTGTTAAAAAGAGTTTCAATATTTTAGTGATCCACACTGTACATTTTCTATCTTTTTTTAAAGAACCTCCTGTGTGGGACTTGTTTTTGAGAATAATTTGATTGTTCACAATATTTCATTGAAGGTATTTTGTATTAGATTGTAAGTTTTGCCCAAAGTAATTGTGTTCAACTTCACAAATTTCATAACAATTAACCATTGCTTAACCAGTTACCACCTAGATGAACATATCCACATTGACAACATGATTTTTTTTTTTTGGTGTTCACAGTTTGCAGCAAAACTAATTATAACTAGAGCAAAGCTCGTTGCAAAGCAACGAGTGGGTCTTCCTTCCTAGCGATAAGCAAAAGATTCAATGTTTCTGTCTAGATTGTCAACTTTGCTAACATTCTCTTTTTCGATTTGTCTCAAAAACCCTTACTTGAATTCTTTAATTTGGTGTGAGCATGAGGTCTAAAGGGTACTCTCTCTAACAGCATTCTTGAAATCGTATCCACAACAGTTTAACTTCCAATTTTATGACTTTTGATATCGGATATATCATGTTTGTTGCAATTATGTTTGTGAAACGTGTCATACTACAGAAACATAAGTGTTTTGCTACATTACCATCTTAAAAATGGCTTTAAAATCATTTAATATACAATATAACTAGGTAAATAAAATAAACAAATTATATAATAATTCAAAAAATCCAAATGTATTTACAATAATGATGAACAATCTTCATTAGTTGCAATCAGTAAGTAGAACAATACTTTTATAATAAACGCACAGAAATGTGTTGTGTATGTTTCGAATTTGAAGCTTTCCACTAGCAACTGGTGGTACCTCAATAGGAGTGTAAAATTCTCTGAAAGGTATATTATGAACATTTTACATATGTCTGTGTATTCTTTTTTAGCGGCTTTGGCGGAATGCAGCAATCACTAAATCAAGTACAAAGCTAAAAGTCTTGTACATAAACATAAATAAGAATATCTAGGCTAACTTATTCAAAAGTCAATTTCCACCAAATATTGTACAAGCTAAATATAATACATTTACAGCATTAAAGAAACAAATCTCTTTGAAGGTATTGCCCTGCATAAGAACAATTTGAATCCCCTACACTAAGGATGCTCTGTGCCAATTTTCACTTTGGTTCTGGAAAATGATATTGTGAAATTTTAGACAATGATGATAATGGATAAAATTATGTTTTTAAAAAATTTACTGGTTCCTTTAGCTCAGATGGGCTAATAAGTATGCAACAGGCACAGTTTTGGAGTTGACATTGAAATGCGACTGGACATATCTTCAATCTTGTTTTAGAAAACTACATGTACATGCCCTATGTACTGAATTCCTTGGAATCATACACATGTTTATGCCTTTAATTAGTTGTATGTGCCAAAACAACAATTTTTTTTTTACATTATACTGTAAAAAATACACATACATGTATTACAAGATCTTATATTCCTGCTGAAGACAGAGGATCTATCTTAATCATTAGAATAAGTAAGTCTAAACTTTGAAAGGGAAGACCTTAATAAAGAGGTCAACATGCTACACAAACAAAATATTATTATATTTAGAAATAACATTTATTCCAATGTAATTACTGGTACATGTATTTCTGTTACAAGAACTATTTCACTTGAAAAAAACTGAGAGCAATTGATATGTTCATATTTGTGGATTTATGTTGTCAAATCAAAATTTAAAAATGATACACAGTGTGTTTAAAAATTGTCTTCACAAACCAAAACTTGACTTATTTTCACTATGCTGTTTATTCCATGTCACATCCAAACAGATGATCTTCTGGCAAATCATGGTCATGCTTGGTATCAAAATTCAGTATTCAGATGAGTTACACCTATCCAAAAGAAATTGAAATTTTTTAATTTATAATTCTTTTACTAATAAAAAGTGCAATTCATGAGATTATAAATTAGATTATCAAATTGAGAGATAAGATATTGTCACATTTTCTGTGTATAATTTGTAAATTTTAATGTACTCTTTCATCAATTAAAAGAAGTTTACACCAATTAAGGCAGTCATTTATGCTATCCCCTAATAAGACAACATACAAGTGCAAAGTAATCATGCACTAGTGGGTTTAGGATAATGTGCTAGAGTATTTATGACAACATACTAGCACGAGGTGACAATGTGCTAGCATGTACGTCAGTGATAATATGCCAGCACACTGAATCCAGCATGCAGTGAAGCTAACACTCAACAGATTGTTTAGAGTTGTGTTTGCATGATATTTTGTTTTGTGTAAACACAGCAGCATGTTGTTTAAAGCTGCATTGGAGTGGCAGTCTGTTGAAATTAACATGCTAACACACTGCAACTTCACATCATTGGAACACCATAATTTTAAAACTGGCAAACTAATATCTTATGATTACTAACTAGGTAATTGCAACTGTAAATGCTGATTTCATGGTAACAATAATACCGGTAATTCACTGTATATCTGAGAACTGATCAATTATAATAAGGCGTGTCCAGATAGGGCCACTTGCTAAAGCTCAATAGCACTTTCATAAAAGCGTGCCATCTTACCGACACAAAAGACGCCATTAGGCTATCACACAGCTCGCCATCACAACACTGAAAAACACTTTCGCACTAACACAAGTTCGCACCACACGCTGTCACACTAACACACAACACACTGTCACGCTAATACAATTTCACACAACAAAATATCAGGCTAACACGATTTCACACAACACACTATCATGCTAACACAAATTCACAAACACGCTGTCTCACTAACACAAGTTCACACAACACGCTGTCTTGCTAACACAAGTTTTACACAACACGTAGTCTCGCTAATATGAGTTCATACAACACACTGTCTAGCTAACACAAGTACACGCAACACACTGTCACGCTTAGATGAATTCACACAACACACTGTCACGCTAACATGAGTTTACACAACACGCAGTCTCACTAACACGAGTTTACACAATACACTGTCACGCTAACACGAGTTTACACAATACACTGTCACGCTAACACAAAGTCACAAAACAGGCTGTCTCACTATTCACTAACACAAGTTCGCACCAAATGCTGTTGCGATAACACACTGTCATCCTAATACCATTTCACACAACACACTGTCATTCTAATACCATTTCACACAACACACTGTCAGGCTAACACGAGTTCACACAACACACTGTCACACTAACACGAATTCACAAAACAGGCTGTCTCACTATTCACTAACACAAGTTCGCACCAAACACTGTTGCGATAACACACTGTCATCCTAATACCATTTCACACAACACACTGTCATCCTAATACCATTTCACACAACACACTGTCAGGCTAACACGAGTTCACACAACACACTGTCACGCTAACACAAATTCAAAAAACATGCAATATCGCTAACACGAGTTCACATAACACGCAGTCTGGCTAACACAAGTTCACACAATATGCAATCTCGCTAACACGAGTTCACACAACACACTATCATGCTAACACAAATTCACAAACACGCTGTCTCACTAACACAAGTTCACACAACACGCTGTCTTGCTAACACAAGTTTTACACAACACGCAGTCTCGCTAATACGAGTTCATACAACACACTGTCTAGCTAACACAAGTACACGCAACACACTGTCACGCTTAGATGAATTCACACAACACACTGTCACGCTAACATGAGTTTACACAACACGCAGTCTCACTAACACGAGTTTACACAATACACTGTCACGCTAACACGAGTTTACACAATACACTGTCACGCTAACACAAAGTCACAAAACAGGCTGTCTCACTATTCACTAACACAAGTTCGCACCAAATGCTGTTGCGATAACACACTGTCATCCTAATACCATTTCACAGAACACACTGTCATTCTAATACCATTTCACACAACACACTATCAGGCTAACACGAGTTAACACAACACACTGTCACACTAACATGAATTCACAAAACAGGCTGTCTCACTATTCACTAACACAAGTTCGCACCAAACACTGTTGCGATAACACACTGTCATCCTAATACCATTTCACACAACACACTGTCATCCTAATACCATTTCACACAACACACTGTCAGGCTAACACGAGTTCACACAACACACTGTCACGCTAACACAAATTCAAAAAACATGCAATATCGCTAACACGAGTTCACATAACACGCAGTCTGGCTAACACGAGTTCACACAATATGCAATCTCGCTAACACGAGTTCACACAACACACTATCATGCTAACACAAATTCACAAACACGCTGTCTCACTAACACAAGTTCACACAACACGCTGTCTTGCTAACACAAGTTTTACACAACACGCAGTCTCGCTAATACGAGTTCATACAACACACTGTCTAGCTAACACAAGTACACGCAACACACTGTCACGCTTAGATGAATTCACACAACACACTGTCACGCTAACATGAGTTTACACAACACGCAGTCTCACTAACACGAGTTTACACAATACACTGTCACGCTAACACGAGTTTACACAATACACTGTCACGCTAACACAAAGTCACAAAACAGGCTGTCTCACTATTCACTAACACAAGTTCGCACCAAATGCTGTTGCGATAACACACTGTCATCCTAATACCATTTCACACAACACACTGTCATTCTAATACCATTTCACACAACACACTGTCAGGCTAACACGAGTTCACACAACACACTGTCACGCTAACACGAATTCTCAAAACAGGCTGTCTCACTATTCACTAACACAAGTTCGCACCAAACGCTGTTGCGATAACACACTGTCATCCTAATACCATTTCACACAACACACTGTCATCCTAATGCCATTTCACACAACACACTGTCAGGCTAACACGAGTTCACACAACACACTGTCACGCTAACACAAATTCAAAAAACATGCAATATCGCTAACACGAGTTCACATAACACGCAGTCTGGCTAACACGAGTTCACACAATATGCAATCTTGCTAACACGAGTTCACACAACACACTATCTCTCTAACACCAGTTCACACGACAAATTTTCAGGATAACAAGTTCACACAACACACTGTCACGCTAACACGAATTCACACAACATGATGTCTCGTTAATAAGAATACGCACAACACGCTGTCTCGCTAACATGAGTTTACACAACACGCAGTCTCGCTAACACGAGTTTACACAACACGCAGTCTCACTAACACCAGTTTACACAACACGAAGTCTCGCTAATACGAGTTCAATCAACACTCTGTCTAGCTAACACGAGTTTACACAACACACTGTCACATTTACACTTTATACACGATTTTACACAACACGCTGTCCCGCTAACACGAGTTTACGCAATACATTGTCAAGCTAACAAGAATTCACACAACCCACTGTCAAGCTAACACAATTAAGTTCACAAAACACACTGCCTTGCTAACACAAATTCATACAACACACTGTCTCGCTAACACAAGTTCACACAACACACTCACATTGCTGAGTTTAAAGTAAAGGTCTACCCTAATTTGAAGAGGTTTAAAACTAACATATCTCTATATTAGTAAAAAGCTTCAAATTTAAGACAAAAACATTTATGCAGTAATGTTCCTTAACATGCATCTGGCATATAAAATGAATGAGACCTTAAAAACCTCACAGTACATGTTTACTTAGCTAATTAAAGGTCTAAATTGATGCTATTCAACAATATATATCAACGTTAACATCTCTAAGTATGTGAATGAGTGAAATTCTCAAATAAATATTATAAATCAAAGTATCAATAAGAAGCTGAACCTTACGTCGCAGGTTCCAATTTCATTTGCTAAATGCTTTAGACAGGTTACTCCTATGAGACTGCATAAACCAAGATTCTGTGTCACGGTAGGTGTTAGCACAAAATGGATCTCATACTTCTTAAAGGCAATAAGTGCTGAGTACAAGTCTATATTTGCAGCTAATACCATCCCAAGTGGTGGCACCATGAAATGACTGAAAAATGTATGATTAAGGCAAATAAACAAACATTAAACCATTACAGCAGTCTTATCAAACAAAAAAAGCAAACTTTCTATTATCACAATTTTTTAAAACAAATTTCTTTTGCAATTTTTGTCCTTTTTTGTCAGTAAAGTATGATATTAAATAATTAAGACTTTTTGAGAACATCTATTTATAGCGAGTCCAGACAGCAGCACAAATCCCTGCCCATAATGCGAGCTCTTATGATAACACCTTGGCAAAAGAAGATTGTGACTTGCACATTGCTCCACACAATTTTTCCGCAGTATACTTTGGACACACAGTGCTTAGCTTCTTTAACATGTTTAAGCTACATTCAAAATTCATTTCTATTTAATTTGAATTAGCTATCCTTACTCATGTTCACATGGAGCTAATGGGAAGTAATTTAACGAGCAGTGAATTCATTCGAATTAAACATTTGAATAAACTCTCAGTGTGAACATTGAGCATGGATGCACCAAATGTCAAATGCGGCTTGACAAGCACAATCTAAATTAAAACTAAATAAGTATCTGCCCTCACCCTTACAGTCACACTGTCAATATATAATTAAATGGAACACTTCTAGTATACCGGTCCCCATAAATATGGCGCTAAAATAGGTGCCGCCGAAGGCGGTATACAATATATAGACGATCGCGTGAGCGATCGACAAAATCGAAAAAGAAACCACAAATTGCAAATTTGACCCAAAATTCGTGTTCCTTGTGAAAAATTGGGTTTAAAAAACTGGTTTTTAAACACAGTTTTTTAAATGAGAATTAAAAGATTTTGTAAAATAACGTACATGTTTAGGAAGTATATCTCCATCTTGCGTTGTTTAGGAATGTAGTCACATGATCAATTTTTGACGTAATCTCATAAATATTCATGAGATGCGTCACTTGTGTTTTGACGTAATGAAGAAATGCCTGATAGGACTCAAAGTGCAATGCTATTAAAATTGCGTGATTTTTGTGAGAAATACAGGGATTTAACAAATGTTAGCTAATTACTAGTCATCGATGGATTGAATTGTGCATCATTATCGATTTGAAAAGATAAAATTTATGAATAAGGGGCCTATTTGGACATGATTAGGAGGTCAGGATACAGAGCTGCAGTTAACGGTAAGTCGCTTTTACAATATTATAACTTGCCTAAACTCAGCGCTAAAATCGTCATGTTTCAAAAATTGAGTTGATTTACCCGAACTTTCATTTCTTAATCTTTCCTTTGTAAAGCAAAAATTTCATGAACTAAGCCAAAGTGTAAGATATCGGCACAATTCGACAGACTGATACATGCAAGTTTCTTATCACAAAAGGCACATGCGCACACATAGTGGCTTTTGTAAGCAAAAATTACATAAATAAGCCCTAAGTCAGAATTAAAGAATACAGAGTGGATTTATTAAAAAAGACAATAAAAAAAAATAAACAACCTAACCCTAATCACTCGATCGGATGCGTTTTGTTGAAGCGAGTGGGAAATTGCGGTTTGTTTACATTCTGCATAGCAACGGCAAGGGAAATAACTGCTCATGCGCAATCGCGTGATTCTGGGGACCGGCATACTAGAAACTTCCCAATTAGTTGAATATATTCTGTAACAGTAGGTGCAGTTTGAATTATAGAGTATGATCACTATGATAGATAGTAGGACTGTTGAAATTACATCCTCAATTTGAGGATGTAATTTCAACAGTCCTACTGGCTCAAATTTAAAAAAAAAATAAAATATAAAGCTGTGGGGATTTACAAGGCAAACAGACAGCTTCTGAACTGTAAAACAGATAATATATAAGTGTGTCTGTGTATTTCTAATAACATCAATGTACATCACTGTCATGTAATCAGTAGTGTAAATTTTAAGTAATAAAAATATTCTAACCTTCATTCCAATGGTCCAAGCCAATCATACATTAAAATGTCGCCGTCAGCTCTTTCCACAGGCACCTGAAGTATGGATAATACCCCCCCCTTTTTTTTTAATGAAAAAAAAATTTAAGAGTGTATAATACCTCAAAAATATAAAATTTCCCCGTCAAACACATCTATATGTCGTTATATGCAAGCAGATTGTACTTTTTCTCACGTTTAAAGAATGGCCCTATTCGGTATAATAAAAATACACAAGGTAAGAAACAAAAGTTGTAAACAAACGGGGGTTCCCCACTTCGAGACAAGATTTCCAAGGTAATAACAGTGTTACCTATCATAATTTTGCAAACATTTTGTCTGGGAGATGTTCTTTTACTAGTCTCTTAAAACTAAACCCCGCCATTGATGGTTAATATGCCGTAATCATACGATTTATTAATCGGATACATAAAATTTTCTCCATTGGCAGCGTTGGAGGAGGTTTTGGAGCTGCTTTTCTGTTTCGCCTTATCTGATTGGTTAGATATTTAAACTCTATTAGAATTAACCAATCAGATAAGGCGAAACAGAAAAGCAGCTCCAAAACCTCCTCCAACGCTGCCAATGGAGAATATTTTATGTATCCGATTAATAAATCGTATGATTACGGCATATTAACCATCAATGGCGGGGTTTAGTTTTAAGAGACTAGTAAAAGAACATCTCCCAGACAAAATGTTTGCAAAATTATGATAGGTAACACTGTTATTACCTTGGAAATCTTGTCTCGAAGTGGGGAACCCCCGTTTGTTTACAACTTTTGTTTCTTACCTTGTGTATTTTTATTATACCGAATAGGGCCATTCTTTAAACGTGAGAAAAAGTACAATCTGCTTGCATATAACGACATATAGATGTGTTTGACGGGGAAATTTTATATTTTTGAGGTATTATACACTCTTAAATTTTTTTTTCATTAAAAAAAAAAAAGGGGGGGGTATTATCCATACTTCAGGTGCCTGTGCTCTTTCATCACTCGATACAATTATCCACTGGGGAATCCGGAGCAGAGTCAAGAGTGTTCATCCTTGTTAATGTGACAGTCAGAATTTCCTCGTAAACAATTCACACAAGATTCTTAGAATATATGAATCGGGATAATTCTGCTTAATAGAATAATGTTCCAGAGAAGTGACAAAGTACTTCGTAGCTCCAGATTAAATGAGTGTGCATGTCTACAAACGGATTCTTTGTGAGAAAATGTTCAACTTCACAAATCATTCTATTTTCAGTTTGTAAACCATGACAAACATGTGTCCGACGTCGACTCGAAGGGGCACACTAAAAACGGGATATACTAGAGACCTGATATTTACCTGACGTTTTAATTTTAATTAAATGGTAATATTGAGTATTTTAAATTACTTATGTACAGACTTTATGACTTCGAGGCATATGCTATACAAAAATTCAACTGTTTGGAACATTTACAGACAAATTTGAATCAGGTCAAATCAGTGTTTAGTACATCGCGTCTTTAGTACCTTCCTATTTCCCACAATGCCGCGCGTTGTTTACAAACAAGCGCGAAAAAATCCTCTAAACTAGGTACTAATTATTGTTGTGTACATTATCACATTTTAAAATCATTTGAATAAAAAGAAAACAAAGAAACACCGAATCAAAACTATATCTTTTAGATGCATCAACTAAAAATGTGCACATGTATGCAGTAAAGGCTTGGCTGGATATAGTAGACAACTTGTTCCTGAAAGGTTTCTCACATACATGTACTTGTTTTATATAAAAAACAATTAAATATAGCTGGAAGCTTATTTCTTTTTATATCAAATGACAAGATTTTATAAGTTCGAAATTATTTCAGTCAAACTTTTTCATAATATACCAATATTTTAAGCTATCAGAAAAAACGTGTATGAGCTATTAACCCCTAATTATAGGGGCCAGCCCCTTTTCATTAATCTAATATGAAAGCTCTCGTAATTACACACAACTTTTGTTCTATATTTCTTACCAAATTATTCTCGGTTCAAAAGTTATTACACAAAAAGTAGCAAAAATTCAAGAAAAAAAATTACTAAAATTTGCCGTTTTATAGCTTCCAAACTTTAGGAAATCAGCTTATAATTTTATCGTTCTGCACATCTACAATGTATTGGCTACAAGTTCTCCAACTTTCGTGTAAATATCTTACGTCGTTCTTGAGATTTTTAGTGGAAACGAGACATCAAAATTATCAATTAAAGGGCAATAACTCACGATTAAAGGCATGCATCAAAAAATTGAAAACAGGTGTAAATAGGTTTAATTACAAGGTATCTAACCTGAAAGTTTCATAAAAATCAGTCCAAAGGTCTTTGAGAAATCGCCTGTCAAAAATCGAGCGGGAAAAAAAAATAAAATAATACTAAGAAACAGTAGAATAACAGTAGGGTCTTCCGAAGGAAGCGGAAGACCCTAATTAACATATTTGTTTTCTTTCAAATCTTTTTCACTGTTCCTTACCTATAACACAATTTCTAGAATCTATTTGCGTCATTTTAATAAAGTCTCGAAGTAAAGAATGACCTACAGACAGGATTTAATAATAGAATTCTTGATAATGTACCAAACTAAATTAATCAGGGGCAGATAATTATAATCTACACCTTCAATATTAACAATCCAGAGAGTTCACATGGTGTGAAAATTGAAAGGAAGATAAAAGGCATTGAGAAGTGAGTTGAATTTTTATACTGATTAATTTCAGTGAAGATGGCATATAAAAGCTCAAAAAGATTTGTTATAATTAATTTGATTTTTTTTTCAGTGTAATTCCATAAAGTATTCTTCAATATCTATTTTGCTTTAATCCACCCTGATGTGCCACATTGAACAAAATGGGAGATATTGTATTGTGGTATGGTCTTGTTCCAAGCCACAGTTATATTTTTTTCTATCTTAGTATCTAACCCTTATCACTGTGTTGTTTAAAATGACACATGACACAAAGTGTATACAAATGTCAAAGTGTATACAAACAGGTTGGGCACAGCCTACCAAATGGTACTTAATCCCCCGTTTGGTAGATAATCTACCATATCGGTAACGAATTTTACTAACCAAATGGGGGACAAAATTGGTTGTGTTTAATTCCATGGAGTGGAGTGGAATTTCGCATAATTTTAAACCATGTGGAATAAAATATAGATATTTATCGGTGGTCTCGGTGAAAAAAATCAAAAATTCTATGTGCAATTTTTTGCGCACAGTCGTTCAAAAATTTGACAAAAAACGTAGCTTATGTAAACAAGTGCAATGTTTCTCCGTTTTTTACTCTAAAAGAAAATTCTCTCCTTCTCCAACGATGCTGCACCTGTCACTCATGTCCTTTACTTTCTTTTTCCATTATCCGGGCAACCAATCAATAAGTGCAAACCAATCAAAACGATGATCTTTTTTTAAACCTAATGAAAAGTCGGATTTAACTACGGAGGCACATTTGTGTTAATTTTCAACTAGGAAATAAGGAGAAAAATAAGTTTTGCCTTCATTTCTTTTTATTTTGAACACATTGGCTTTGTTCTTCATAGAAATAGTAAATGTAGTTGGAATTTGACATAATTATTGTTTTAAAACGGTGTACTTGGAACAAAAACAAGAATTATGGCAAACGTCATTTTGTACATCTTTTATTGAATATTATTTTTCGATTTTATTAAATTCACCAGTAATATGCATATTAAACCCCAAAAGGTCGCATGGAATCTGCAACTTCATCCTAAAAGTAAAATGACAACAAGTATTACGCACAACTCTGGAAAAAATAACTTTATAGCAGGAAGTGCCCACCATACCGGTAAGGCATGAGGAGCTCGTGTTCAACAGGATTTTATGGAGATAAACATTGACGAAGATCCAAAAAGAGATTGAAAGTTAACTCATCAAGAGTTAAATCACTGTATAAAATTGGATTTTTATCCAACAAGACACAATAAAGATTTTTTTTGATCGTTTGATCAAGAAGTATGACTGTTACAGACAACTATCGGTATTGTTTTTACGAAGTTACGGAGAAATTACACATAGAAATTCGACCGATTTTTGTTAATTGTGCGAGGAATATGTTCACTAAAATGCCCCAATGCCTAAATAAATGCGCTTTTGTTTTATTTTAATGAACATTTCAATAGAATAAAAAAGTCCCCCATTTGGTTAGTAAAATTGGCTACCGATATGGTAGATTATCTACCAAACGGGGGATAAAGTACCATTTGGTAGGCTGTGCCCAACCTGACAAATGTACTAAACTACTAATGAATTTTATGACTTATTAGGTGCAAGCCTAAGACAAGTCCATGTGACTTTATCATCCTAAAATTTAGATTTAGATAGTTTATTTTTACAAATCGCAAAAGCAATGATCAACTAAAGGATATGGAACAGATGACCAAGACTGACAACGTATGCAAAACGTTGCTGGTGTATCACCACATTGTGAAGATAAGTGATTAGAATTAAATGAAAAGATGAATCATTAAACGGTCACTTTGGTGAAAATCACAAAATCAGAAAAACTGGTGCCAAGAAGACTTTAAAAAAAATGTTTTAATTAACGAAATAATAAAAGAAAAACTTACTTCTTTCTGAACGAAGGAGGTCTAGCACCATAGGAAGCCATTTTAGGTCGATAGATTCAAACCCCATAACGATATGGCAAAAATGGTTCCGGATATATATATCTTGAAAGATTTTTTTTTTGGAAACTATACATACAAGTATTTTGAAGGTTTGGGCACAGGTATCTGTAGTATAGATAACCCCCCAGTCCCAGCCCCACCCCAAGTAAAAATAAAAGTTACAGCCTGATTTCTCAAAAATACGAGATTTCTCAGTGAATTCAATCACACACAATGTGCGAGAAGAATACACTTTTTCTAACGTTTTACTCACTGGCACTTGACGGTACACATTAATTTTTTCGTATGAAAAAAGATATAACTCTCAACGCTTTTTTAAAATTAAAATAAAAATAATAACGTCAAGAGCATGAGGTTTTTATGGTGGCATATTTCTGTCCCCAACATGGATATTATTATTATGTCACTTGCACTATGATATTCAATTTGAAACCTCTTGCCCAATTTTCAAGTACTTCCTTTGAAAATTTGGATGTATTTTGTACAAAAATGAAGGGGGAGGGGGGTTGACTGCTTTATTGTCTATTGTTTTAAGTAAATTTAATCAACACTTTCTTTACAGTGACAACACCTGCAGCTGTGCTACAAAGAGGAGTAAGAACACGGTGTATCAGTAACCTTATCTGGGGGACACTCCAGCCAATCAGGCGGGATCTTGGGGGATACAGATGTCAATTGTGAGGGGGACTGCAGGTGCCCGGTAAATGGTCACGTATAACTGTAACTCACAGGTATTGTTTGTCAGGGGGAGAGACGGTCGTGTGTCGGGCATGGACAGATGTCGAGGGGGGCACGCGAGGTCAAGAAATCAGGAAGCACTTTTACAGTGAATTAACAGTTCAAGTTATGTGCGGATGACAAGGATCCCTAAAAACCCCTCTCTGGGTAAGTAAAGTTAATACTTGAATCAGGAAACTGAATTGTTTCTCTTGTTTTTATATTTAAATATGAATGCCATTTTGTCATTTTTTAAATATCTTCCATTATTTGCAAGGAATACAAGGACGTTTCGAATATCAATCGCTTGTTATTACTCAGTATTTTTTTTTTATTTTATTTATAAAAAATGAAAATGATTTATATTATAGAATGATATGTTAGACTACTCGAACTGATTCAGTATATATGAAAAAGAAACGACGCTGTTTTATCATAAAAGTATAACTAGTTTTATTATTGATTGATGAACAGTATACAAAATACGTCAAAAGGAATTTCCCACTTTTAGTTATTATAATTTCTTTATTCATATTTTCTGGAATCAATCCTTCATATTCAGCAATCATTAAATTTATTTATTTACTTTTTATTTATTTATTTATAGAACTATCAATTCTGTGACATTTTATTTTATGCGAATTCAGAATTAATTCAGTATATTGTTAATTAGAACAAAAATTGTTGATTATGGTTAAAAATCGCTGATGATCATGTATTGGTTACCTTGAAACTATTCAAAGTAAATGTGTTTTCGCTTTAGACATTTTTCCTTCCACTAATGCGTCTCCGTTTTGTGCCAGTGTGCGCGTTGAAAAAATGATATATTTTACCAAATTATTGTAACCTATCGGTTCGGTGAAAATTTACCAACAAACTTATAACAGATTCCAGTTTATTTATTATTAAATATTGGTAAAAAAAATATTGACCAAAGGAAAAATCTTGTCGCAAGAAATATACATGTAGGAAACCATGAAAGAACTAGCATCAACCGTTCAAAAGATATAGGCAAGGATAAGGTTTCTACAAGTGTAGGTCAAACTCAAAGATCATGGTCAGGAGATAGAGAATATTGGTTCTCAAAGGAAGGCATTGTCACAAGGAATAAACAGGATGTCTGAAAGCCCTAGCACTAATCGTTCAAAAGTCACAATGCAACTTTAAGTTTTTCAAAAGAGGGTCAAACACCAAAATCAAGGTTAGGCTATGGAAATGTTACCCAAAACAAAGGTCTTGAATTATACATATGAAGAACAAAAGCCAAAGTACCGATAGTTCAAAAGTTGTGGCCAAGGTTAATGTTTAGTAAAAGTTTGAAAAGAAAGGCTTAGTAACGAGGAAAACATGTAAAACGTGAAAATAACGACCAATGATCTTTATTAATAAAATCTATAAACAATACAAAATGTAAATAGGGCATAAAAAAGGACCCCTGGAAATTCCAGAGGGATCAGATGCCTAGGAGGAGTAAACACCTCCTGTTGACCTGTTACACCAGCCATGAGCCCTCTGTATCAATCAAGGAGAAGGAACTCTTTGTCGTCATATTTCAGAATGCAAGCAGAGGCCTTACAATTGATACAAGAAAGCCAAAACACGACCCAATGGAAGGTTATTTTTGCAATCAATGTCAGTATAACGACCATGGAATTTACGAAATGCCGACTTTAAAGGAGGTTGATGAAACTACTTATTAGTGAGCAGCATGCCTTGCTTTAAAAATGTTCGTACTCAGGACAAGCTCCTGAGTAGCAAATAATTTGGGAGACATTCACCATAAGCAAGAGATATTGAGATATTACTATATAAATAAGGAAAGCTGACGATGGAAAAGTTGAGTTCATCTCGTTAGTCGCACAATTTAGTTGTTAGTTGGTTCTTATCCTCTATAGTCAGTAAAACATCAAAATGTGAAAAAGTGTTACAGATTCCATAGTGTCTCTTAAATCAAGTCGATATTATATATGGAGTAGACGTATATGAATGTAAATAGCTATTGTTAACTGATAAAAATCGTCGATATATCTGAATGTCCACAGCAAGGGTTTTCTATTTCTCATGTAAACTGAGTGACTGGTCTTTGTTGAAGGTCAGGTCGTCAATATTTCAGCCATCATGTAGAAGTTCTTGCATAAAGGATGCTTCATAAGAATCTAAAAGAGGCCAGCTAATAATGGAGCACAATTCCCTCGGAATTCAGAATACTGTATGGTTAAACTTGGTCTCCAAAGACTACTTATTAAATGTCATCAATGAGCTTGAATACTGTTCGCTATCTCCCAATTTAATGCTCAATATTTTTTTCACCCTGTTCTTGTGTTTTTCTAATCTATAAATCGAACCTGGATCTATTATGCCTAGAAATGTTAAAGCTAGTGAGAATAAGATCATCAAAACACAAGACAAATTTGGGGGATCAAAATTAAACTATAACAGCCATTTTTGGTTAAGCATGTTAAGTTCACTTTTATTTTGTTAGTTGGAAGGAATGCTGGTTACAAAAATACAGAAGTGAAGATAACGAACAGTAATTGACAAAGAAAATATATAAACAAGACTACTAGTACATGTAATTTGTGAAAAGGGTCCTAAACACGTACCCTGGAAATTCCAAAAGTGGGATCAGGTGCCTTGAAGGAGTAAGCATCCCCCGTTGACCTGTCAAACACGCCCTGAGTCCTTTGCTCAGGTAGAAAGAACATTTATATAATACTAAAGCCTGACAACTGGTATTACTAGTTAACATTACATGTATGTTAAACTAGTATTTGCTAACAAGGTCATTACTAAGTATAACGACCATAAAATTTACAAAGTGCTGCTTTTAAACAAGGTCGTTCAAATCCCTGTAACATCAATATATATTTATCGATAGAAGCCTGCCTCGGTTTAATTATTTATCATACTCGGAGCTGTAAACACAAGTTGTAGCAAATAAAACTACATAAGAAAAGTTGACGATGAAAAAGTTGATATCATAATTAAGCATCTTATTCGTCATACAACGTAGTTGTTTGTCGGCACTTATTAATATTATTATTATTTCTCATTAATATTATTCTCAAGTAGAAATTGTTCTGAAAAAATTCTTCTTAGGAATAAAAACAAGGCCAGCAAATGAAGGAGCACAATTAATGCCCATCGGAAATTCAACAATTGGTAGGAAAACTTGGTCTCCTATGATTACATGCATGTTTAAAATGATCAATAATTTGGATAACCTTTTAAAATGAAAATCGATGAATCTTTTTTTTTTTGTTACAATCCGTTTTTGGATTTTTTGAATACCATATCCTTGGTTTAATTTCATTTTTTTTGGGGGGGGGTGAAACATATGGAGATTACGAACAGTATTCAAGATCAAAAGTAAAAAAAATACGAAATAGAAGCAGAGCAAACAATGACCTCCAAAACATCAGAGGCGGGATCAGGTGCTATGAAGGAGCGAGCATCCCCTGCTGACCGGTCACTACCGCCGTGTGCTCCTTGTCATAATCGGAAAAAAACGGAAAATCCGCCTTCAATTCAGTGTATAAATAATGGTCTAACAAGTAGTATGAAAAAGTCAGTCAGCATTTGACTCAATGATAAATTGTATTTGCTGAAAAGTCATTGTTTCGACCATAGAACCTAAGAAATTATGACTTTAAACGAGACTGCTGATATTTTTCTTTCATCAACTTGTATGTCAATAATTTACCTCGTTTTGGAAATTGTTCATACGTAGAGCATGTTCTTGCGTATCGAATCAATTGAGATATATAAACTCCGTATACAGGTGATGAAGATATATTGCTGCATAAGTTAGAGAAGTTGATGATCGTAAAGTTAAAGTCATCACATTTATCAAAGAGCTTGGCTGTTAATTAAATTTTTCAAATAAAATATCAAAATATGAAACAGATGTGTCAAACTCTGTAGAACCTTTTGTCTCAAGGTCACCGGGATATATCGTATCGACAGAAGAATGAAAGTTACTATTGTTTGTTGTCAATACGTCGTCGATATATCTAAATGTCGAGTTGAAGGCCAGCGCAAGTGTTTTCTTTTTTTCACGTATAAGATTTTGGACGAATTCTGCTTTTTATGAATACAAAAATAGGTCTGCTAATAACCAGAAAGGGAGGGGGTCGGTGCCCATGGGAATTCCAATAGATTGTTGGAAGACCCGGTCTTAAAAACCACATAGATATTGTCAATCAGACAGTCAAGCATCTTTTTTGCAGAGCACTTATGTGTACAATCAGAATGTTTTTTTTAACAAAATAACTTTGCAAATGACTAATGACAAATAAGTTGATTTACGAGTTCCATTTTTTTTAAAAAGCAGCTGTCAATGATATCAAAAAGCCTGGACTTTAATTTATCGTTTGGAATGGTTGTATATAAAGTTGAAATCTCGTAAGTTTCTAAGCTGTTGATTTATGTAAAATCATGTGATTTCATATTGTCCAAAAGTTCCTTGAAATTTTTCAGTATCCACATCTGATTTACGCCACTTCTTGAATATATTGTTGCACAGTACTCTTGAAGTTTCTCCTTCACTGCTTTTAATATCTTAGTGAGGAGTAAAGAAAGAAGTTTGGTTGAACTTTTACTGGAACCCGCTAAGTATCTTTGTAAGGATTTTTATGAAGCTTCGGAATCCAATGGGCCCGTGGGGATCCGGGTTAGAATAGGTCCTCAATACCCCCTTGCTTGTCGTAAAAGGGATTTTTATGTCACAGCAGGTGTGGCAGTTAAGTACCGAGCATAGGCCTAAATTTGCAGCCCTTCACCGGCAATGGTGACGTCTCCATATCAGTCAAATATTCTGGAGAGGGACGTTAAACAGTATACAATCAATCAATCAATCGTAATCCAATATAGATAATGGTTGTTCAGATTCATTTTGGTTCTTTGGGATCTTAAAAATTTTCAAAACTGACATATGATTTTGAAGAATTTCTTCCTTAGAAAGGGAACTATGTCCAATAAAAAAAGCCCCATAGAAAATGAATGAATATTTGCTTTCAACATGTAGACCTGCATCTGTATATGCATTGAAAATGACAGAGAATATTGTATTAAAATTTTTCTTCTCCTTCTTTATTGTCAGCTATTTTAAGTTTTTTTTGTTTTTTCGTGCTTTATTTATTTCCTCTCACTGCTTCGCACTGAAAATCAAATTCCTGAAGTTGCGAGATTCTTTAATTATCAATAAGAATATACTCGTGTTTTACCAGGATATGAAAACAGGTGTTTCTGCAGGGGGAAAATGCTTCATGCACGGCTACCATCGTAATAAGTGTTTATCCAAGAAAGTCAAAAGATATACACATGGAATTATGACAGATACTGACAAGATTTTCAATCTCACTGCATTCTGACAATTGCTCATTTATCTAAAGGCCTGTGATGGGTCATAAAATTTTATCAATTTTTTCGCAAAGAAAACATCGATGTAGATAAAACAAAGACGCTTCAATCTTTGCGTGCTCGTGACGATATCCAGACGACAGCCTGTTTTCCCCCTCGGTTCCCGCGCCGACTGATCCAGCTTTTCCAGACAACCCTATACATAAACATATTTGCTGGAACTAATCTAACTTTTGCTATGTGATTTCAATATTTTTTTCCAGCTTGATAAATATTTTAACTTTGATAAACTTTAATAATTTTGAAATTAGTACGAAACGGTGTGCATTCGGGCAAGTTCGTTCTTTTTGCAAGATAAATTGTCGGTTTGCACCCTGTGAATACTATATCTATCACTGAGTTATAGTAAATCACATAATTCTTTTTCTTGGCATTATCTGCGAACATAACAATAAGAACACACATAAATAATGAGTAAAAGAAGAGCACGCTGGCATTTTTATGTCAACTGGAGAGTTCCAAGCATATTGGGAATTTTAAAATTTCTCTTTTTTCAGTTCAGTGCATTCAAAGATGAGCTATCCAGAGTCTCATGACTTCATAAAATCCTTTCAGAGCCTTAAAAGTAATTGTAATTGCTAGGATGTCCATTCCTCGGTATTTCCTTCAATAGAACTGCAGAGCCAGTGGAACTTTCCACTGTTTATTTTTCACCGACTGCCCCAAAAAATTAGGGTTTCTTGGGAAAAAAATTGATGAATGGCAGAAGTTGAAGGATACACATATCAAAAGTATGTAATGGTGTGTGACAATTCCTGGTCTGTTTTATGGCCGCCAACATGCGGTTAAAGTACGGGATCTGCTGCTGGCGAGATACAGTGGCCCACCAGATAGATGATAATCCACTAAATGTACTCCATAATCTGCTCAGGATACGAAACCTCACTCACAGATTCCCGCCAGGAGGGTCATCCAAAAAATGATATATCAAAGCATTTTAAAATTCTTACTTCACACTAACATGACAACCGGCGTGTTCACGCCTTAAGTTCGATGGCGCTAAAGAAAAACCTTATTGCTTCTTCAATTGATGCTACTTTTTTTTTCGATGAATTTTATTACAAAGAGTATGGAAGGGGACGATAAGAGTTAGTCTGCTCCGAAACCTAGATAGGAATTAGCTCAAGCGCGTCACTTGCTTGGCAGTTGTTATTGATGCACGCGCATGCTTGCACGCTGGTCAGCTTATGAGTCCAGAGATGTGTTAATATGCCACTAGACTTCATTTATAGAAATGATGAAACAATTAATTTACTTAGACTCCACTTTTTGTAGAAAATGGGAGGAATATATGTTGGACTAACACTAATGCTGACTTTCAATATGGTAAGTTTAACTCTGAAAATAATATTTGTTGTTGTACTTAATTTAGTTTTTATTCAAACTTATTTTCAAAAGTTTATTATTTTTTATCGAGAACAATTGTCATTTCTGAAGTAAAAAGATTTTTGAATTCATGTAAAGGTTATTACATATGTATAAAAGAATTGTTTTCGTAACTTTAATTCATGTAAAGCATATTATAAAAAAAAAATGTTTTCGGTACATTCTTTAAATTTTTGAAAAATACAGAGATAAAATATTTTTCTTTGACAAAATTCACATTTTTCATAATTGTTCATAGCAATTACTGTATATTAATTAAATATTCTCATTCTTTATTTTTTAAACCTTTAAAAATATGCATTCACAAGCTTATTTACTTTAACATAAGTACTTTCAATAAATTATAGAAGATAAGTGAAAGAAAATCTGTTCAGAATGGATGGCTATAAGTTTTCTCTCAGGCTGGCATGAAATTACTCTCTCATTCTAAAATGAATTTATTCTTTAAAAGAACATCTTTTTCGCAGAAACTTCATCGTTTTACATTACTACTAATAATGGACGATACCATCCCTTTTTATCACAAACGAGTATTTTTTATGTTTTGTCTCATAAGTTTTGGATTTTCGCTCTCTTTCTGTTTCCTTTGATTGCATGCCATTTCTTGAATATAATTTAACCTCTTCTTAGCGTGCAATTAAACCTTAACAAAATATTTTTTTATGGGACTAAAGATAACATTGTCATTTGCAATTGGTCTTATTTCGACGCCAATTTTTTTTCTCACAATTTAGTATAAATAATGCGGTTAGACGGTTCGTTTTATGAATGAGTATATTTTTCATTCCCGTTACTCTCTCACACCTGAAGAGGAAATGATGACATAATAATTATCTATGATGGACAATACATGCTTTCTACGCCAAACTTAAGCCAATTTTATCTTCTCGTTCTGTTTCATTCTCGTGTCTATTTTCTAACACTATGTATAATGCAAACCTTCTACCAACAAATACCAGCTGTTTCGTCTATATTTTTGATGCTGCATTTATAACGAGCTCATGGAATGGCGATAATGGTTTTTATTCTGTGAAATTAAATACAAAGTGGAATACATTAAAACTTTTTCAGCCGTATAATTTTTTAACTTCTTTTGTTTTATACGTCCTGCGGATGAGAAGGTTTGAATGATCGTAACATTATCAAAGTCTAATGCTGGATCCTTGAGTCTATATTAGATGAATCATCTAACATATCATTGCATTTATTTGATCTGATGGTAGATTTTTTATCATTTTTTATACTAGTATAAGAATGTGTTTAATGTTTTGTCTTTCCTTTTTTTTTTAAAAAAGATTTTATTGAGATTTTCATTTTAACAAATTTGGACCTTAGAATCGTCTTCTATCCCCATGGGTTACGGTTTCGATACGGTTTGTATCTACTTAACTTATCAAATTGTCATTCGTTCTTGAGAATACATATATACTGAAAGGAAAAAGAAACGCAGGGTAGCATAGTGTTCGAAAAAATTTCGACCACATGACCGAAAATTACAAAAATTGGTCAGAAGAGAAATTTAGTTACTGTGCACCAAAATCAGTATTCAGAATTACTCAACCGTAAAATTTATGACGTCATGTAGGTAAAACGCTAAAAAGCCAAAAACACGTGCAATTTGATAAAGACGAGATTGTCAACAATTCTTGTTGCATTATTTGATGCATATGAGGTATGTTCATCGTTTTTCAATATTAAGAGAAATTATGAATTCCTTGCCATCTTGGCACAGTTTACGGAAGTTCAATGGGGTCTCGTTTTCGAATTGCCTAATTAATGAAAAAGGCAACAACGGTTTACTAAGCAGTTTTTTGTACATTTTTCCCCATAAAACTTGTTACCCGTTGTCAGTGAGGGTCTGGATTGGTTTTCAATCAACCGTGACGATATATATTCGTCCTGCCATGTCTTAAATCGCCACCATACTACCACAAAAACAGCCATTTATACAGTAGACGATTATAATCATTACATTCGTACGAAATTTGAAAGAAAACAATTCCGCAATTTGATTTTATGAGCCAGTCAACTTACTGTTTTATTCATCTCAATGGCGCATGCGCGCGCCGTTTGACTTATGTTTTTGCGTGGTTACCCATGCCAAATATAGCCAGGGTCTGAAAAATAAACACTCTAATGAAATTCCATGCAAAGGAGAAATAAGGCTCTGACAGATACACGGGAGGGACATTGAAGATATTGAGAGTTTTCGATTTTCACTTTTGGGGGGTATCGTCATTTGAGCTTCAGTAACTCATGAATTATTAGACAAAATCAAATGGGAAATATATCTTTTTGAAAGATGAGTTTAAAAGTTAGATATAAAAACTAAATCATATTTTAAGAAAAACAAATTTAATTCACCTCAAAAGTTTACCCTGCGTTTCTTTTTCCTTTCAGTATATATTTTAAGGATTTTTCACCTAAGGTTAAACTATATATAATGTACATGTATAGAAAGTTTAAATTGTTTATCAGAAAATGTCATACCCATACCATGCATTGCAAAGAAGTCATCGTAAGGACCATAGAATTAGAAGTGTTGACTTTAAATGCAGTTGATTTTCTCCAGTTTCAAACATTGAGAGACATAATCATTATGTGCAAGTGATAATGATATATTGCTATTTAAGGGAGGTTAACAATAAAAAAGTTGAAATCATCTCAAATACCTTTAGTTTAGTTGATAGTTTTCCAGTTCCCATCTTCTATTATAAAAGATCAAAAATATAAAACTGATGTAAAAGATTATGTGTCCGATGCTTTTTTTTCTTTATTTTGAGATATATTAAATACCCTTATGAATAAAAATAATTTTGTGATAAAACGTCATCTAGATATATCAAAGTGTAGAATTAGACTTTGAATAAATTTTGCCTCGTAAGAACAAATATAAAGTCTGTTAGTGCTTATGGAATTCAAATAGATAGAAGAACGACTATATCTCTCCAAAGACTACATGTATAAGGATAAAGACATAGAGAATTTGAGAGATCTTTTCATGTCAATTTTAGAGTATTTGTATGTAGTATTAGAATGATTTTAACACGTAGGCCTAAGTTGGTTGATGACCAATGCCAAAATTTGAAAAATTACGTTTCATTTTATTTAAGAGCAGATTTTACTGGTCTTAATTTTTTTTTTTAAGTGTTTGAAAAGTCATTCATATAAATGCTACATATATATTTTTGGCAATATGTTGTGATTTTAAATTATCGAGTATATTGTTGTATACTGGGTAGTTATTCTGAAGTCTATCCTTCATTGCTGTCAATTTGTTCTTAAGATCGTGTAAATAAAGAGACTAGGTAGAACTTTCACAGATCATGCTCTTAATCCGTTTCGTAAGATTTTTATATTTGTATATATATATTTATATAAGTGTGTAAGTTCTGTATAATTATGAAAATCATTATTTTTCCCAAAATCATAATCATGTCACAACAAAATATAGAAAGAATCTTTACTTATACCCTCTTCAAAATGAAAAATAATTAAAATGATGTAAATCTGATTTAAATTTTCAAACTAGTATTTATGAAATTATTAGCAACATAAAATCCGAGTAAGTTTTCATTACACTAAAGAGATATTGACATTAAATTACTTAATTCTTTTTCTGAAGAAACTTGACGAATGAAAGCATTCAATATGATGAACTGATAACGCTTCCACAACTTTTGTAAAGCACAGACCTAATCAACAAATTGAAACTAATATCGTACAAAGTTTATTTTTAATTACTTAGATATACATGCTCTAATTCCAACCGTTTTCATATTATGAGTGATCGTCGATGTCAGTGGAAGTCAGATAAGCGTGCAATACTACCAGAAACCGATCATAAAAACCATCGTATAATTGACAAAATATATGGTTGGAAAAAAATGTCAAACTTCCAAAAGGGACTTTTTAAGGCAATTGAACTAATTTTAAGAAATTGGAGGACAATTTCATAAAGTGATGAAGACATACTCAGGACATGAAACATATGGAGATAACAAACAGTTTTCAGGATCAAACGTCCATAAGACAATATAAAATAGGAGCAGAGCAAACACAGACCTCCAAAACATTGGAGGTGGTATCAGGTGCCAAGCAGGACTTATAGCATCCCGTGCCGACCGGTCACAGCCACCCTGTGTTCCCATGATCGGGAAATAACCGAAAATTCCGTCATCAATTCAGTGTTTGAATAATAGTCTAGCAATAAGTATGAAAGTATTTGACTCAATGATAAATTGTATTTGCTGACGAGGTCATACGAAATTATGACTTTAAACGAGACAGCCGAAAATCTTGTTTCATTTACTTGTTTGTAAATAATTTATCTCGTTTTAGAAATTGTTCACACGTAGAGAATGCTTTTGCGTATCGAGTCAAATGAGATATATAAACTCCGTGTGCACGTAATGAAGGTATATTGCTGCAAAAGTAATGGAAGTTAACGATATAAAAGTTAAAGTCATCACGTTTATCATAAAGATTGGTTGTTAGATTACCATTAACGTCTTTTTAAGCAAAATTTATGAAACAGATGGCCTGACTCTGTATATATATATTTATATAAGTGTGTATTTAGTTCTGTATAATTAAAAAATCATTATTGTTAATTGACAAAATCATATATATGTATAATGCCGAGTTGAAGGCCACCGGAAGTGTTTTCTTCTTTTCACGCATAAGATTTTGCACAAATTCTGCTTCAAATGAAAAAAAAAATAGGTCTGCTAGATAATGGGGCGCATTTCAACTTTCAAACTAGATTGTTGGAAGATTGGTCTCCAAAAATAAAGATACTGTTAATCAGAAACTTAAGCATCTTTTTGATGTCACTTTCAGAGTGTTTACAATCAGAATGTTTTTAATAATTTTGCAAATGACCAAAGACAAGGTAAGTAAATTTATGAGTTCTATTTTTATTGAAAATGCAGCTGTCAATGATATAAAAAAAGCCTGGGCTTTAATTTATCGTTTGGAATGGTTGTGTATAAAGTTGAAATCTCGTAAGTTTATAAGCTGTTGATTTATGTAAAATCCTGTGATTTCATATTGTCCAAAAGTTCCTTGGAATTTTTAAGTATCCACATTTAATTTACATCACTTCTTGTTGCACAGTACTCTTAAAATTTCTCCTTCACTACTGTTAATATCATATAGTAAGGAGTAAAGAACATTTACTGAAATCCGCTATGAAATAGTATGAATCTTTGTAAGGATTCTTATAAAGTTTCGGAATCCAATATACAGCTCAACGCACTTTTTAAGCTCACATGGTTTTTCTCACAAATTAAGGTCACATTGTTGAAATAAAGATTACCATTTTCAAACTGCAGTAAAATGACATAACCCTACATTATATTACATATATAATGTAGGAGCATAAATGTCTTTTAAAACTATTATCTTAAGTTTCCAAAGTGGATGTTTTAAAGGGGGAATTTATAAATAAATGGTTGGATGTTTCGATTATACGATTCTACCAAGGTTTTTTTTACAAATTGTATAAAACGAGATTTCCTTGATACCATGTAGTTGAAAATTTTTAATTTTCTTCTTAAAGGTAAGTATTTTTAAAAAATCTTTTCTCATTTACCATACACCTCTTGGTTTTGTCGAAATGTAGCGCCGAAAAGGGATAAAATTGCAGAAGGAAACCACACAAAAGGTTCGGATAATGAAGTATTGTTTAGTTTTTTGAATAGTAAATTCCTTCTATGAAAAGGAAAATTCTTCTTCATTTACGGTTTTAAACGTTAAAATTTTGCAGTGGGGTGAATCACTCATGACTCTAAATTTTAGAAGTTGACTCTGAAAAATCCTACCTTATTAAAATACAAAGCAGACAAACAGATGAAAAATACTATTACTACCCCGAGGTAAAGAGTCAAAATGTACAGAAAATACAAGTTACAGTAGCTGTACTGTGCCCATGTCTACGTTCATGCCAAGAGCTATTGATTTCAAAAGAACAGATAAAAGACAGCTACAATTGGCAAGAAACCACAAAAATTCAAATGAGAATCGTTGTTATTTTATCAAAGTTCTACCAATTGATTTGTGTGAATTATGTTTTAGTAAATGAAATAAAACTCAAATATATATATATATAATGTAAACAAATGTTTTTAAAGTGTATTTCGTTGTCTCGAAACACAATATTACCTTATAACAATGTGACCTTAATTTGTGCGAAAAACCATGTGAGCTTAAAAAGTGCGTTGAGCTGTATATAGAATATATAACAGTTTAAATTTTTCATTTTGGTTCTTTTGGATATTAAAAATATTCAAAACTGACATATGATTTTGAAGAATTTGGTCCTTGGAAAGGGAACTATAAATATGTTGCTTGTAGAAAAAAATCCAATTTCTTCTAAAATACAATGGCATAACATGTATGATCACAAGACTTTTGAAAATAAGATTTCAATCAATGCTTATATTTACCTAGTGATGCATCTATTTGTTCTGGAGTTAAAGATTTGAAAATCTTTAAAAAGCTTACATCGAACCCAACTGTATTTTAATTTGGTCTAAAAATCATTTATATTATGGCCGTGAAACGTCAAGGATCAATTATGGTATGATTATTAAGGACAGGTTCTTTCTAGGCACCTGATCTCACCTTTGGAATTTACATGGGTCCAGGTTCTATGCTTTTCCCCCCAAAGAATTGTATTCTTTGTAGATTTTTTTTCAAAATCGATCACTGGTCATAATCTTCACGTTTTTCATTGTAGAAGGACATATCCTGTCTTTTTAAAATTTCTTTTGAAATTCTCCCTCGATTTGTAACATTTGAAGAATTATGAAAATGCATTTCTAGCTCTTCACCGACTTTCAAATTTAGGTTATCGTACATCAGAATTTTGCAATGATATAGATTATTTATTGTCTAACATATTGAATGTTGTCATCGTCCCTTCTGCAGGTTATCCTTTTCTCCATATATAAAGCATTGACTGTTAAGATTGATCTGATCCTCTTTGATTTTTGGTTTTCAAAACCAGTTAAATTTATTCTGACGAGTGAGATATTCAAGACCAGCTACTTAAAAAGAAATCAGGAAAGTGAAAAGAATTAGGGATATCTGCTTTATCTGAGCAATATACAACGTTAAACCTGGCAGAGCTTCTCCCTAGATATACACTGCTAAACAGGACAAAAAGTAAAGCAATCCATCATAAATTACACATATTTCACTCCAGAAACTAGCCGCTAATCTCGTCTTGATATCGAGTCTATGTTAACATGCACTCTAGTGATAGGGGAGATAATATCAGGAAACCAGACCAGACGCCTGCCCCTGCCATCCATCTGTAGGTTGTATTGTTTGTATTTCGTATAAATTCAATATTCCAACGAGAAAAATCTGAGAATTTATTGCTATCTAATTCCTTAAGTGTCAAAGAGCAAATCTAGCTATTCCGATAATCACTAAAATATATGTTCTCTTAGCGTGTCCCCCTATAATATTTTAGGGCGAAAATTGAAACTCAGCACTTCCTGGAAGCAAGTATGCATCAACGATTGCGATGCAATTTTAACTGTTTGTACTGTATGACATGGCGTCTTCTTCCCAAAAACGTAATTGTTACTGAAGAGCAATTTGCACAACATTCTTTTTAAATTTAATATTTTAAGCTGTTTATACTAAAAGAGTCATCGCTCGCCCTTATTTGATTATGGTGTAGCCATTGGTCTAGTCTATCACAAGTATCAATTGTCATACAATACATGTTCGTCTTTATTTTCAGGTTGTAGGAACGGGACGATTCGAGGTTTCAATTTTAGCACTCTTCAATGAAAGTGGACAGATGTCAGACGGAAATTGTTGTTCAAAGTCACGTGATAACGGCTCGTGCTCGTCACCTTGCCACACCTTCTTTGCTGTTTGTCTTCAGCACTATTCCGTTGATATCCCAGAATTCCCTAGATGCACTTACGGACGTGTTGTTACCCCGATATTCAACTTTAGCATGAGCAATGATTCGACTGTGACAAAGAAAAAATACTTGGTCAAAATTCCATTCCAATTTTCTTGGCCAGTAAGTATTTAGAAATGAAACGATTTATCAACTTGAACAAGGCAAAACATTTAGAAACAAGACGTGTTTTTGAAACACTGATGCCCCTGTTTGGCAAAATGCAATATGAAACCACAAAATCCAAATATTCAAAAGTTATGGTCAAGATGAAGACGTCAAAATTCTTGTTAGCCAAACGTAGGCCTTGTCATTTTTAGAGCGGAATATACTCGTGAAATATAAAAGCCCTAGCACAACTGTTCAGAAGATTTGGCAAAGTTAAAAATATTTTTAAAAGTAGGTCAAATTTTATTATCAAAAGATCAAAATTGTTGGTCTTGTCTCAAGAAATACACCAGTGAAATATGAAAGGTCAAGTACTGGCCGTTAGAAGCTATATTATGACCAAGCTTAAAGTTCTTTAAAAGTGGGTCTAGCTCTAAGGTCAGGTCAAAAGGTCAGAAACATTTAAACCCATGTAAAGGTCGTGACATAAAAATTACACATGTGAATTAATAAGTATGAAAGCCCTAGCACCAAATGTTCAAAAATTGCCTAGGTTAAATTTTGGTACATTTTTGCAAAAGTTGGTCAATCTTCAGCGTCAAGAAAACAAGTATATTGGTACTCAGAGAGCGGTCTTGTCACAAGGGATACACGTGTAAAATACAAAAACCATTGCTGTTTGTTCTCAAAAATTTAACATTGCTTATTACTTTTGATTGGTTGGAACTATGACTTTCATATTTCACATGTGTTGTTCTTTTGACAAGATCTGACCTTGGATCGATATATACGACCTATCAACCATGACATTGGGGTTTGACCCACATTAAATGCAAAATAAAATTCTTGGCCAAATAACTTTATGAACGGTTGGAGCTAGGGATTTCATGCTTTACATGTGCATTTCTTGTGACAAGACCTTCCTATGGGTAACAGAATTTTCTCCCTTTACTTTGACCGTCGAGTTCGACCTTCTTCCGAAAAACTAATCTTCCCTATAACTTCTAAAATGTTGGTTCAAATGCTTTTGTAATTTACAAGTATATATACACCTCATAATATTTTTTTCTTGTGAAATAAAGGATTTTGTCCTAAGTCACTCTCTGAGTGCTTGACTGCTGGTATTGTTATACATGTACAAAGCACATGTGATTCACTGTAGAAATCCTTTCTATTTTCCCATAAACCTTCTACATGACGCTCTCTAGGCTTTTTCATGTGTTTTTCTATATGCACTATTTTAAAAAAGGAATTTCAGTTTGTGGTATATTTATGAATGAAAAGTTACGAACATGTAAATAAAACAATTTTACGAACAGGCGGAACTCGGATGACGTCATTTACAGGAAGGGGTAAAAAAGAGTCGATTCGTGACGTGATAGCATCGCCCACGCCTAGTCTGAACTTATTTTCATCCGCATGTCCCTGGTAATATTTCCTTCATTTTGTTCAGCTTAACCTTTCGATAAACTCTATCTGCTTCAATCAAAAACCGCGGTTCTGTCGTGGCACCCCACTCTAGATTTAGTAACAGAAGAACGAGTTCCTTGTTTAATCAGTGGGTTTAACTTTAAAAATTTAAGAAAAAAGAGCGGGACTTCTGCATCTGGAAACGTTCTTCTGAGCAGTAACACCGTGTGTACAAACATAAAGGCAGGTTATTAATATTATTTATTAAAAGTTTTATCTTTCCTTTCCCGACGTGTTAGCAATCTCTGGATTCAATCGGCGAAAACATACAATGCACTGTGTGAGAAAAGGATGATCACGAGAAATGTGTTTGAAATAAGGAACGGTGTTAATAGATAAGAAATAACCAAATGGTCAATGACATGCCGCATGTATCTTACGTGTATCCTTTTAAAAAAAAAGAATACGTAAAATTGATAATTATTTATTCTATTTAAAAAAGAAACTTTGGTACGGAAGTAAAAGGTACTCAAGGCTATCCTAGCTATTACAGTAACATGTATCAGTTAAAAGGAAGTTAGAAGATCTAATGTCAAGGTCACTATATCTAGGTCAAATTGGAGTTGTCCATGTTTGAATGCAGGAACCTAAGCTGACCTTATTTGTTTTTACCACAACTTACAAAGGTTCAGTAAGAGAGGTCATCTTTTAGCTCTCGATACATTAAAATTGTACGCCCATGCCATGGCCACTGTGCGATACCGAGGGATTCCTATCGCTTAAGGTAGAAAAAGTCAGACAAAGTAGAGATGTTATCATACCTAATCATCCGAAACTATTATAGCTTTCACCTTATTTAAATTCCTCTTAAACTGTAGTTTTAGTTAAAGAAAGCAAAGGGCGCATCTTGTTCTACACCCTGACATCAAGAGTGTTTGTATAGTGACGTTTAAGTGTCCATTTAGACATTTCTTTACGTTATTTCACGTCAAAGTTTCGTGCCAGGAGTTAAAAAGTAAACCCATACCTGTCATGTCACGCAATTTATCTTCAATTAATTTTAAAGCATATTTCAAGAGACTACGTGAGCGCTTCGCCGAGGAAAGTTGTTTCGGCGCTGTGGTGATAAATTGTCAGACGTTATCAACTTTCCGTGAGCGCGGGGAGAGATGAATTAATTAATGGTATTTCTACATCAATCTGACAGATAAGATAATCTAATCTGATAGAATGAAAACCTAGCAATAAAAAATCAATGGAAAAGTCAATAATTTATCTGTTAAACTTAAAAATCGTAATCGCCTCTAATATTGAGGTTAACTGTGGATTTTTAGAGGCTGATATTAACTGCATTATCGACCTTTGTGAATTATGCAATGTTGAATGTGTTATGAAAAGCATAGGGTGCTGTAGGAATATTTGTTAATTCTGCACCTCACAAGCATCTTTTATAAACAAAGTAATCTTTCATCGCGTCTCTTGTTTAGTTATAAGAGGAAATTTTAAAAAATTCCACTCACAAAAAGCCACCATTAAACCACTGGTTTGTTATCACAATAAACAAACTCTTTAAAGATGTTGGGCCCACGCAAAAGATACAGTGTATATCCTAATTCATTTGTCTCAAAGTTCAATTTCAGTCTTAAGTTGTCTTTGTTTCGGATTTCAAACTTTCTCTAGAAAAAAAAAATCAGAGTGTGCGTAAACCACAAATGAGGAGAAATAAAGAATACAGACAGAAAAAAAAATAAAATTCTGTACAGAAGTTCTCGTTAAAGATCATTCATTTTCAACATTGTACAAAAGATTAAACTTTTCCCGAGTTTTCCCGGTAAAAAAGAAGACAATATTGAAAATTAATTAGGAAAACTCAAATATTAAACTCTTATTATGTTCCCCAAACGAAGTTGGGGAACATATTGTTTTTACTCTGTTTCTTATTATTATTATTATTATTATTTTTCTTCTCGGGAAAATTTTGAAATGATCTTGTAAACTACACATCCGATTTAGGTGAAATGTTTTTAGGGTCAGTAGACATGTTATGTAGATTTGCGGAATCAAGGTCATTTTGCGCGCACGTGCTTGCAAGAGCGCGCACGTGCAAAACTTGAAATGACCAATATATAATGGATAAAACCGTAACTTTTCTATTTTTTTGACAAAATGTTTTGAAACTCATAATGTAAGGATATATTAGTAGTATGCACAAGATGACATGGTCAAAATAGCAAGATCGCACGCGCATGCACGTGCGCTTTGCTCTGATTGGCTGAAACTAAAGTCTCTATATCTTTCTTGTTTTTGGACAAAATCATTTGAAATTTTGAACATAGTCATACATTAGGGAGATCTACAGCCTGTAATATAAGAAATATCATGAAAGCATGTGCATGCACGTGTGCTTGCAAGAGCTCGCAAGTGCAACATGAAAAATGTCCAACATAATTGATACAGACGTAACTATTTAAATTATTGATGAAATGCTTTGAAACTCATATTATAAGTAAATTTTAGAAGCATAGACAAGATGACATGGTCAAAAAAGCAAGATCTCACGCGCATGCACGTGCGCTTTGCTCTGATTGGCTGAAACTAAAGTCTCAATATCTTTCTTGTTTTTTGACGAAATCCTTTGAAATTTTAAACATAGGCATGTATTAGGATATCCTACAATAAAATATATAGCAATTGTCATGAAAACGCGTGCATGCACATGCACTGCAATTTGATTGGCTTATGCTTTAAATAGCTATAACTTCCTTGGTTTTCAACCAAACAGGATGGGATTTGGAACATAGATAGATATAATGAACTTCTACAAGATGGTATGGTCATCATGCAAATGCATACACGTGCGTGTACGTGCACTGCAATCTGATTGGCTGGAACTTTAAACAGCTTTAACTCCCTTGGTTTTCAACCAAACAGGGTGGGATTTAGAACATAGATAGATGTAATGGACTTCTACAAGAAGGTATGGTTATCATGCTCATGTATGCACGTGCTTCCACGTGAAATGAGTTAAATCAAAAATACAGTATAATGAGCGTATTTTTTTAATACTTTTGGATTAATTACTTTAACATTTAGTATATTAAAATATAGAGATTGTATAGACAAGATGATATGGTCATTACGCACATGCATTCACATGCGCACGCGTGGAATTCTAAAGTCCAAATGCATAGAGTTTGTCTTATTTAATGAAGCTTACAGGGAATGTGGCACCAAAAGGAAGTTGGGGAGCGTTTGGGGAACATCTGTAACGGTCCCCGTTACAATTAGCACTAGTTTGATATCGTTTTCTCTAGGTCCAAAACAAATTTTCATTTGCGTTTTGAGCTTCTTTAACGAGAACTTCAATACGAAATTTTATTTTTTCTGTCTCTAATCTTTATTTTTCCTCATTTGCGGTTTACACACTCCCTGATTTTTTTTTTCCAGAGAAAGTTTGAAATCCGAAACAAAGACACCCTAAGACTGGAAATGTACTTTGAGACAAATGAATTAGGATATACATTGTCTTCTTTTTTTCATCGGGAAAACTCCTCAAAGTTTAATTTTTTGTACACCTATGATTATCTCTGTTTAGATGCCATACGTGTAAAATATATTTTACTAGCAACCAAAAAAGCTTGTATCATACAATACATTATGCAATACATAATATACACAGATATAAATGCATAACGAGAAGATTCTCCAATTTGGACCTGTATGTCATATTATTAAAATTGCAATTTTAAGAAATACCAAATTAACATATATTCAAATATTTGAACCAATCTTCATTTAAGTGTACCTATCACTGTCAAATCAGTTGTACCTATCTTCATATGAATATAGCTATCTTTAAATAAAATAAAGATATGTTTAGTTTGATTATGCCTATGTCAGAGGTACCTTTCATTACTAGTATTTGCAGTAACAGAAAAAGAATTGAACTTAGGTATAATAAAATCCCTAATTGTTCCTATCTTAAAATCAATCCTTCCAGTCTTTAAATGATTTGTAACTTTCTTTAAGTCAAGGTATCTATCTTCAAATAAATTAAAGTTAGGTATAATTCAACTGAATCTACATGTATCTTTCAATAAAGATAGGTGTAATTTATTTGAACCTAGGTTTAAATACCAGGGTAATTATATAGAGATATTATTTACACCTATCTTTAATTCATTTAAACCTCTCTTTAAATTAATTGTACCTACCTTCAATTTATTTGGAGATATGTTTAATTTATTTAGAGATAGGTACAGATATTTGAAGATATGTTCAAATATATCAATATGTGTCAAATTTGACGTTCCAAATGAATTGCATGCATATAACAAAGGTAAAAACAAATTGAAAGTTCTTAGAAGAATCAAGAACAATTTTTTATATTTCTTAGAAAACTTCTGGGGTTCAAATCCATTGCCAGAGTGAGATATTGCCTTAATAAGCATAAATCATACACTCAGAAATTGCATTCTTCTGTCTCCTGGACAAGTTTACAATACAAATGTCTGATTTTCAAGAGAGACATGAGGAAAATCTTTGAATCACAAGCTTTGTTGAAAGACTTGGTAATTTCTCTAATTAGACACTTTTATTTGTTTAAACTGAAATTTGACATTTTGTGATCAGGTACCTATTCAGTTTGCAAATTACATAATATGGATGAATCACAAAGGCCCGATTTACCCGGAACTCTTACAGACGCCCAAACATTTGGCAAAGGATCTTTCCCCCACACCCTACAGATGTAATTAAAACAATCTAAATTCAATTGATTCTTCTGTAAACAAAGATGAAATTAAGACTCTTGATTTTCTTGTTTCAGGAAACCTTTTCTTTAGTGATAGATGCTTGGCGCAACATTCATCCCGACTTCTCCACTAAAGGTAGAGTCAACTCATCGAGAAAAAAATCATTCAAATGTACCATTAGAATTCTTACTCCTTTCTAACTATACAGATGCCTAAACATCGCTAACACGTTGTGATCTTATTAGATCTGTAATGTGTGTATTTTCTGACACAATTAGTAACGATAGATTTAACATGCCAAATTTTATATTGCCCTTCATTGTTGTGGGTCTTGAGATTCTTGTCATATGTGGACATGTTTGGTCATTATACGCTTTGCCAGAGTTGCTGTGCGTACAAGATTTCTCTTCATGCAACACATTTCTGTAATAAAAACAAAATGATGCGTGTACCAGGAATTAGAACGCATACATTGAACTTTAAATCTTGTGATTATGTGCAGGGGAATCTTCTAATCGCAAGCAAAATGAAAATGGTTTGGGTTCGCCAAATAAGTCGGAAAATTGAATAGTAAAACACTATATTGCTTCTTTTTTAAGTTTTGTACTTTCCTAATTCATTGGCTGTTTATTTATATACATAAGGAATCTCATTCAACATGACATGTTCAATACAAGTTATTAAGATTTTTTAAATTTATGAACGGCAATGTGGTTAAAACGTGTAATTTTCCATATTATCTGCTTCATAGTCAATTAGAAAGATTCCTTTGTTTCTTAATTATAACTGCAGCGAGCATATGATAGGGAAACAAAAACAATCCGAATTTGAACTACTTAATTGTTTCTTGGTTTTATAGGTGTCTCAAATAGAGTTCTACGAGCTGTGGCAACAGACAAATTAAACCCTCCTTCTCAGTGGGTAAAAAGGAAGGCAAAAGCCTACGACATAGAGATCGACTATAAATACCGAGTGATCTGTGACGAATTCTACTACAGTGACACCTGTGAGCAAATCTGTCGACACAGGAACGACAACTTTGGTCACTATGTTTGCGATGAAACAGGTTCTAAAGTCTGTCTTCCTGGCTGGCAAGGAGAATTCTGTCAAGAAGGTACATTTACCGAGTTCTTGTTAGCTTAGAATGAACTTTGAGGTATCAAAAAAGAAAGAGAAGGAACATGTGTGCAAATGTGATCAAATTGCCATATAATCAAAGAAGAACGTGCGAATTTTCAACTCTTTATTCAACCAATCCCCAACATAAATTTAAGTCCAGGATTTTTTTGTATATAGACTTTTTACAATAAAAATGAAACTCGTTAATTACCCTTCATTTATAAAATTATTTTGTTAAAAAAATATGTACATCAAGATCCTTTTAGGAGACAACATCTAAAAAGTTTCTAGAGATAAAATCTTTCAACAGTCAGTTGGAATTCCCATGGGTACAAATTGAACCCCTTTATTAGCAAACCTATTGTTTTCATATTCATTTGAAGCAGAATTTATTTATAAAATTGTGCATGAAATATATGGAGAGAACAAACAGTATTCAAGCTCAAAAGTCCATAAAACAATACAAAATAGGAGCAGAGCAAACACGGACCTCCAAAAAATCAGAGGTGGGATCAGTTGCCATGGAGAAGTGAGCATCCCTTGCCGACCGGTCACATCCGCCGTGTGCTCTTTGTCATGATCGGAAAATAAAGGGAAAATCCGTCGTCAATTCAGTTAATGAATAATGGACTAATAAAAGGTATGAAAAAGGTCAGTCAGCATTTGACTCAATGATAAATTGTATTTGCTGGCAATTAAGGTCATTGTATCGACCATAGAACAAACGAAATGATGACTTTAAACGAATCTGCTGATAGTTTTGTTTCATTAACTTGTTTGTCAATAATTTATCTTGTTTTAGAAATTGTACATACGCAGAGCATGCTTTTGCGTATCGAATCAACTGAGATATAGAAACTCCTTATGCATATGATGAAGGTTTATTGCTACATAAGTAAGGGAAGTTGCCGACTTTAAAGTTAAAGTTTGGTTGTTACATTACCATAAATGTCTTTTTCAAGTAAAATATCCATATATGAAACAGATGTGTCAGACTCTGTGCTTTATTTTATCTCAAGCTCAGCGCGATGTATCGTATCAACATAAGTATGGAATTAACCATCGTTAACTGACAATACGTCATCGATATATCTAAATGTCGAGGTGAAGGCCACAGCAAATGTTTTCTTCTATTCAGGTATAAGATTCTGGACAAATTCTGCTTCATATTAATACAAAAATATGTCTGCTAATAACGGGAAGCAATTGGCACCAAAGGGAATTCCAATAGATTCTTGGATGACCTGGTCTCCAAAAACCACATAGATGTTATCAATCAGAAACTCAAGCATCTTTTTATGTCAACTTAAGAGTACTTGTGTGCACAATCAGAATGTTTTTAAACAAAATGATTTTGCAAATTACCATTGAAGCATAAATAAATTTACGATTTCCATTTTTATTGAAAACGGAGCTGTCAATGATATCAAAAAGCCTGGACTTTAATTTATCGTGTGAATGGTTGTGTATAAAGTTGAAAAGTCGTAAGTTTTAAGGTCAGACGAGACGTTCCTCAAAATCTGCTTTGTATATCTTCGTAATGTATGAAAAATATTCAAAATTTTTATAAAATTCTGATTTCTAAACCAGTTTCTAGACGTTTTTAAAAAATCCAAACACTTAAACATTTGAAACTGGAAAATTATTTTTCTTCAAAGGATTATATGAAAAACTACCCCTGATTGCAGAAATCAAATTTTTTGTTAAACATGTTTTCAAAAAGACACACTCTTACAAAAATTTATCTATTATTAAGGAACGTCTCGTCTGTCCTTAAAGCTGTTGATTTTGATAAAATCTTGTGATTTCAAATTGTTCAAAAGTTCCTTGGAATATTTTAATCTGGTTTACACTACTTATCGGACATATTGTTGCACAGTACTCTTGAAGTTTCTCCTTCATTACTGTTAATATCTTAGTGAGGAGTAAAGAAGAGGCTTGTTTGAGCATTTACTGGAACCCGCTATGTATCTTTGTAAGAATTTCTGTGAAGTTTCGGAATCCCATATAAATTAGTAATTCAAATTCATTTTGATTGTTTTGGAATATTAAAAATATTCAAAACTGAAATATGATTCTAAAGAATTTCTTCCTCAGAAAGGGAACTATGAGTATAAGTTGGATTACCACTTGTAGAATTAAATCCAAGTTCTTCTGAAATATGATTTATGTAATGAGCCTTACAAACGAAGACGCCGCCGAAATATGACTGAAATTCTGCCGACTCGACATAAAACACTAATAATCAATCCAATTATCGAACGAAGACAATGTTGGTACCTGCTTTGTCAGGAGGGACCAGTACGTACTGATCATGTAATCTATCTAATTCTTGTTTCACTTCTGGATTGTTGAATACAGAAGGATAGATGGTTTTCATATTACCCCTCAATCTTTTAATAAGAATTTGTAACATAGATTTGATACATTTAATCCATTCTGACAAAGGTAAAGTCTTCTTTTTCACATATGACCCATCGCCTGGCGTAATCTTCTACAGAATTCCTAATGTTTATGAAATTCCGACGCCAGTTGAAGGATCCGGGTTCCCTATTTTAAAGACCTTTTAAAAGAAGTGATCTGAGGTCCTCATTATTAACTATATCTACGTGACCTGTAATAACGTGCCCAGCAGAACTAAAATTATAGAGTGATGAAGAACATGGTCACGAAGGAGGATTATTAGTATGTTTCAGATATTCGATATCCAGGCCCTGTCAAGTTTTCTTGTAATTAAAAAGTTTGGAAGCAATGGTCGATGTACACTTGTAGGAAATACAAGGTGTAGTTCTTGATTTGATGTATGACGGAACACCAGACTGTACCCTTTTGTGATTAGAAATACTGTTTATATGAACCGCGTCAATTCCTTTATGGGCAAATTGAAGACTGATTGTTTTAGCTACATTTTCTTCAGTAAAACTTGGGGGTTTAAGAAGCCTATGATTTGCAAGATCCGAGCCTAGATTCTGGTGTCGAAAAATGGGCTTTCAAGACTATTTTTAAGTTTCAAAGGGACAAAGTAAAATTTGTGCAAAATCTAATGCGTGAAAAGAAAACACTTGCTGTGGCCTTCAACTCGACATTTAGATATATCGACGACGTATTGTCAATTAACAATGATAATTTTCATTCTTATGTCGATACGATATATCCGGGTGATCTTGAGATAAAAGATACCACAGAGTCTAACACGTCTGTTTCATATTTGGATATTTTTGCTTGAAAAAGACCTTAATGGTAATCTAACAACCAAGCTCTTTGATGGGCGTGATGACTTTAACTTTTCTATCGTCAATTTCCCTTGCTTATGCAGCAATATACCTTCATCACCCGCATACGGAGTTAATATATCTCATTTGATTCGATACGCAAGAGCATGCTCTACGTATGAATAATTTCTAAAATGAGGTAAATTACTGACAAACAAGTTGATGAAAAAAGAATATCAACAGTCTTGTTTAAAGTCATCATTTCGTAAGTTGTATGGTCGAAACAATGACCTTGTCAGCAAATACAATTTATCATTGAGTCAAATGCTGACTGACGTTTTTCATACTAATTGTTAGTCCGTTATTTATACACTGAATTGCCGTAGGAATTTTCCGTTATTTCCCGATCATGATGAGAAGCACATGGCAGGTGTGACCGGTCGGCAGGGGATGCTCACTCCTCCATGGCACCTGATCCCATCTCTGATGTTTTAGAGGTCCGTGTTTGCTCTGCTCCTATATTTGTATTGTTTGATGAACATTTGATCTTGAATACTGTTCGTTATCTCCTTATGTTTCATGGGAATATGATGTAGACCTAACTGTTGATTTACATAAGGTAGTAATGAATCAAAAGAGAGATTGTGTATTAGTTTTATTGTAAGACAGATGTCCATGTCTACGCTTACGTCTCTGTTTATGGTTAAAAAGTCCCATCACATTTACATTGTTACATTGTGGTCTGGAAAGATTTCCAACATTATCGACATTGTCATAACATCCACAGGGAAAGGTTGTCCCTAGTTTTCTAATCCAAAATTCTTCTTGTTGTCTACGGAAAGGTGTACTCGGTGATGGACTGTTTGTGTTGTGATAAATCTTTTTTAGAAATCTACCTTTCATTGATAAGATAGAATGATCAGGTAAATTAAAATGTTTGTATAAAAGCTGCTGACCCCCATTATTTATATGAGATCCATGACCTGATGTTGATCCCTTGGTGTCCACTCAGTCCACACAGATTACATTCTATTTCCGTAGACAACTTTAGAAGATTTGCAGTTCAGGTTTTCCTAAGTTTTGGTATACTAGTAGTAATGCTGTCCAGTAAGATAACTGGTGAAAGAAGTGTTAGTTGTCACAGGTTTTACAGTTTTTTCGCAGAACATTTTGAATAGAGGACAATAGATCGGAAAAGGAGTCTTAAAATATATCTTAAATAGAAACCTTGCATTCTTTTAATTTTCGTATGAACTATTGGTTTCATACCAAAACTGTATGAAAAGAAGTCTCGAGCTTTGCTTTTCAATTCAGCTTAAGACAAATCGACGATGTTTTTACTGTTATTATATTCATTTTCATTCTAACTTTGATTTGATATACCCATCTAAAAACGAAAAGATATCACAGAGTCTGCTTTCATATTTGGATATTTTGCTAGAAATAGTAACCTACCAACAAAACTTTATGATGAATTAAATTAAACAAATTTTCCGTTTGCCTGTACATGAAAAGGTATACATGCTTCTCTCAAATTCTCTGATCCAACATCTGATATTTTTGGAGCTCCGTGTTTGCTCTGCTCTCATTTTGCACTGTTTTAATAGACTTTGATCCTGTTTACTGTTTGTTAAATGTGTTTCTTCATTTCATTGGGAAATCATAAAGATTATAAAGAATTTTGCCGAGATTTTTTTTACATGTGTAAAATATGTCCACGTTAACAATTTCAACATATAATTTCCTAGAATTCAAGTACTCAATACTGGCTAGTTTGTCTCTAAAGACCCTAAATGCCCCCCCTAATTTATTTAAGAAGCATGTAAGGCTAATTTCATATTTCACGAGAGGATATTTCGTAGTGAGGCAAAAACAGGCAACTATATTCGGAATAAAAGACGAATTCATTATAATAAATCATTTTTTAGAAATCATATTTTATATCCTTAAAAGTGTTAAAAGAAATTCATTGTAAATGTAGTAATTATATAACTATTTGATATTACAGCGGTTTGTACAGAAAAGTGCAACAGCAGCCGTGGCTATTGTGAAAACCCGTTTGAGTGTAGGTACGTATGTTCTGTGACTTACGCACGCAGTCATCAGTTGCAATGTGATGTTCAGTATTAAAGCTGAAACTGAATGTGTATTGAATTTCAGGTGTTTTCTCGGTTGGACCGGAGAGTCCTGTGATAAGTGTATACCTAACCCCGGATGTGTTAACGGCTTCTGTTACGAACCGTGGCAATGTATCTGTCGAAGTGGCTGGGCTGGAAGATACTGCGATATAGGTATAAGGAACGACAGTTTTAAAAATCAATCGATTTATAATTGAAACAAAATCATTAAACAAATAATCAATTTTACTCACAGTTCAGCATTACTGCACCAACCATCAGCCATGTCGAAATGGAGGAACCTGCCTTAACGATGCAAAAAACAATTTTACATGCTTGTGTTCGACTGGATATACTGGTCGCACATGTGAAAACGAGGTTTGCTTCGACATTCATTGTCAAAATGGCGGGAAATGTCAAGTAAGTATGTTCTCTCCTAAATCCTACTGTTAACCAATAAACTAGTTATTTCTTTTTGTCTTTTTTGTCTTTTTATTGCATCAACAAGAGTAGGGCAGCTGAATCTTTTCTCTAAATAATTCATTTTTACAAAATGGACTCAATGTCAGTTTCTATTTTTAGGGAACCTCGAAGGGCGATGCAAAATGCGTTTGTCCTGAGGGCTTTTATGGTCAACATTGCCAACATATAAAGAGTTCCTGCAAGGACATAACATGTGCTAATTCTGGAACATGCAGTGATGGCAAATACGGAGCATATTGTTCGTGTTTAGCGGGATTTGAAGGAAAGTACTGCGAAAGTGAAATTGACGAGTGTCGATCAAATCCCTGTGCAAATGGTAAGTTCAAAATATTTACAAATGTATAGTACGCACGTGTCTAATTATCCTGAGTTATGTTTTCACTTCAAACAGACTTTTACATCATTTTGTAAACAAATCTTGGGTGTCTTATAAAAATATGATGTGAAAGAAATGTTCTTCGTTGAGTTTTACTGGCGCAGTCTAAACAATGAATAAATTGTCTCCTTATAACTGCAATTGACACCAGAATTTTCTTGTCATTACCAGGCGGCACCTGCTTGGACGGCGTCAATGATTTCATCTGTCGCTGTAAAGAAAACTACATGGGTAAAACGTGTGGAATAATTATGGACCCCTGTTATGGGATCAAATGCTTTAATGGTGGTCGGTGCCATATCACAGCTGGTTTCCGTGCACATTGCATATGTCCTCGTGGCTTCTCTGGAAAACGATGTGAATCCAAGATTAATGTGTGCAAAAATATAATATGTCGAAATGGTGGAAGTTGTATGAAAAGCGACACAGGGGACTATAGTTGTATTTGTTTAAATGGTTTCCATGGAGATTTTTGTGAACTCTCTGTTCAATCGTGTACGTCATCTTCATGTCAAAATGGCGGCATTTGCAAACAGTACGGAAACCATACTCGTTGCATTTGTCCTTCTAAGTTTATTGGAGAAAAATGCGAAAGTTCAGATATTGACCTTGAAGAGGAAATTTCAGGATCTTATGCTCAGAATCTGTGTGCAAAATGTCAAGTTAATGTGTTTTGGACTATCCTTTTTATATTATTGGATTTTCTTATTCCTCCTTAATTTAAAGTACCACAGATACGGTATTCACAACCGGTGATTGTTTGTCACTTTGCTGTTTTGTCATTTTCTTCTTGTCATGGCAGGTTTCATTCCTTTTCAAATAATTTATATTTTTCATTGAAAAGACCATTTATGATGAATGTACTTGTACAAGACTGTAAATATGGACTGTCACTATTCAGCATTCAGACGCAAGAGGTTGGGGAAGGGGTGCTGAGATGTATAAAATTGATTTTAGCTCACCTGAGCCGAAGGCTCAAGTGAGCTTTTCTGATCAAAATTTGTCCGTTGTCTGTTGTCGTTGTCGTTGGCGTCGTTGTCGGAAACTTTTAACATTTTCATCTTCTTCTCAAGAACCACTGGGCCAATTTCAACCAAACTTGCTACAAAGTATCCTTGGGTAAAGGGGATTCAAGTTTGTTCAAATGAAGGGCCATGCCCTTTGCCAAGGGTAGATAATTGTGAATTAATGAAAATTTTTTGGCATATTTTAAAAATCTTCTTCCCAAGAACCATGGGCCAGGAAAGATGAAACTCATGTGGAATCATTATGTAAATTCAAATTTGTTCAAATCAGAAAAATTAATGGCATTTTTTAAAAATCTTTAAAAATCTTCTTCTCAAGAACCACTGGGCCAGGAAAGATGAACTCATGTGGAATCATCCTCAGGTAGTGGGTAGTAGGATGGGGCCAAAATTTGTTTTACATAGAAAGTATATAGGAAAAATCTTTAAAAATCTTTTTCTCAAGAACCACTGGGGGTTAGGGTAAGGGGCCAAAATTGCCAAAATGGCCAATCAAAGTTTTACATAGGAGTATATAGGAAAAATCTTTTTCTCATGACCCCCAGGGTTAGGGTGGGGCCAAAATTGCCAATCAAAGTTTACATAGGAGTATATAGGAAAAATCTTTTTCTCAAGAACCATTGAGACAGGAAAGATGAAACTCATATAAAATCATCCTCATGTGCTTTTTCCTATAGCCGATGTGCTCAGGTGAGCGATGTGGCCCCTGGGCCTCTTGTTATCAATTGATTAAAAATATATTTCAAATAAAATGTAGAAATCAAAAGTCAAATGTCTGCTTTGTATTGCCCAACCAGATAAGTTGGACATAGAGATTTAGCAAACTTATTCAACTGTACAAATTTGATCGATGCAGGGAGAGAATGAGAGAGAGAGAGAGAGTTGTACAAAATTTCTATGGATTTTTGTCTCTTTTGAAAATATTTAATAGTTTTATGTTTTTTATGAAATCACAAACATTATTTGGTATTGTACATTTAATGATCACAGAAAAAAGATAAATAAAATAGTATATTTGATATTACTTTTTCTACGTATAAGAGCTGTATAGATGGTAACAGTGTAACATTACCTAACATTGTTATCTTCAGCATCCATCTTCGAGTGAGTAATGTTTGCAACTGAAAACAAATTCACTTGCGCATGAAACCCCTGATTGTGTTGTAGTCCTCTGATTAATACAGTTGTCTCAATGTTATCTGGTGAGGAAACAGGATGATTAGCATAACTGTGCTCGGCAGTTCATATGTTAGTATCAGAAGAGCCGACGTGAAATATTTCTTTGAGATCAGTTTGATTATTACACATTAAAGCCATCCCCCCACTCTTGATTTTGATAAGAATGCTGAGAGAAACTGAAAAAAAATTATGAAGTAAAGTCTCAAAAGATTTCACCTTTTTTTAATTGTAATTTGAAATCTTATATTCGATTTATCCGAAGAGTTGGTCGATTTTATTGTATTTATTCTCGAAGTAAACTAGCCATTTTCTCTGAAATACTACAAAGACCACATAATGAAACATGTAAATACATGTATATTAATTTCTCGTGCTAGAATCCTGTACTCATAGTATCGTATGTGGATATATATATTATCCCTTCATGTAAATAAGTTGAATCTGATTTGTCGAGAAACATCTTATCTAATTGTTAAATCAAAACAATATCAGAGACCTTTACAGAGTAGAATGGATATAACCGTTTACACTGATGAAAAAATTATTTTAAAACTAGCAATATAAAGTCAACATGAGTTTTTGACAACGGTTGATTATTAGAAAAAAATATTGACTATGCAGTCAGCGTTACAGTAACAAATATATTATTCAATTTGAAGTTTTCAAAGTAACACGACATTTATTTTATATGGATAAAAGATTTTTGTTGCTTTATATCATATAACATAAGAACTATATTTTTGACGTAACTTTAAAATGGTTACGTCAAAAAACGTATTGCTCCGCTGGACATTACTTTTGAAATATGCTCAATTTGAAGCCCTTTTTGGAGGAAAAATTTCTTACATGAATGTTTACATTGAAAAAAATTAAAATTAAATAAATGAAGCTTCATTCCTTAATTGTATACAACATTTAGTATAATATACTAGTAATATTTACATTTCCAATGTCTTTGTCTCGTATGTGTAAAATTACAAATATCAAAAGTACTTTATTTCTTTGACTTATCAAGTTTTCACTGCCATTACTACTAATGTTTATTTTATATAGATAAAACTTAGTTTTATTATTGTTGCTTTATTTAGCGGTGCGATCTCAAAAAAAAAACCACGTGCAGGGCGTAACTTTAAAATGGCGACTATGGGGTCAACATCCTGCCTTGAACAGGATCACATAAGCCGGCAAATGCTCTTTGAGCAATAAACCCGGCTAACAATATCAACCTTTGAATGGTATAACCACACCTTCCAGCGTAGCAACAGTCAACATTGCTTGACAACGGGTGACATTAAAAAAATATTGACTATGCAGAATTTATGCGAACACGGTTCAGTGTTACAGTTACAAAATATTATTCAATTTTAGTTGTAACACGACATTTAATTGGATAAAAGATTTCGTTTATAAATATGGTATAATTTTATACGTCACAATGAAACGTCAAAAACGATTGGTGTTTATGAAATTATCATTTGAAGCCCTTTTCGGAGGAAAAATTGATATTGTCTACATTGAAATTAAATTAAAAAATGAAGCTTCATTCCTTAATTGTATACAACATTTAGTATAATATACAAATAATAAATACAGCATGTAGTTGATAGTAACATTGAAAATTTTCACCCCTCGAAAAACACCGTTAACTGCGACTGCGTCTCAGTTGACATTAAATAGCTAGGAATTACTGTTTCCATTGAGAATAAAAAATTGGGGAAATAAAATATTTAGGCAGTGTTAAATTTTGACTAATTTCTCTTCGTGTCAGTTTACTGAGTCAATGAACGTCATTTATGCCTAATAAATTGAAGGAGGGCATTAGGAAAAACGTGATAATGTTGTTATTTTGATAAAATGTGAACGGAATTCTGAGAAAAAAAAAATCTTATCTTTAGTTTCATTTTAATTAAATTACCTTAAACAAGAACTGAGTAATTAGGAGATTTTTATTCTCTGCTTTCGTAAATTTTGTACTAGATGAACCAATCGGGATGTCATGGTTAATAAATAGAATTTTCTTTGAAAATTCTATTTCTACAGTTTTTATACGGTATCACAAAGTAAAGCCTCCCCTCTCAAAGAATATATACATTTTTGTGTATTCAATAAATAACGAGCACACAGCAGCGCGTTGCTACCGAGTATATATGTCCTCCCCAATTCCATTGCCAGTGGATAAGAAACTTTGGAACACAATTAGACTAGATCTATAAAAATGTTTGTTGATTCTTAACCAAATTGTACTAAGATATAGCCATAAAATTTCAAAGGTCATAGTGATATACTTTTTGGTCTCATTCTTCGAGGTCCGTGGATGCATCAAATAACAAAATTTAATTATTCTTAGCCGATTAGGACATGAATTATCTAAACGATATAAAAATTCAAAAGTAGGTCACAGTGATGTGATGATTCTAAGCCAGTAAGTACCAGAGATACTTAAATATAGCCATAAATTTTCAACAGAAGGTCAATGTGACCTATGTTTGGTTAGCATTCTCCAAAGAGCCAAGATGCATCAATTGGCATAGTTTGTTTATTCTAGTCCAATCAGTATCTGAAATATTTAAATATAGCCATAAAATCTCAAAAGTAGGTCATGGTGACTTTTGGTCAACTTTCTCTAAATACCCTAGATTCATCAACTGACAAGGTTTGGTGATCATAGGTCTGAAAGTGTCCAAAATATGCCTCAACAATTTAATAATGAATGCCTGCATATTTCAATTAATAATTTTTCAATTACCTTTCAACCATGTTAGCTTCAATCATCATGAGAGATTCTCAAAAATGTATGTTTGGTCAAAAAATTGATTTAAAAAATCTAAACAATAAGATTTTTAATTTTTTTTTTTTATTCATTTTAGATGGGGATTTTTTAAGCAACAATATATTCAAGATATTCTTTACAGTTGATTATTTTGTAAACAATTGTGAATGAATTAAATACAATAATAACATTCAACTGATCCACGGTCAACATCAGTGATATACAAGTATGCATATTAACAAAAAAAAATATCTAAAAATGAATAATTCATAATTCTTTTTCATAAATTATAACAAGATTTGATACTGATTCATCCAATATCAGGAAAAAAAAATCGCTGACATTTAATATTAAAATAACATGAACAACTGAAACATGCATAGGACTTATCTTGATGAGCAAATCACTAAAAGTGTTTACAAATTATTTGGGACTAAGTACAGTATAATCTGGCCATGATAAGAAAGAAATTAAATTCATGGGTCTAGAAATAAAATATCTTCAAAAAATATTCCAAAAATGCACTGCTTACAAAACAAGCCATTGGATATATGCCTCACACATATATTTGAGTACAGCCTCATGGACCCTACAGGGCATTGAGATGGTATGTTAAGTACATAAATATGATAATCAGGAGGGATCTTTCACACTGTTTTACAATTAATGATGATGATACAAAATACATGTAATATTAAAACAACAATAATGAGTTTGTAATATTAAACTGTTTTGCTAGTGCAAGTAAAAATATTGCATCAGCATATCAACCTGTATGTATAAGTGAAACAAAAATATTGATAACAAAATGCGCAGTCAATATAAGAATCTGTTTATAGACCTTCCTCTGATAATGTTGTGTAGAGACCACTACTCCATATGTTCACTGGAATCAGAGTCAGAGTTGTCTCCCATCTCCAGCAGACTTGTGTGGTCTGGGCCGGTTGGCTTCTTTCTTCCACTGAGGCGCGATATGATACTACCCTGTTTACTTCCCTCGCGACTTGATGGCAGACTCTCCACCCCACGATGAACAGAAATGTTATCCAGCTCCTGGTCAGCAGCAAACTTAGCATAGTATTTCTGGGTTAGCATTTTATCCTTTGATGGCTTCTTGAAACTGAATTTAAAAAATATATAACAGGTATATAAATAAAAAAAATTTAATAAGGAAATATATCAAAAATTGATACCTTTTTTAAAAACCTTGCATCTGCTATAAAATGATCAGCAGAAAATTTGGCGTAGTATTTCTGGGTTAGCATTTTGTCAGTAAAATATATACATTTGATATTTTTTTTTTTTATCCACACCCGTATTTGATTTTTTCTTCAAGCACGGAAACACGTTAGTACTCCCGTATATTTAAACATTCGTTAAAACGTGTTGCTATCATATTTAATTTTTTAGTATTTACTCATTTAAAATCATATTAAAACAAAATGCAGCGACAAAAATTGCTACCTTTTTTAAAAACTCAATCGCCATGCTTGATTGCATTGTTTATCGAGGCTTGACACGCCGAGAAGCCAAACTTTGAAGGTGCTAATAAAATAAGACCTACTGGGGTAACATTTTTTGGCAGAACTTTCTGTCTTCCGAACATGTGCAGTAAAAACAAGAAATACTTTATGAACACACATGATCCTTTAGCGCACAATATTTTACGTTTTGCGCCAAAGGCGCTAAAGGAGTAGTGCGCCAAATATTCTCGTTTTACAGTATCAGTTTTCTATAAAAGAAATACTTTATAATGAAATATGACTTACGTTTTGAGAAGTAAGGAAGACAAGACAACAGAAACTGAGGATAACGCCATCGCAGCTGAGGCCATCCAGGGCTTCATTGACAGGCCGAAGGGAACAAAGATTCCTACAAGACAAAGACGACTCACTGTAGTTCAGAGATAAAGCTATGACATTTGGCAAGTAAATAGAAATAGCTACTTAATTCTACTCACCAGCAGCTATAGGAATGCCAACCAGATTATAAATGGAAGCAGCGAAGAAGTTAATGCGGATTCTGCGAACAGTCTTCTTTGAGAGCTGAATAGCTGCAGCTACATCTACTAGGTCATTCTGTGGACAGATTAAAAAAATATACAATGTATATTCAAGATTAAAATATATACAGCATTTCTGTCTGCCACTTCTATACTGTTAATTACTGATTGTGTTGAATGACAGGGTGACACTTACTTTGATGAGTACCACATCTGCGGCCTCCACGGCTACATCTGTTCCTGTTCCTATGGCGATTCCCACGTCTGCTTGTGCCAGAGCCGGCGAGTCGTTCACACCATCTCCTACCATGGCTACCTTCATTCCCTGCTTCTGAAGCTGTTTGATCTTTTTTACCTTGTGAGAGGGCAACACTTCAGCAAATACTTTATGAATTCCAACCTGTAGAAAAAAAATACATATATTTTATCTAAATATATTCAAATCACATTTTTTTAAAAAAAGCGAAGAAATACTTTAATATCAAAATAACATTTCTAAAAAAAAATATTGCCCAATTTATTTTATCATCAGTTTTTTTAACAGTGTTAACATCATGTAATGGCTTCATCTCCCCCCATCCCATTTTGTCTACTGTAAATTTCTTGTTTTTCGCAAACATTTATTATAGCAAAATGGCTCTCCAACATCAAATTGGGAGATTAATTATTTACAAATGGATGGTTGATCAAGAGAATTAACATGGACTTAGCACTATAAAAATAAAAGCAAGTAATTTTATTTTGCGAGTGATGCTTCTTAAGAAATTAATTCCTCTGGTCTAATTAGGAATCTATAGTATGTGAATACCTGTCTGGCAATAGCCCTGGCTGTTTTTTGATTGTCACCTGTCAGCAAAACAACCTGTAGTCCCATATCCTTCAGTGTACTGATGGCCAGGTGGGCCTCCGACTTCACTGTGTCAGCTATAGCCAGCATAGCAATTATCACATCTAAAACAGAATAATCATGTGTCAGCTATAGCCAACATGGCAACTATCACATCTAAAACAGAATAATCATGTGTCAGCTATAGCCAACATAGCTACTATCACATCTAAAACAGAATAATCATGTGTCAGCTATAGCCAGCATAGCTACTATCACATCTAAAACAGAATAATCATGTGTCAGCTATAGCCAACATGGCAACTATCAAATCTAAAACAGAATAATCATGAGTCAGCAATAGCCAACATAGCAACTATCACATCTAAAACAGAATACTGTATAGGGGGAAAATAACTCGCGGTTTTAATATTCGCTATATTCACGGTATTAATAAATCCATGAATACAAGAAACAGTGAATAATTTTTCAATAATCTCCATGTTTTATTTGGAAATTTAAGGATAGACAACGATATCATAGGTTTATACACATGTACCGGCAATACATGGTCACTTCAGTAATTACGAGTAGTACTTATCATTCAATTATTATAATTATCACGCTTTATTTTATTTTAAATCGGCAGATAATAACTTATGTTTGTTCCAAAGCTGTTTTAATAGCCAACTCTATATGTATCATCAATCAAAACACGTGGGCCATGAGTTTTGATTACCCGTGCGTAACTAATGTTACCACGTGTATTTGTTACCAGCATAATCATGCATATTTGATTTTATCGAGATTTTGGTTTTAAGAAATCATTCAAATAAATATCAAACTTACTGAAGATGTGGAAGGATATTATTTCATCAAACTACATAAACACATTTATTTCCGTCCAGTGGTTTTTCGCCGCGTTGTATTGAGGACCGTGGGTGCACATGCACTCATCATAATAGCATATAGGAAAGTCATTTGACGTTTAGAATGAAGGTCTTTTAATTACTGACCTTGTTTACTTAATTATTTATTAAATCTAACAATTTTATATTCACCTCCCCTGTTGAAATAAAGCCATGACACTGATGAATGCCGTTAACATGAAGCTATATAGACAAGGGAGGTAACTTTTAGTATATACCAATTCTGCGAATTCAAGAAACCGCGATCGTGTCAGATGAGAGAAAAACGCGAAAATTGCAACCCGTGAAATTAATCCCCTATATAGTAATCATGTGTCAGCTATAGCCAACATAGCTACTATCACATCTAAAACAGAATAATCATGTGTCAGCTACAGCCAACATAGCTACTATCACATCTAAAACAGAATAATCATGTATCAGCTACAGCCAGCATAGCTACTATCACATCTAAAACAGAATAATCATGTGTCAGCTATAGCCAGCATAGCAACTATCACATCTAAAACAGAATAATCATGTGTCAGCTATAGCCAACATTGCTACTATCACATCTAAAACAGAATAATCATGTGTCAGCTATAGCCAGCATAGCAACTATCACATCTAAAACAGAAATAATCATGTGTCAGCTATAGCCAACATAGCTACTATCACATCTAAAACAGAATAATCATGTGTCAACTATATGTCTATAGCCAAAATAGCAACTATCACATCTAAAAATTTACAAAAAAGAATAATCAAAACTTTTATCATGCAATCCAAAGTATTTAGACAGACACCAAAAATAAGCATCCCCTTGTCAAGAAAGAAACAAAATACTTATTGGTGTCTAATTTTTCAAGTTAATCAAAAAATGGTACTAAAAAAATTACAAATTATTTTTTAAAAGAAGGTTTTGTTGTTCAAGTAAAATTTTCAAATACATTTACACTGACCATCAATAGCACATAAAATGGCTGTTTGTCCCTGGTTCTCATGCTCAGTCATTGTTTCGTCCATTTTGTAGGTCACTGTCAGGCCGTTTCTTGTCATCCACTCCCGATTTCCTATCAGAACCTTGTAGGGTGTAGAAGCAATGGCCCCAACCAAACTACTCTCTAAAAGGAAACAAAGGATTAATATCTCATTAACACACAAGAACAAGTTGTAATTTAAACATTAAGTTCTGTCTAAAACATGTACATTCATGGTATTCAAGATATTGGTGTTAAATACTGTAAACCATCTTTTATTCACGTCAACTGTTATTCCCGATTCGTCAGTTTTCAATCAATCTGCGACAATTAATTTTCGCAACTGAGGAATTATTCTATACAAATACAAAGCAAAATGAATGGTTTGCGGCCATTAATATTTGTGATTTAAAGTAGGTCATGAAACTCGCGAATATTTCTTGCACGCAAATAAAAGTTGGTTTACAGTATACCAAAGTTTAAATATTATGTCTTTAATTCATGTATTTATTTCCGTTTTATTTTCCTGTCTTACCCTCTATAGTGGCACTAATTTCCTCCCCGTCAAACAGGACGTTATCGGTCTTGACCCGTGTGCTCCCCATCAGGTTCTTCCTGTTATTGACCCCCTCCAGATCTATATCCGTCAGAAGACCATCAATCTGGGTCACCGTACATTTCAGTCCACACCCTGGCACCGCCTGGTACCCCTGGGTCTTACCCAAGGTCTCTGTCTTCAAAGTCTGAAAAGTTGGTGATTTCATGTGTTAATGTTTACCAATATAAAGAACAAAGTATGAAAATACTTTATGTGACTAAAACTAGAGTTGTCATAAACTTGTTGAAGTACAGGTATGTTTAATTTATATCTATTACATGTTCTGTGAAAGTGCTTGCTTACTCAATCAATATCTTTACATGTAATTATGAAGGGTTTTTTTTGTAGACTTCACAGATAAGTCATTTTCTCCATCATCTTTTTTAAAGAATTAATGATCTACATGAATTTACAAGTCCATAGCTAACATGTAATACCTCCCACCAGCTACATACCTGCTTGGCATACTTTACAATGGCCGAGGCCAGTGGATGTTCACTGCTTGTCTCAGCTGTTCCTGCTATGGCTATCAGTTTAATAAAGGAGCAAACAGAATTCTCTACAAACATCGCTACCCTGGCAACTCGAGGAACTCCATGAGTTACTGTTCCCGTCTTGTCAAACACAATGCACTTCAGCTGTGAAAAACAAAATAAATGTCAGATCAAAAGGAAAACTAAAGAATTACTGTAAATGTATTATATTAAACATATACGATATTCGACAAAAATTCATTTTTGAATAAGTTTAGCATCAATTTACTGTAGACGTACTTTTTTCCACAGGGTCATAATTCCGCGGAATCTAAATTTCTGTTTGATCCGCTGGTAGAAAATTACGCGAATTTCTCAAAATGTCACTATATGCCTTGCATTTATATTAGGCCAGAGTTTTTTTATTTTCTGTTTAACGGGAAGCGCCGACCCAATTTTTTCAAAATATCGAATAAAAATAAAAGAGGTCAATTTCACTTTTATTTTTAAAATACCCGCCGACTGTGTCATTCATTGATGGTTTGAAATAAAATCGGGTTTGATGTACACCTATTTCTAAAGAATCATGTAAACGTTTGACAGAGCCTGTGTTGATCAAAGTCTTTTACGAGCGTCTTGCTGATTACGATGTCGTAACCAGTTTAAGGAACTAGTTTACCAACAAGTTATCAAGAAGCAAGAAAGTCATTTCAAGACATTAATAGACGGTTATTTTAAATCCATTGATGATGAAAACAAGCAAGTTCTTGAAATGGGAGTTAAAGCATTGACAACCTAAATACACCAGATGCACATTGAACTGTGGAGCAGGTGTCCAAATAGTTGGGGTAAGTTTTGAGACGTTGTCTTGATATAAACTTTCTGTAAAAATTTTTGAGTGTTTGGCACTTTTATATGTTTTTTCTTCTTTTAAAGATGTTTGCATTCTAGATTTAATTTAATCACATATGGTACATAACAAAGGTAAAATTCGCGGCAAAATTTTATTTTACAATGAATCGTGTCAAACTATATCAGGGACATAAAATGATGATTAAAATATTTTAGATACGAGTCCATGTCTATTTGGTTGAATAAAATGAGGCTAGGATTACTGTAAATGTATTATATTAAAAAATAGGCGATATTCGGTATAAAATACTGACAAGTGAAGTGACAGCTATATTGGAGTTGCACATTTGGACAATTGAATACTTTAGTGCAAAATGGACAAAGAACGAGTTATTGTTATTTATTTTTATCTAAGAAAAAACTCTTAAAATATTTGTATCTTCATTTAGAAAAGAAAATAATTTCATACATGAATTTGATTAGCTAATAATGTATCATAAAGGAATTTTTTTTTTTGCAGTTTCATTTCTTGGCAGAGACCCAGCCATTTGTGAAGACTTCCACGAGGACTTTGCTGTTGTTCATCAAAAAGTTCAGCTGACAAATTTCCATTCAGAACCTCAATAATGTGTTATCCCTTTATACTAACATAGCATTGTCAAGTCAGCTATCAACCCCACTGCTTTTTTTAACTTCTATTAAATCATAATATACATGTAGCTTAAAACATTTTCATCATGACTTTTATAAATTTTATACAATAGATAGATGATCACTTGAAGACCTGTGTAAAATTTTAAGCAGTGTGGTTTTTTGATCTGCGTTTATCCAACATTATTGTTGCTGTATAACAAATGTAAATTATAATATTATATTGATATGCTTTTACTAGAAAAATGTGCAAGTGTGATTAAGCACAGTAGGATAACTCATGCAAATCTTTTTATCTGTATTTGAAATCCTTATACATTATGAACAAAATTGTATTGTTTTTCAACATTTAAATGAAAAAAAAAATTCATACCAATTTTTGGTTTTATTTTTATTATGGCCCCGACTTGACAAATTTTGATCTTTTATTTTTATTTTTATTTCGTCCCCTCGACCCAATTTTTTCTGAAAAATTCCTGTTAAACAGAAAATAAAAAAACTCTGGCCTTAAGTACGCTTGGACAAATTTCCGCGGAAAATGTGTGACCACGTACATAGCGTAAATTAATACCACGCGGAAAAAAGTACTTCTACAGTAATTTAGCGCCATTCTCAATTTTATTATTTAAGTACCAGTACATGTATATACATGTAAGTGCAAAACAGTTAGCGCTGTACTTGAATTAGTGGAAGTTTCTTTTCACCAAAGGTGCTAAAAGAATACACAGCCAAATCTGATACATTTACGGTAAGTTCAGCAATATAAAAATAAGTTAATCAATTTTTAACATTAGAGGCTTACTTTGTGAGACAATTCCAGGGGCTCCCCGCCCTTGATCAGTATACCGTTGGTGGCCCCTACACCGGTTCCCACCATCACCGCTGTGGGGGTGGCCAGGCCGAGGGCACAGGGACAGGCAATACTCAGCACAGTGATGGCATACTGAAAAGCCTTCTGAAATATCACCTCATCTTTTGACATTGAGCCATCATCCTGAAAAAAGAAAAAGACTCCCAAATCAAAAAGGATTAAAAAATAAAGTAAATATATTGTTGTAACAAAATACATGTATTTAAAGGAATTTCAAGAAAATTCTATTTTTTAACCATGGCAACACCAATTATTGAAATTAAAAAATGCATTATTTTTTGAATGACTTGTGTGCCAAGTTATATTGAAATCAGATCAAAACTGTAGGAGGAGAAGTGTTTTAAAGGAATTTCACAGAAATTTCTATTTTTAGTAACCATGGCAACATCGTTCATTGAAATCAAAATCCGATGCACCATTTTATGTATCTATGTGTAGCCTACTTGTGTGCCAAGTTATATTGAAATAAGATCAAAACTGTAGGAGGAGTAGGGTTTCAAAAGAATTTCACAGAAAATTCTATTTTTAGTAACAATGTCAACACCCTTCATCGAAATCTATATCCGATGCATTATTTTTTGTATCTTATTGTAGTCTACTTGTGTGCCAAGTTATATTGAAATCAGATCAAAACTGTAGGAGGAGTAGCGTTTTAAAGGAATTTCACAGAAATTTCTATTTTTAGTAACCACGGCAACAGTGTTCATCGAAATCAAAAACCGATGCACCATTTTATGTATCTTTGTGTAGCCTACTTGTGTGCCAAGTTATATTGAAATAAGATCAAAACTGTAGGAGGAGTAGGGTTTAGTATTTTTCTATTTTTGTAACCATGTCGAAATCAAAAACCGATGCACCATTTTATGTATCTTTGTGAAGTCTACTTGTGTGCCAAGTTATATTGAAATGAGATCAAAACTGTAGAAGGAGTAGCGTTTTAAAGAAATTTCACAGAAATTTCTATTTTTAGTAACCATGGCAACACCGTTCATAGAAATCAAAAACCGATGCACCATTTTATGTATCTTTGTGTAGTTACTTGTGTGGAAATACAAAATGTAGCTGAAAAATTGTTTGTGAGGAAAAAAATCTTGCATGTGTTATGTAGTTCAAGTTTCATGGAAAATAAGAATGATGCTTACCACAAAGTCTTTATCTACTTTATAAAAAAAAAACAGGATACCACCCTACATGTCAGCCAGCTGCTGTATGGGGGCCTGTGTAAGGTAGACAGATACATATCTTATAGTTGTAATGTGTTTGAAGCTGATATGATAGATCATTTTGTATACAAACATTTTGTTGTAACATGTAGCTATTGTGAGGAAAAAAATCTTTGTGGTATATATTGCAATTGTTTTTAAAGAAACAATAACTCTACATGCTAAAGTCTTTCTATGTTAACATTTTGTGAGTTGTGTACCTTTGAAGTTTGTGCCTCCTCCACCAGTTTGACAATCTGTGACAGGGTGGTGTCAGATCCCACGTGGGTGGCCTCTATCAGGATCATTCCATTCTGGTTGATGGAACCACCAATCACTGTGGCACCTGTAAATAAAGAATAAAGATATACATGTAGATAGTAATCATAAATCATTGGTGCAGATGCAAACAAAAATAAAGAAATAAACACTAGAGTATATGTAGAAAGAACACGTGTGTGATTTTGTACAGACCTATGGCCTTGGAGACGGGCATAGATTCTCCTGTGATGAGAGACTCGTCACAAGTTGTGTGTCCTTCTATTATTTTAGCATCCACTGGGATCTTTTCACCGGGAACAACCTGCATTATATGTCATAGTTTTAGGTCAAAGGCACATAAAAGTCTCTGTAACAATGATTATCTATTTCATTTAAAACTTAATTTTAATTTATATATTAAATTATGTATCCTGAGCATTGAGACCTCAAAGACATGAATATATGAAAGTTAGTTGAATTTTTTTTTTCAAGAGGTTCAATTTCATATTTCAAACTTTGGATATCTTGATATTTTTTTTCCAAGACTTTGATATCAGATGATAAAGTTTGACATTAAATAATTCATATAATAATCCTTATGAAATGAAAACCAATAAACTTTATATTTTTGACATAATTAAGTTCATTACCTTGAGAACATCACCTCTCTGTACTAAATCTACACTTATTGTTTGTTCATTCAGAATGTTGAATTCCTTGTCAATTTCCACCAGCACAGCCTCAGAGGCCTGTAGAGACATCAGCTTAGCCAGAGCTTCAGACGTCTTACCCTGTTTAGATACAAATTTCCAATAGATTTAAATATATTTTGCTGAATATGTGTTTTGCTGAATAAGTGAAATATCTAACAAGAGTCTAAAGATGAAGAATATTGTCAATTTTAACATTTCCCACCTTGGCGACATGTTCTAGCCAGCGTCCCAGTGAAATGAAGACCATCAACATGGGGGTCGTCTCAAAGAAGGTCACAGGGCTCATTTTCTCCACCATCACCATAGCAACAATGACCACAATACAGGAGTAAACATAGGATATAGTGGTTGCCAAGACTACCAATACGTCCATGTTTGCAGCTCCATGTCTAACAGCCTTAAAAGCTTGTATGTAGAAGTATCTTCCTCCAATAAACTGAAAACCAATCATAACATCATTAGTTTTAACTCACTTTGCAAACTTAGGTACTTCTAATTATGTCTTTTCAGGGTTACTTTCCCTTTTGCAATCTCTTCATGAAAAAGGACCTATAGACAGTCTTGAAATATAGCAGTTTTATTATAAAAATATACAAAAAGCAATGCATAAAAACACTACATGTATTTTATTAATTAGCATAAGAACTGGTCCTGTTTTACCTGTACCGGTGTGGCCAATATAAACATCAGCAGGTTCTCTAGAGAAAGACCTGGCAGAATCATGATCTGGTAGTGGCCGTCATGTGATACCGGTGTTACGGTGGTGGTATTCCCTGTAGTGTTAGTGACCTGGGGGGTCTTGTCTGGGGGTGAGGCAAACATGAAGTACATCATGATCACTAGAGAGGGCACGCCAAAGATCAGGGACCATAGGAACGAGGCTCTCCATCTAAAATCAAATAAATTGTCAATGTAAATGGAATCAAAATCTTTCAACAAAATAGTTAAGTTAGTCAAATGCATGCTGAATGTCAATTACATTTTTATGAATAAAGAGATGACTACTAACAATATAATTAAACAGAATGAACCATCACCTTTTGATGTCATCTCTGTGATCATATCGAGCAGCATCATTATCATCTGTGAACAATTCAGCCTCATATCCTAAAGACTGCAAAGATGAAAAAATACAAAAATTTAAACTGTATTTTTCCAACAGGTTTTTGAAAGGGTTTAGTCTGCTGCCAAATTTTTATATACATTGTAATGTGTATTGTCACTATTGTGAAAATAATAAATAAAAACAAGTGATCAAATATACTCTATGTGTACATATATTGACTTATTCAAAATTTAGCGCAATCATTGGGCATTCAGTTATTATTCATGAATTAGCGCTACACACACTGTGTTATTTTATTATTATAATACTGACAATTAGAAATCCTTCTCAAAAGACCCCAGATATAGGAGAGCTCACCTTGATTGTCTCAATGATTGCCCTAGGCCCTGTGACCTCTGGTTTATAAGTGAACTTTCCTTTACATGTAGACAGGGCCACGGAAGCTGTGAGTACTCCAGGCTTCTTAAGAACAGACGACTCAATCATGTGGACACACGATGAACAGGTCATTCCTGTTATCTAACAGACCAATTTAAGACAAATATTTAAATGATAGTTAAACCAAAATTATCTGATTAAGACTAAATTGTTCTATTACATGTTTTACTCATTCTAATTAAAAAAGAAATTTCAAATTGATATTACTTTTCATATATCTAACAACATTTAAGGTCACGTCAAGGCAAACTTTCAATAAATCAATGAAATTCCTGCCATCAAAATCTTAGCTTTTAGTTGTTTCTTTTTCAATGCCAAAGATATATTTAATGAAATATAGCAACACTATTCATTGAATTGAAAACTTTAGGAGGAGTATGATTTTAGAAATTGTTGAAAGGTAAATAGAACTAGAACAGACAGGCTATGGACACAAAAGCTCTTTTGGTCTTAAACCAACAGATATAATCAAAGAAACTGAAAACAACAATTAACATACCAGAAGTTCTACAACCCCTTGACCAAATCCTTCATTTTCAAGAACAGTGGCCTCAAACCCCAAACTGGAGATTTTGGCTGCAATCTGGGAAGGTAGAAGATAGGCAGGGTCATACTTCACTTCGGCTTTCTGAGCCATCAGTGCCACTAAGCAGCTGTGTATACCTAGGGACACACAAAACAGCATTAATCAGATTCTTCATAGAAAATGAAACTAGTCAATTTCAGAGATTGTTTTTTTTTTGCCTTTGAATCATTTATGATAATTTCACCTATAATCTACATGTATAGCTAAACATTGTTATAAAACTAGCGAAATGTTTTTATTTCTTGACTTCCATAAATTCGGCCTGGTATATTCCTTATAATTAACCAATAAAATGGCTTGATTATTACATGTATCAGTGCTCACCCTCTACTTTCAGGAGATTCTTCTCAATGGTGGCCACACAAGAAGCACAGGTCATCCCTGAGACTCGCAGGAAACACTTTTCTAGGTCATCATCAGGATTGTCCTTGTTAAACGTGACTGATCCCTTGTCCATGTCTACCTTCACACTGCTGTGGTGGGAGCTGTTCTGTTTGCCTGAACCCTTCTTGTTTGGCTGCACCACCTTCACATCAATGTTACCTGGAACAATGAAGAATGTAATAATCAAGTATTACTGTACCATATAATGACATGTTATTTAAACTGAATCATTAAATTATAAACTGCAGTATGTTTATGAACCTGTTGGAAGAGATGCATCAAATCCCATATCATCGATAGCTTCTCTCAGTGTTTCTGGGGTACCTCTGTTTGGGTAATACTCTATGGTGGCATTCTGATCAGAAAGAGATACCTTGATGGACTTCACAGCAGGATTCTGGGAAATGTGGTCTTCAATGCTCTTTACACAAGAGTGACAGGTCATACCACCCACTCCCAGCACCACAGTATCCACAGCATTCTCTGTATCCGAACCCTGAACAGAAGCTTCAAATCCCATGTCATCGATCATCCCGGCTATGGCTTTAGGATTTGTAACCATGACATTGTAAGTAACTGTGGCCATTTCTTTCTCAAGTGATACAGATATGGCATTGATCCCAGCTTTAGATGAGATGTTGGACTCGATATTTTTGACACATGATTGACAGGTCATTCCAATGACAGAGATCTGACAGACTTGTTCACTTGGGACTGATCTGGTGGAGGACTGACGTGAAGCAAGCCGATCAAACTCGCTGTCGATGGACGACTCCTTTACCAGAGTGGCCTCGAACCCCATGTCATCTATCTGTTCCCTTAGTTCTCCCGGGTTTGTGAGGGTGGGATCATACACTATGACCGCCTCTTTATCAGTGAGTGACACCTTTATATCTCTCACCCCCGGTTTCTCACCCATAGATGTTTCTATGGAGTGCACACAGGACTGGCATGTCATCCCCTCGACCCCGATCCTGGTAGTAAGACCCTTGTCTCTAGTGAGAGAATGGATAGAGGCACCAAACCCCATGTCATCAATGGATTCCACTATTTTCTCAGCTGATATCTTGCCTGGGTTGAACTGGACATAGGCCTGATTTTTCTCTAATGATACTGTTATCCCCAGTACCCCACTGACCTCGGATATCTTGGATTCTATGGATTTGACACATGACTGACAGGTCATGCCCTCTACATTGATGATTGCATCTTGGCAGTTGTCCCCCCTGACTGGGTGTACTAACTTGACCTTTGAGGGGTATCCCAGGTCGGAGATTTTTTCAGCCAGTATGGGTGGGGAGGTCTCAGTGGGGCTGTAGGTGACCTTCGCCTCCTTCTCCTCCAGAAATACCTAAGGAAAAAAAGGTAAAATTTGAGACATTTTGTATCAGGTTGTATCAGTGACTTCATTGTAGAAATTGACACCATACTTTTGTGTGTTTACTGGTGTCATATTCAGTAGCTAAAATTGTACATAGCATTATAATAATGCAGTTTAAAAATGTAAACAATTTTTAAAAATCCAGGTTTTATACATACTTTCATATCATATTTTATTTAACTAAATGGATTGTTAAATTTAACTAAATGGATTGGTAATTCATGCATATAAATGTACTAACCCTCAAGGTTCTCAATTTTACATCAGAGAACTTTAAAACTCAAACTTTACATTATAATAATGCAGTTTAAAAATGTAAACAATTTTTAAAAATCCAGGTTTCATACATACTTTCATATCATATTTTATTTAACTAAATGGATTGTTATTTAACTAAATGGATTGGTAATTCATGCATATAAATGTACTAACCCTCAAGGTTCTCAATTTTATATCAGAGAACTTTAAAACTCAAACTTTACATTAGATCGAGATCAGATTTTAGAATGAGGTGCTTTTGTTGTATTGACTATAAATTCTCTTTAAACAAAATGTTCATGTACATGTATGGCACACCAAATTCACTAAAATGAGCTAAACATAGTTTCACAGTTGATAAACTAGGTTTATCGACTGTAAACTATAGTTCACAAACCGTGAACTATAGTTAACCATTCGTTAACTGTATTTTTCATTTGTAAAACTATATTTAAGGGTTGTTAACTATAATTTAGAGTTGTAAACCATAGTTTACAAATCGTGAAACTTTATTTATCAGATAATATATGTTTTGCAATCGCAAATGGTTGTTTTCAGTGTTAAGTATAGTTTACGGTTCTGAAACATAGATTATCGTGTTAACTATGGTTTACAGATGTAAAATATAGATTAACATTGTTAACTATTGTTTACAGTCTGTAAACTATAGTTTACAACCCATAAACCTAGTTTATCGACTGTGAAACTATGTTTAGCCCATTTTTGTGAATTTGGCGTGCTATTTACATTTGTATTAATAATATGCCCAAAAAAAAAAAAAAATGATGAAAGTCCCTTTCTAAAAAATTGACCTGAATTTTTTGTGTATTTGATCAATTTAATTAACATAATGTGACTGGATGAGAAAACTACATGTATACATGTATAAGCTTAAGATTTATCTCATCATTAATGATGATTTGTCATTAGCATTTATTTGACTTTTTAATTATCCCATTTCCTTTAAGTTGGCAGTTATAAATTGAGTCCTGTTACCTGGGATCGGCGCGTGACATATTAGTTTAGGCTCCACCCTCAGCAAAGAATTCAAACATGTCAATAATATAAACTTAAAACTTATTTGTATACTTTAATTTTTTTTTTTTTTTTTTTTTTTTGCCTATAGTTTTGTAAAATCTTGTGTTATAAATAAACAATACCACTCTTAATAGTAGTCACCCCGATATTAAATGAAATAAAAGAATATCCTTTAGTTTATGATTGATATGAGTGGGAGATATCTGCTGATATTTTATGAACTTTTACTCTTCATACATAATGAACAATGAACTATAGAAAATAATGTTTTATTTCCGGAAAATGTCTCTGCACACGGAGATATATCGTTGAACCAAGCACATCAATATTGGGTCAATGACATTGATTTCAACTTTCCCTCGGTAGACTGATGTGCACCTGTCCTTTAATAAAGGAGAATTATAGAAGTTAATTTTCTATCTAATTGTCATTGATTTTTTTGTTAGAGGATTATTTCTAGCTGTCATATATGTACCAATTTTACACTAAGGAGGACAGAAACACACTAAACATTCTGTCCTTTTTCACTCACTTCGGGCTTCATATAAACAAATCATTTACACGCCTACTTTTCTGTTCATTTAGTACGGTGATCATAAGTCATTGTAGACAGTGTTTTCTTTCAATTCACTTAATCATAACATTGGATCTATATAGGGATTATTCTGTGTAATCAATAGTTTAAAAGTGTTGTAAATGAAATAAATTTGTTCACTTTATACTGTATAATACTATCTTTGATTATGAGATGGGTTTTAATATTAAATACTGGTAAACAGAAAATTTTACACCAGTCGACAGAGTAATTATAATTTATGTAGATATCAATGTGACTAGGATCATTATGATACAAACTGAGGGGATAAACTGATGAATCAGATAATTTGACTATCATCTAGGCTTTCAGCTTTTCTCCATATAGGGTGATTGTACACATTGCATGGAGTTCATTTGACCAGGTCAAAAGTGCAAAAACATCTCTGTGGCTCTCCATCAGACATAAATATAAATGTTCCCATCTGTCAAGATGTCTATCAAGTCATTTGTCAACAAATCTTATGTGTATATGTAGTTGTTCTTGTTTTTATTCTAGTACAATATGCCATATTTGTCCTTGTCATAATTTGCTCCCTTTAACAATTATGCATGTATTCCTTTCTTTTGGATTTGAGCTTCTTGTCCACTAAGCTAAAATTTTTACATATAAATGATACTGAAATTGATTATTTTTTTCATCACCATACATGAAAGTACAGTGGGGCAGTTTTACAGTTATACAATGGATACATACTTTCTTTATGAATCATTAGTATACATCCAACTTGGTGGGTTGACCTAAGTCATATGATTTTAATAAACTAGCTGGCATACACTTCTTATCCTAGAGTGTATCTGAATTGTACATTAAGGATGTTATACTGTCAAGTGATTTTCATTTTTCTGATATAAACATATTCTATTATCTGATTATATCACGTTATATCTTTATATTTCATGACCATGAAATGTAAAGACTGATTAAATCTATTGTAAAATATTAATGTACCACATCAAAAAAATATTTATAAACTAATTACATACACATGTACTTATAAATTTAGACATCTATGTCATTGTAGCTCTTTCAAAACTAGGTCATATGGTATTACTTAAGTATCTAACTGTATTGAGTACACTTGGGTGAAATTTTTTTACAGAAAAAATAATTTAATATATGAATAAACATATTTTGATTATTTTCATTGAAAAATAAATTCTCACCGGTAACTTCATGTATTTTCCTTGGTTAGCCATGATAAACTATAGTAAGTCCGTGTGGCTTAAAAACACTTTTCTGTTATAATGACATCAAACTTGTTACAAAAACAATTAACCGCTGTTCTGCCTAATAGAGGGATTGTTAGCTTTCCAGAAAAACCTATTGATGGGTGAAATCACGTGTTGGACTTGTCAAACAGTGGATTTCCGATGGTGTCACATTATTAATTGTTAAACCCTCTTCACTAATCTTCAGGATGTTCTATATCTTCACTTTCACTTGAAGTAACAATTGTACAGCTAAATCAAATCACTGTTTTCCCCAGCATACGTGTCCCCGATAGTGATAACCAGCAGAAATTGACGTAAATAGCCCCTGATGATCAGGTAAGATTTTAGTATTCAATACACATGGCTAGGCCTCCAATTAGAAAAACACATGTTCCATCAAAACGTATAACTATCAAATGCCCGAGGGCAGACACAAAGTAGCGTCAATTCAACAATGTCTGGGCCAGAGGGCAAGAAATCCCATCAACACATTCCACTGAATACCAAGTAAACGGCCTACAGGAGGAGATTGGGGGGACGTTATCTTGTACCCTGAACTTAAACACTGATATAGACCTATTTTTGTCCAGTAACTAGAGCCATTGGACATGAAGGTTAGCTGGGGAAAGCCAGGCAGGTATTTGATGGGAATTAAGTTAGAGGTACATCAAATAAATACTAAAGAGAGCTCAGGAGTTGATGGAGAAAACTGCATGTAATCAGAGGCTGGCCACAGAAATGACCAAGTGAGGAAGAAAAAATCCAATATAGATCTCTCCTCCACCACTAAAGTAGACATGAAGGCAGACACACAAGGTAACAATCAATAAGATTTTAATTTCAAAAACTTTTCAAACTCTACAAGTTACAGCTGAATGATGTTCATTTATTAAGTCTTTTAAAATAAATTTTGTCTAGCATATAAAGCTCAAATATATTTTTATGTAAATTAAATGGAAAGGAATAGTAATATTTTATTAACTTGTTGGTTTTAATTGTTGAAAGCCTTGGTTTTATCAATGATTTACTATATTAATAATTGGTGAAAAGTACAAATCGATTCAGATGAATGAGTGCACAATATCATTAAGCTAAATCTGACTAATAATCATGTTTTACTACTTCTACTTTCACGTGTGCAAAAGGAAGTTTTCCTTAAAGCTTTAAAATCATTTATATATATTTCACAATTCACACTCGATGGTTAGGGAATTTAAAAATAGACTTTACTTTTTTCCAATTTCTTTGCACACAAGGCAGATTTTTGGCATGACGCCCTACTTAAAACATCACATGTACACATGATAGTGCACACGATATATTATTTCAATATCCTGTTTTGTCTTATAGGAGTGTCCTGACATCACCTTTATCTCTGTTCTAGCTAGGACTATAAAAAATGCACTATCTCACAATCCTATCATTATTTAATAATACAAAATCAAGATTTATTGCCAAAGCACAGTGCTGTAATACATGTACTAGAGAGTCAAAAGTACTATTGTGATGAATTTATGGCCCTTCATATTACATAATTTCTTCTATCAAGTTCTATGACTAGAAAACAAATCAGCTATACTCAAAGTAGAGATTTATATATGCTATATATATGTTGTAGCTCCTATCTTTCCTACACAGGGTTTATATTTTTACCTGTACACTTAGGACCCTTGGCTCCTGGGTAATGTGGTCCTGGATTTTCCTACAGAGGGTTTATATTTTTTACCTGTACACTTAGGACCCTGACTCCTGGGTAATGTGGTCCTGGATTTTCCTACAGAGGGTTTATATTTTTACCTGTACACTTAGGACCCCTGACTCCTTGGTTATGTGGTCCTGGATTTTCCTACAGAGGGTTTATTTTTTTTACCTGTACACTCAGGACACCTGGCTCCTGGGTAATGTGGTCCTGGATTTTTCCGACACATGATTTACAGGTCATGCCTTCAATATGGAGTTCTGTTACTTTCTCCATCTCTTCTTTTCCCCCTACGATGTCAAAAACAATGCACCATTAAATCACTGCTAGGCTCTTTAAGTTTATTAAGGTACTTTCTTGGTTAATTAAGTTACAGCTATTTTAAGATTATTAACATAAAGTAATCTTCATGTAATTAAGAAACTCATTTCAGTTTTTATAAAATTGAATGAATCAGCTTTCATCATTTGTCAATCAAATGTAAATAAAAAATAAATTGTGTGCCAACATCACATTTTCTTTAATATTCAAATAAGGTTTCACTTTCATTTGTGCTCAGTCTTCCCATACTTGGTCTGCATTTCAAGAATGAATAAAATGCAATACATTTTTTTTCATTGAATCAAATCAATAAAACAATCAAAGACATTCCCTTATCAGATGTTATCATGCAATCCTTCAAGAAAGGTTATAAGGCCATCTTTAAAACAATTGTTTTGCTGCCCTCTCCCGACCAACGGACTAAAAATTGCCTCAATCTTTTTTTTTTTTACATTCCAGGACAAAATATTTTTATCATTTTTATTCCTTTTATCCTGTCAACAAATACCGATATGTCAATTTTTCAGGAAAAAGATTGTCCAACCTACCTACTGACCCAGTAATTTTACCCCGAGTCAGGAGAGGACAAGCAACAATTATTTAAAAGATTAAAGATGGCCTTATTATGATATTTTTTTTTGACAAGGTGATCGACTAGACATCAAAGTCAGTTAACATACACAGAGGAAGAGAAAATCATATCAACAACCAAGTCACCAGAAGGAGTAAACTTACCAGCCATAGTAATAGGATCCTGGTAAGTTTGAAATGAAAATAAAAAAAAATTACTTGGAAATTTATTCTTAAACCTGAGCACTGCAGTCACTCCTTTTCTGTGATAAACAGAAAGTATTTGGCTACTAAATTATGCTGAAATCTAAATAAACATGTGTACCCACACATCCTGTTCAATTTTAAAGTTTTACCTACCTGTAACTAGTGTAAGTTCAATCTACACACCCCAATCAAATTGATACTTATACGCTTCAAATAACTAGAATATTCTATGGATGGTTAAACTCTGTTTACAAATGAATGGCATTTAAACCAAGTTTGAATTCTTTACACTTGAGTTGAATTATTTCAAGATAAAGTTTCTTTCAATCTTTATATGTATCTATAGACATGCTTTTTATCACAAGATCTACAAAGAGAAGAGAGATCAAGTCTTATGGAATATGGATTATGATAACTACAATCTAACGGAATTATGAAACCTTTCAGATTACAAGTACACAGACTGACGAATGAGCCACTCCATCTTAAACTTGTGAGCATGGTGAAAATACATTGTAATTTCATGGTTGTTATTTATTTTTGTGCAACTTGTAAGAAAAATCTGCAGAGTTTTAACTCATAGACTTAATAACAGAGAAAAAAACAAATAAGATGAACTATAATAATTTTATTCAATAAAGAATCAGAACAGATGTATACATGATCACTTGAATTGTGTCATTTATTTCACTCACAGTATACAATAATGATATTAAAGGTGAATCTGTGAATCACTATAAGTACACATTTTATTTCCTTATTAAATATGTTCACACTTAGTTATAAAATAAACGTACTGTATCTTGCCATATTACCAATTATAAGCTACTGTTATGTTCATTTTATAGGGCATTTCTTCCATGGCAAAACTTTGAAAGATATGCATAAAATTTTTAAATGAAAAAAGGCTATCTTTAAAAAATAGCTTGTCTGTCCTCTCCTGCCCGACTACCTAAAACTGGCCTGATTGACATTATTAACCTCCAGGAAACAATGTTTATCTTCATTTCAATTCCTCCGGTCATTTCAAATCATCAGGTCAATTTTTTCTTTAATTCTGGCAGAAAGATTTGTCTTAAAACCATTTGAAGCGTTTAATTTTCCTAAAAGAATTTTTTTAAAAATGTCAGGTCATTCAAAACCCCCCATTGAAAGTCATTTATAAAAATATCAGGTCTTCACTTGAAATATCAGGTCATTCAAATTATCAGGTCAACAAGTTTTTTGTAAGAACAAATTGATACAAAGAAAAAATTCTCAGTGTTATTTACTAAAAGTGTATTTTAGTATAGTATCATCAATAATTGTCTCCCAAAAAACTGATACAGAATGTTTAAATTGATAATTTTATGTGATGTTTTTTCATCAGGTCAAAATATCAGGTCTTTAGTATGTTCCGATGGGGGGGGGGGGGGGGGGGTAAAAATTTTTCCATCAACTAAACAACCCATTTTTTTACCCTGAGTCTAAAGAGGACAGACAAGCATTGTTTTAAACAACATAGCCTAAAAACAACGTTACTAGTTACAAGCTTTTTTCTACTAAATTCTTGTACTACCATACAGTGCATACCAAAAAATCCATTCAGGGGACTAAAATTTCTTGTAATAATGACACAAAATCACAAAATAAAATGTGAATTTTAACATTAAACTAACACATACTCACTGTCTTAGCCTGGGCACAATAAATAGTTTTATATATAGTGTGTGTGTGTGGGGGGGGGGTAGCATTTTTTTATATTTGGCTTATAATATTGGGCAGAATGGGCTACTGATTGAAAAAAAATATTAAGGTACCTATGGCCTGTGTCAGATACTGGTGTCTGAATTTTTCCCCATTACGTTCTGTATTATCAGGGTCCTATAGCACAGGCATTTGTTTTGTATACAGGGTACCCCTTCTTATGTTTACTACAAATAAATGGTGTCCTATGCCATGACAGTTACCCTACAGTGATTTTTTTCTATGACCCTTTTCCATGTCTCTAGAAATAATGGAATATGGTTCAATTTTTAAAAAACAGTTTCATCAAAATGCAATGATTAACATGAACATACATACCAAATATCCTTCTGGTTGGAACTAAATATTCTTCCTTGTACAGGTGCTTTCAATTTGTCATAAAAATATTCGCATCTTGATTTTTTTTATGTCATTTCGAACTTCCTGTTGACAAAGAAACGTCAAAGTGTTTCTCGAACCCGACAGTAAAACTGGCCTTGAACCCGAGAGTAAAACGGTCTGGAACTCAGCATAGGCGTTTGGTTTCAGGTTGTTGAATTTTTTGTGCACTAACATCAAATAAATCTCTTAAATTAGCAGTTTTTAAAAATATCATTTAACTGTATATAAAAACAATTATCTTTCAAAAAAGTGTTACTTTCAGCGATTTTTTAAAATTTTATTTTAATGAGTAATTCAGACATGCTTAGAAAAACACAAAATACCCCATCCTATAACCAAACAAACCTTATCATTTTATATGGAAGAATTTGTTATGTTTTTAATAATGTTGATTTTGATAAATGTGTAAAAATTACACTGGGTTCTCTTTTCAAAATGATGCCCGGAAAATATCTGCAAGTCCCATATAGATGCATTTGCCACAGGAACAAGTGCTTGTGGCATTTGCAATGGAAAGAATGCTACATGTAACATGTTTGTTATGATAAGGCAGTTCTGGAAGGAATGGACAAAAAGGGAACACATGTTAATCGTTTATCAGAATAAAAGATGTATATCGGTGAATAATAAACCAAAAAAATATATTCATAAAATTTATGGACAATGATTTTACCCTTTAATATTTCAAATTCATATTTCGTATGACAGGGTACCGACATGTTTGACCTACTGACCTAAGAGTTTGAAGTTTACCAAACTTTATCCTTGACCATAACTTTTATATATGTTTGGTACTACGGCTATCATGCTTTACATGTGCATTCCTTATGACAAGATTTTATGTTGAGTACCGAAGTTATTGACCTTCTGACCTTGACCTCGAAAATTGATCTACTTTGAAAAAAGGTCTATCAGATGAGATTGACAAAATAGCATGAAATTAATTTAACTTTAAAGTGGATATTGACTTGTTAAAATTTTATCAATGTTTATAAATTTTGTAGTATATATTAGTTATTTTCAAATGCTTTGTATTTTAATTTTTTTCATAATTATTTTCACATATGGTAAAGTAGTCATACAAAAATACAAAAAATACAAAAAAACTTTAAAACCGTTTAGACCTTTTACTTAGAGAGAAAAAATATGAAAACTTTTAACTAATTTTAGCACAAATCTGTACTTCTTAGATAGGAATCTATCAAAAGCTAAGGAGGAACTTCAGACTTCTCATTCCTCAATAACTCTTAAAGGGGCATGGACACAGTTTCAGCCAAAATTTCAAAATTTATTTTTACCAATATCTAATTAGGGTCTTTCTAATGATCATCAAAAATTTGAACATCGGTTGTCGAGATACAAGACAGATTTAGAGCTCGAAACCTTTGTTATGTAAACAAAGTTAGTGTCATGTTTTTGTTTACACAGGTTAATATACTAATATATGTTCGTTCAAAGTAGATAATTTCAAATGAAAGTTGATTTTAAATACGATTCGATAGTTACTATTGATTTGCAGACTTTCATTTTGTTATAGATGTATTGCTATATGTAAACAAAAACAAGGCACGAGCCTTGCTCGAATTACGAAGAACTTTAAGTTCTGTATCTTGTTAATCAACAAATGATGTTCAAATTTTTGCTAATCAATAGATGATGCCTTAGGTATGAATTGTCAACATTAAAATTGGTTTAAAAAATCAGTTAAAACTGTGTCCATGCCCCTTTAAGGACTTTAAGAAAGTGGAAAATCACAAGATTTCTCAAAAGCCTATACTAATACACTATATACAGGCATTCCCCGGGATACGTAAATAAAACAAGCTTTTGATATAGACAACTGCCTCTTCAATAAAATTGGACTCAGAAATTTTTCACCTCTTGGGATTGGTCATCATCAAAATTGCATGATTGTATACATACGTACTCTGGAGTTGATGTTTAAAGGCTGCTGGAGTCCCCCATCTTCTAACAAACTGTTGGAATCCCAATGGACATTAATTGAGCCCCTTTAATTATTTAACCGACCTGTTGACTCCTATGAAGCAGAATTACTCAAAATCTTCTACATGATTTAAAGAAGATTACACCTTCAACACTCGGCCTTCAGCTCGAATTTAATACTAGTATATCTGAAAGTCGAGTTGAAGGTTACGTGCTGCAAGTGCTTTAATTCTTCTTCTCATGTACTTTTAAGATTTTGAGTAAATTCTGCTTCATGTAAGAATCAACAGGTCGACGACGTTTTATCAGTAAACATAATTATTTCCATACAGATGTCGACTCGATCCGTACTTCCAGTGAACATGAAATAAAATACACAACAGAGTCTGCCTCATCTGCTTCATATTTTAATGTTTTACTGGCTATAAACAACAAAAATCCAACTGACAACTAAATCATATGACAGTTTCAGCTTTCTATTGTCAATTTCCTTGTATGTAAAAATATTCTGCTATCACCTGAATGTGGTGTTTATGTCTTTAAACTCAACTTATTCGCTACTCAAGAGCTTTTCTTAATTCTGGCAAGTTTGGTTGAAATTGGCCCAGTGCCGACCCAGTTCTTCAGAAGAAAATGAAAATGAGAAAAAGTTTTACTACGACGAAAGCTGACTTCATATTAGAAGAGCTCATTTAAGCCTTCGGCTCAGGTGAGCTAAAAGTAAGACATTTTCAAAAATAAAAGGTAAAAAATCAAAAACAATTTAACTCGGATCACAAGGGGGTACCAAGCACCTGTGGTAGGTTATGATGTATTCAGAAATATACATATATATTTTTTTTTTGGTAAAATCACGCCAACCCCCACCCCTTAAGTCAATCTACATATCTGCATTGATATAAATAGATAACATTGCAGAACAATGATTGACGGCCATGGAGACCAACCATAAAATTCAGTTCCCTGCGCTTATTCAGATGGTAATAATATTGAATAATAATTGAGAGAAAATAGTTATTTGTAGCCGTAGGACGGAATATTTATTCTATAATAAAAGCATTAGACTCTGACTTCTGAAGCCACTGATTCCCGCTTTTTTTCTTTCGTGGCCAAAAGTTAGCTATTTCGGAATTATACGTACGTTATCACTCTGGATATTAGTAGAACCAAATATGGCTGCGCCCATGAATTTCAATAACTTTTAAAGTTTGTTTACCATTTTTTGCCACAGAATTTACTTTAAATAGATATGGCTGATGCCTACACCTTTGTCAAGGGCGGCAAGCTAAAATTAAAGGGCCACAAGGAGAAAAAGTATGTATCATATCAGCGTCAAAATTAAAAATAACTCGTGATATGAATTTTTCAGTTTTTTCCTGGCACGTAAAATGCCAAAATCGTTTTAAAGCCTGGAAAACATAAGATTTTTCGGACTACGTTTAAATATACAATGTTGAAAATATCATTCATATTTGTGGAATGTATTCTATACCATGTACTGTATGTTTCCACTCTTCATTAAATATACCCCCCCCCAAAAAAAAAAAACAAAACAAAACAAAAAAAAAAAAAAACAAAACAAAACAAACAAACAAACGTTTTAGAATTGTTTTTCACATGTTATGTTTTTCCCTTCTGCTTTGTTTGGATTTTTTCCTTGATATTAGAAGAAAAGTTTTCAAAGTTTGTCTAAATAAAGAAAAAAATTGGAATTGCTTGATATTCTTGATGGCTTTGGGAAACCTAAACGGTTTAGACTTTAGAGTGTTACTGTATTCTGATGCAAAGGGAGGAAATTAATTCTATTATAACTGTGAATTTTTTTGCAGTAAACAGTGGAAGTAATTGATGGATTTCTTTCAGACACAAGAAGCATAAAAAGAAGAGAAAGCATGATGAGATGGAAGACGTCTCAAAGACCTCAGGGGGTGCTTCCAGTACTGACCCAGACATGGTCGCTCACGGTAAGTCAACAGGGAGGGATGAAGAACAATAGGGAGGGTGAAGGACAAATTTATTGACACATTTTTTGGTACTTGCTAATTTCATACTGTGTTGAGCTAGGTCTTCAGAATTTAAAACAGATATTTACTGTTCATTTACTAGTTCAAAATCCAGGTTTCCTATACTATAGCTGATTGTTGATGGCCTGGATCTGGGACTTGAAGCTGCCTATTAAATTAAGGATGTTCAAATGACAGCTGATTATAATAAGGAGATCCTAATCCAATTCAGAAAGCTCTCTTGGCCTTCTGGTGGAATAAACCTTTCACCCATCCAATATCAATTATGCTTGTTCCAAATTTAGAAAATTTATTTATGATACTTATAAATAAAAGATTGTCACAACTACTTTGAGACCATGTCGTTTATCATGTATTGTTTAGTAAATAGATTATTGAGTAAATTATGGAACAACTTATTCAAAGAATTCATAAACCTCTAATATCTACAATATTATCAGCTAAAAAAAAAAAACAATCATGGAATACCAAAGTGTATAAAGCAAAGAAATTTTAAAAGTAACGATCAAGGAATTGTATAGAAAATAAGTATAACAATATTTCTTATTGTCTGGTTTCATTGTAGGTGGTTGGTGGGTAGCCAGGAATTTTGAAGATATAACTGGGAATGTTGCAATAGAGATCGGTGATAGTCGGTACGTGTCTGCAGTTGATAATGGAACATTTATACTTGGACCAGCAAGAGATCAAGGTATATTTTGCTTAGAGTGATACAAGAAACAAGGCTGAGGTTATTAAATTATTTAAACTTAAGAACTCAAGTCATAGTACTTGAAAATACATGTAATTGAGAACAGCGAGTTTCTTGTGTAGGGAGAAATCATTATCTCGGACCACATTATCATTTTTTATATCCTTCTGACAGGTGATGGACCAGAAGCAGAGGAAATTCTGACAGCTGTACAAGTGTCAGACACAAAGCTAGCTCTCAAGTCTGGTTACGGGAAATATCTGACTGTGGATCCTGATGGTGATGTCACAGGCAAGGCAGAGGCCATCGGAGTGCGGGAACAATGGGAACCAGTTTTTCAAGAGGTGAATATTTTTTTATATTTTAAATTAAGATATGCATGAATATTCTTGAGACATCATTTTTACTTGCTTTGCACATTGTAAAATCATCATTAATCTTTGAATTAGAAAAATCACATTTTAAAAATATGTATATGTGTCTCTTATTATAACAAATAAATAATTATTTATAACAAACTTGGCACATCAGTATCAAATACATGTATGTAAGGATAACTTAAAATAAACAATATATAAGGATTTACTATGTACAGTGTATTTATTTAAACAGTAATTCTTTTAAACAGGGGAAGATGGCTTTGAACGGAAGTAATGGAAAATTTTTGGCTGCAAACAGAGATGATGAAATTGTCTGTCTTAGTTCTAAGGCTGGGGAACAGGAGATGATTAAGGTATGAGTTTGAATTGATTGAGAAATGTTTCTTTTGATTTCTTAACTGTAAAAATAATACACAGTGAATTAAAAAAAAAATCTAGCAAAATCACATGACAGAGCATAAAATTGGAGGGAGATAACTCAAAAGCACTGATGAACTGGTACACATTGTCTTTATGGACTTTGAATTATTTTCAGATCAGATTAAATTTATCCTTAGAAGTTGATCCCATGGCCAATATTCCAAAAGAAGAGAGAGGCAAAGTCAAGGAAGCAGAAATTAATTATGTGTAAGATAAAAAAAAATGTTGTCTGAGTTATCAAATACAGAAGTACATACACATGTATTTAATTGTATTGATTATCTTTACAGGAAAAAATTCCAGAGTTTTCAAGACAGGAAGTTAAAAGTGAGTAAGGAGGATGTGTCTTCTCTTAAAAAGGCTAAAAAAGACGGGAACTTTCACGAAACACTGCTCGACAGGTAAGGTGATACATGCAACCGCAACATCAGAATAGGGCATACTCAATATTTCTTAAATACTGCACTAAAAACAATTAAAATTCACTTCAGATTCTAACCATCTTATGCACATTATTAAAGATGAAATGTTTAAAAGAATGAAGTGCATGTACATGTCCTGGTGTTTTTGAAAATGAAGCGCTATGATCATGTAAAGTAAAAAGAGAGAATTAGAAAAGCTGAAATTGTGACCCACTGTCAAATTTTTACTAGTAATAAATGTCTTCTGTAGTAATTTGAAATACAAGTGAACAAAATTCAGGTATTTCCAATATTGATTAAAGTAAAATTTTTAAATTTCAGGAGAGAAAAAATGAAGGCTGATCGTTATTGTAAATAATTCCAGCATGAATGTTTGCTTCAATGCAGAAAGTGTATAATTGCATGCTCTCCAAATTCAATTTGGATCAAATTTAAACAACTTACATTGAAAACCTCTTCAACTTTTTTAGCTCACCTGAGCCGAAGGCTCAAGTGAGCTTTTCTGATCACTTACATTGAAAACCTCTTCAACCAAACTTGCCACAAAGCATTTGGGTGAAGGGGATTATTAGGGCCAATTCAAGGGGAGATAATTGGCAATTAATGAAAATTTGGTGGCATGTTTTAAAAATCTTCTTCTCAAGAACCACTGTGCCAGGAAAGATGAAACTTATGGGGAAAAGTAGTGTAGTCAAGTTTGCATGTAGGGCGGGGCCAAAATCCAAAGTTTTACATAGAAATATATAGGAAAATTCTTTTAAAAATCTTATTCTCAAGAATGACCAAGCCATAATTCATCATATTTATATGGAAGCATCTTCAGGTAGTGTAGATTCAAGTTTGTTCAAATCATGACCCCCGGGGGTAGGGCAGGGCCAAAATGGCCGACCAAAGTTTTACATAAAAATATATAGGAAAATTCTTTAGAAATCTTCTTCTCAAGAATGACCAAGCCATAATTCATCATATTTACATAGAAGCATCCTCAGGTAGTGTTAATTCAAGTTTGTTCAAATCATGACCCCCGGGGGTAGGGCGGGGCCAAAATGGCCGACCAAAGTTTTACATAGAAATAAATAGGAAAATTCTTTAAAAATCTTCTTCTCAAGAATGACCAAGCCATAATTCATCGTATTTATATAGAAGCATCCTCAGGTAGTGTTAATTCAAGTTTGTTCAAATCATGAGCCCCGGGGGTAGGGCGGGGCCAAAATGGCCGACCAAAGTTTTACATAGAAATATATAGGAAAATTCTTTTAAAAATCTTATTCTCAAGAATGACCAAGCCATAATTCATCGTATTTATAAAGAAGCATCCTCAGGTAGTAGGGCAGGGCCAAAATGGCCGACCAAAGTTTTACATAGAAATAAATAGGAAAATTCTTTAAAAATCTTCTTCTCAAGAATGACCAAGCCATAATTTATCATATTTATATAGAAGCATCCTCAGATAGTGTAGATTCAAGTTTGTTCAAATCATGACCCCCGGGGTTAGGGCGGGGCCAAAATGGTCGACCAAAGTTTTACATAGAAATATATAGGAAAATTCTTTTAAAAATCTTATTCTCAAGAATGACCAAGCCATAATTCATCGTATTTATATAGAAGCATCCTCAGGTAGTGTAGATTCAAGTTTGTTCAAATCATGACCCCCGGGGTTAGGGCGGGGCCAAAATGGCCGACCAAAGTTTTACATAGAAATATATAGGAAAATTCTTTTAAAAATCTTATTCTCAAGAATGACCAAGCCATAATTCATCATATTTATATAGAAGCATCCTCAGATAGTGTAGATTCAAGTTTGTTCAAATCATGACCCCCGGGGGTAGGGCGGGGCCAAAATGGCCGACCGAAGTTTTACATAGAAATATATAGGAAAATTCTTTAAAAATCATCTTCTCAAAGATAGAAAATCCATGATTGTTCATGGGACTACTTTTGGATTTTACCTTTTCATTAATAAACCAATTTATACTTTTACCTAGCCACAGTGCTCAGGTGAGCGATGTGGCCCATGGGCCTCTTGTTATTATTAAATCTGGATTTGAAAAGCAGTCATATCAAAAGAAGTAGCTGTGCTCCTCCCATTGCGTAATTTTTGTACATCATTCCAGGACCAGATTAATTCAATTGATGTATTAATTAAAGCTTAACTTAAGGAACTATTTTGAAATATTCTTGAAATTTGTTCATTCATCCTGCATCATTTTATTTAAAATAAAAATCATACATATGTACATACCCATTGATTTTAAATTGTCATTAAATGTGGAAAACACGTTTTTACCAGTTTTCATTAATTAGTTTGCGTATATCCAAAAGGGGTTCAAACATTTCAGATTGAACAAAAATCTCACCAGAGACTTAGTTGCACTCGTGGTGTAGTGCCTTGAGCGTTTGCTGTAAGAGTTACAGAGTAAGGGGTTGATCCTTACTTCGCTGGTCCAAATTCCTCTGTTGGACATGGAGACCGGTCCTTCTGATGAGACCTTATGAACCAAGGTCCCATATCGCATTGGTTTTAGCACTGAGTATTGGTCTAAATTTGCAACCCTCTACTCACAAGTTGTGGCACCTTAAAACGAGAGAAAATTCTCCACAGGGATATCAAGCAAACAAACAAAATAAATACCAGAGAGCAGTTAAATTAATAAAAATATATGTACTATAATGGTTCCTTGAATGATTAAAGGTATTGTAAATGTATTATATTTGGCGTGTACGATATTTGGCGGAAATTGATTTTTAAACAGGTTAGGGTAGCTTTGATTTAGCACATTTATTCATTTCCATATACATGCGTGTATGTGCAAGACATTTAGCGTTGTACTTGAATTAGTGGACGTTTCTTTCCGCCAAAGGCTCTAAAAAGAATACACAGCCAAATGTAATACGTTTACAGTCTACTCGGTATTCATGTGGAACCTGTTACACAAGTATTTGTGGCAACAAGTGTTACTACTCTGATAATGGTGTGAACTAGGTTTTGTTTGTTTTAAAATAATCCAACTTAATGGCCATCAGCATATTTCCAAAAAAAAGTTGCATATAGTTCTGATAAATTGCTGACATGATTTTTATGTTCAGGGTTTGTTTGCTTGGCCGATTCCAACTGACTAGCTAAGTAAAAATTTCTTAAATCCTTTTTGAACCTCCAGGAAACAATTTTTTTTCATTCTAGAATTTTCTCATCTCCTCAACAAATATTTTTCTGTATCAATACTTTGAATTTTAACAGATTTTAAAAATAGAGCACCGATGACAAACCTCTTTACAACCGACCCATTTTCCCCCCAGTTGAGACAGTGCAAACAAAAATATTTTTTAAAAGATGGCTTCATAAACTTTTGACCTATATTGTACTTGAAACTCGTAATACTAATCTACTTATATATAGCACGGGGGCTTAAGTGCTGTCTTATGACAGCTAATTCATTATGTTGTTAGAAGTATTACACAGTTATTCCCCTTATGATCACCAGCTGATAATTGGCAGTTTTCATTACAATACTTCTCAAGTGCTGCATAACAGGCTAATAAACATGACCAACTTCTTGGAAGGTTAAAAGAACCTTTTTGCACCAGTTGTGTTAAAAATGCAAATTTAATTCCATATAGCAGACATTTCCCTTCATGTATCCAAACATCTTTCATTATGTTTGAGTTAGTTGTTTCATACATCACAGTAAGATGCCTAGCAATTTTAACATAGTTTTTAGATCAGAAGAGTTTATGCGATAGTAAGGTATCCGTCCGTCTGTCTCTGTAAACAATTTTTCAATCTTCTCCTTCAGTTTTGGTCTGATCTCAGTATAACTTGGCAGCACACAGGTAGACTACACTAGGATATATAATTCTGTGTATCTGATTTTGATTTCAATGAAAAGTGTTACTGTGGATACTAAAAATACAGATATAGATAAATACTTTCAAAATGCTAATCCTCCCCCAGTTTTAGTCTGATTTCAGTATAATATGGCATGCAAGTCAACTACACTGAGATACATAATTCTCTTATTAAATTGTTTTTTGATGAAAGATGTTGCCATGGTGAATAAAATTTATAATTCTGTATAACTTTATTAAAAGCTATCCCTACAGTTGTAGTCTTATTGCAGTCTTGCCAAAATAAGAGACTTGATTAAGGATCATTATTCTATTTATTGCTGTTGTAAAGTTTTAAGTCCCAACTGCTTCTTTTCTCTTCCTTTGTTAAGTACAAACCAGTTAAGAGCTACAGTCTCGACAGAGACTTCTGGTTTAATTTACACATAATTGAACTACAATTTCTTTGTAAAATTTTGTTTTTATTTCCAAAATAATGTAACCAATTTATAATCTATTCTAAAAATATGATAAATAAATACTGTCTGGTATATTAAGTAGATTCTTTAGCACCATAGAGGGGATCAGATCAAAAACACAGCATTAGAAGTCAATCTACAAGTATAGTTAAAAGTCAGACATCTCATAATAAATATAAACAAATACATTAATTCATTTAGGCCTTTGAGATTTTAGAAAATAAATCCTCTCTAAATTTCAGCATAGCTTTGACATCCTTCTTCTCTAAAATTTCCTCCATTGAGACAACATCATAGCTACTTAGATCTATCAAGTTAGGATTATTACCCTGCGAGGCTTTCACTATAGTTAATGCTAGCATGAGAGACGAAGTCATGGTACTCTCCAGAGGAAATAGGGACATCTGCCATAGGCTGGTGAGGGCACGCCCCTCTCCCGCGCCTTCCACACCCCCTGTGTGCTCGTCTAACTCAAACTGGGTCAGTTTACAGTTCTCAATAAAGCGTTGGATATCATATCCTAAATACGGGGCCCCAGAGACTTCTGACACTGGCACCTGCTTCTTCAGATCGTCATCGATGTGGAACACAATGGTGGTGTATTTGGTCTTCTCCTGGTGTTTGACGGCTACTGTATGGAGGAATAAGTTGTGAGGTATTTGACTGTGTGGGGGAGGAGTTTCTGTCAGTTCCTCCTCAAATACTGCACAGTTACTGATAATGGAGTTCTGACCTACTTGCAGTGGATACTCAAAGTGACAGTACTCCACCACTGTGTTAGGAGAGACAAAGCAGTTGGAGGGTAAACAGGAATGCATGATACAACCAAATCCAGTGTCTGAAAACTTCTGCTTTTTGGCACTAGGTTCTATTTCTGTAAAAGTGTTAAAGCAGTCCTTCACTAATCCAAGCTCACTTTGAAGTTTGGTGTCGAAACAGAAATGATGAATATACTCCTTTGTTGTGCCAATGTGGATAAATCTAGAAGCATTCATCAAGAGTAAGCTAATATCTGTCCCTTTCAAGAGCTCAAATATCTGTAACCTAGTGGGGACAAGATTTGGAGTCAAATGTGTAACATTTTTTGTGTTGTGAACATAGTCACTAGTAGCCTGAGGACCTAATGCTTGCAAAAAATCACCATACGCATCAATTTCACACGTCAGAGGACAGTTTTCTTTATAGAAATGTAAAAGTTTCCTAGCTACATCCATTCCAAAAAAGAAAGCACTGTCAGTGTATGACATATCTCCCTTCACGGCTACCTCCTCTGGGAAGGTCAGGTTACTGAGCACTGCACCCTGCTCATACATCTGGGTAATTCTGGGCTTTTGTAGGACCCTCAAGCACCTCATTCCCCGGACATGTTTCTTAGGATCCAGGTTTTTCTCATTCTCCACTACGTAGACTCCATGTTTGGTTCCTATCTGTACTGGGGACGGGTGAGCTAGAGCAGTAAATCCATTGTAACAGAACGACCAGTACTTAGAATCTTCAGAGGAACCAAGGTCATACACTAGGATGTCATCAGCACAAGCCACAAACACGCCGGGTGGCATATTGGGAAGGAATGGCATGTACATAGCTAATTTAAGGTCTAACATTTGGTAGATAGGGTCTCCATGAGGAATAGGAGAGAATATTTTGCCCAGGCAGCTAGCACTAGGCATCCTTTTGCTCTGTCCTCCTGCATGAATCAATAAGATCTTCTTCCCAAACATCTCCTGACCTAAACGAAGATTTAAAAAGGCCAAAACCACCAAGGTGGATCCACCATTACCTGTCATCAAACAATAGATAAGTCAAATTAACAGAAATTTTTAAGATTATACTCTCTAAAATGAAAATGAAAAAAAAATTCAATAAAAGATAGGAAAACTTGGTTATAAGGAATCTATAACATAGATTCTTTATATTCATATTTGACACAAGAACTACAGCTACTCATCATACTACCCGGGTACAGGTGTGCTTTATAATGCATGTTTGTATACTTTCGAATATGTTAAAAATGTGCATAAATACATCACCTGATTAGTGATATGTTACAAACATACCTATTTTTGGTCCGGTGGGGTCAGCTACAACATAAATTGGGAGATTCAAGGGAAGCTCTTTTCTGTTTCTTTTACTTTCAATCTGAAGTTCAAACACATGCTTCTGTGCATAGTCTGCAGTTGTAATTACAACAACATCCCAAAACACACAGTTGTCTGTATTTTTGTCCTTTCCTTAAAAAAATTAATGAATTTAAAATTATCAAAATGAACTACATTGCTTCTTTGTGATGTTGATAAAAGAGATTCAAGAGTAATTTAACGTCATTTTTGATTTTTATTTTATACAGGTGACCTAGCTACATTCGTGTATTAACATTTGAACATTTTCAGCTTCTTCTCTGAAACCACTGAACCAATTTCAACCAATTTTGGATTACAGCATCTATGAGTGAAGGGGAACAAAAATTGTGAATTTCATGGTCCCTGTCCCCCTGGGGCCTTGGGGGTGGGGTAAAACAGCAAAAAAATCTTCTTCTTTATTGGACATCAAGAGACAAACTGTTGGTATGATTGTAATCAGCATTGAGTCCTCTACCAAAATTGTGATAAATGTGTGTGCTAGGGTGCTTATTGATAATATAGTGAAAATGCATTATTTCTTTGAAAATCTTCTTCTCTGCTCCTGGGTATCAAATTAACAAGAAACACATAGTTATGATGAGCAAGAGTGCCTTTTTCAGATTTGTGAATTTTATGGCCCCAGGGTCAAATGGTGCTAGGGCGGGGCTCTACTGATTATATAGTGAAAATGCATTAATTCTTTGAAAATCTTCTCTGCTCCTGGGCATTGAATAAACTAAGTACATTGTTATGATGACCAGGAGTGCCTCTTCCTAAATTGTGAATTTCATGGCCCCAGGGTCAGGGGTTCTGGTGTAGGGCGGGGCTCTATTGATTAGATAGTAAAAATGCATCAATTCTTTGAAAATCTTCTTCTCTGATCCTGGGTATTAAATAAACTAACTAAGTACATTGTTATGATGACCAAGAGTGCCTCTTCCAAAATTGTAAAATTTCATGGCCCCAGGGTCAGGGGTTCTGGTACTAGGGTGGGGCTCTATTGATTATATATAGAAAATGCATTAATTCTTTGAAAATCTTCTTCTCTGCTCCTGGGTATTAAATAAACCAACTAAGTACATAGTTATGATGAAAAAAAATTGTGAATTTCATGGCCCCAGGGCCAGGGGTTCTGGTGCTAAGGCGGGGCTCTATTGATTATATAGTGAAAAGGCATTTATTCTTTGAAAATCTTCTTCTTATTCCTGTGTATTAAATAAACTAACTAAGTACATAGTTATGATGAGTAAGAGTGCCTCTTTCAAAATTGTGAATTTTAAGGCCCCAGGGTCAGGGGTTCTGGTGTTAGGGTGGGGCTCTATTGGTTATACATTGTATTGTGAAAATGCATTGATTCTTTAAAAATCTTCTTCTCTGCTTCAAGGTATTAAATAAATATCATAAAGTACATAGTTATGATGAGCAAGAATGGCACCTCATTCAATTTTGCGAATTTTTATGTCCCCTGTGTCAGGGGTTTTGCCATTTGCTTTGGGGGGGGGCTTTTGATTATATAGTGAAAATGCATGAATTCTTTGAAAATCTTTTCCTTTGCTCCAGGGTATTAAATTATGCCAATGATCTAAGTATATATATTTTTTTTTGATGAAAAAAGGTGTATCTAGCAAAACAGTTAATTCCATGCCCCCTGGGTCACGGGTATAGGGGGGGGGGGTACATAGTCTGAAAATAAATTAATGCTTTGAAATCTGCTTTTTGGTATTAATCAACCATTTATGATGAAATAAAATTTATGATAAAATTTCCAAAATTTTGAAATAAATGGCCCCAGGGTAAGTGGTTCCTTTGGGGTGAGGTGCATAAATGGTTATAAAGTGGAAGTGCATTTTCTCTTTGTTACTCTGATCTACGTCTGGGTATTAAGTAACTAGAGTAAGCATGGTAAGTGTATAATTATGATAAGCTTTAGAACATAACCTACTTATTCAGCCAATCAAATGCTTCCATTTCTTGCGAAGAATTGATTCTTCATGGTATAGAATTCTTCTATTTCTGAAAAATTCAACGTTATCTGATTGGTTCACTTGACAGTTATATGGGTGTGTCTTCATTGGTCTTTGTTCAGCACACAAAAAGAAACTATTCAAAACCCACGTGCTGTTTACAATGATATTTAAACTTTCTAGGCCTTGCTACACTTTTTTTCCCACTGTAATCTTTTGTCGCCATTTTGAATATTATTTTTTTCACATTTTGGTACATACAGAAAATACAACCATCGTCATGTATATCAGAGACGAACCTTGTCTTTGAAGACAGATTTAATCACAATTTTTATCTAATTTTTATTTGATATTAGACAGCGATACACTCCTGCTGACTAGGGCCTTGTCATCTTAACACAATCATTTTTTTAAAATATAGATATTTTGATTCTTGTTACATGGGTATTCATTAGTTCAGTAACTTAAATATTTTCACCATACCATTTTCCCCAGAAAATCAAGCTATTTCATTTAATCCCGTGCTAACCTGAATGGGTTGGGACATTCTAAAACCGCGTGTGTTCGATATTGGTTGCGTCTCGATATGTACAACGATCGGTCAAAGCCTTATATATGACACAGTCGTGGGAGGAGTTTATATTTTAATCCATTCATTTGAGTGACTCAGGTCAACTAAGATCATAAAGAGAAAGCACGAAACTCATTAGGTGTATAAATTTCTCTTCAGGGATGATCTTACTAATCGAACATAACCTATATTTAGCCAATCAAATGCTTCCTTTTTTCGCGAAGAATTGATTCTTCATGGTGAAGAATTCTTCTATTTCTGAAAAATTCAACGGTGTCTGATTGGTTCACTTGATAGTTAGATGGGTATGTCTTCATTGGTCTTTGTTCAACGCACAAAAAGAAACTATTCAAAACTATTCAAAACCCATGCTGTTTACAATGATATTTAAACTTTCTAGGCCTTGCTACACTTTTCTTTCCAACTGTAACCTTTTTAAATATTTTTTTTTCACATTTCGGTACATACAGAAAATACAACCATCGTCTTGTGTATCAGAGACGAACCTTGTCTTTGAAGTCAGATTTAATTACAATTTTCATCAAATTTTTATTTGATATTAGACAGCCATACCCACTCCTGCTGACTAGGGCCTTGTCATCTTAACACAATCATTTTTCAAAAATATAGATATTACGATTCTCGTTACATGGGTATTCATTAGTTCAGTAACTTTAATATCTTCGCCATACCATTTCCTCAGTAAATCACGCTATTTCCAGGCACGTAGCATCGTTTTTTGAAAGTGGGGGGGGGGGGGACCAGAGAAAAAAAAATTTTTTACTTACCTGTAAAAGTTGACCAGCAAAAAAAAAAGGAAATTGCCCAAACTCGAAAATCCTATTTCGTGGAGTGGGGGGGGGGGCAACTTCCTTTCAATTCCACTTTTTTTTTTTTTTTTGGCACACAATACTACATTTTCTTGGTATCACTTTACTGTGGTAAAAAGATGGGGTTGGGGGGACCAACCTTTCAATGCCTATAGACATTTTCAATAGTAAAGGTTTTGTTGGGAAACAAAGTAGCGGGGTCAGCCCCTCCCCCTATTGCTACGTGCATGATTTCGTATAATCCCGTGCTAACCTAAATGGGTTGGGAGTCCATTCTGAAACCGCGTGTGTTCGATATTGATTGCGTGCTTGATATGTACAATGAGCGGTCAAGTTGAGCCTTATATATGACACAGCCGTGGGAGGAGTTTATTTTTAATCCATTCATTTGACTGGCTGACAGTCAGTAAGATCATATGAAGAGAAATCTTCATCACGAAGAATTTATAGCCCATTATTACATGAAGATATATGATCTTACTATTACATAGTGCCTCTTTAAAAATTATGAATTTCATGGCCTCTGGTTTAAAACACGAAATAAATTCAATTGTTAAAAGTTGTTACATGACCCTCAGGTGACCTATAAGGCCCGTGGGCCTCTTGTTATTTTATACAAGTACATTGGAGATTTTGTAGAAATCATGGTGATCAATTGACAGAATTATAGTAAAACAGCAAAGAAACATTAAATTTTGAAAGCACAATAAATGTGTGGGAGTGCTTATTTTTATCAGAAACAAAAAGAACACGAGTGACTTTAATGGTTTACCTCTAATTTTTTCATAATCAGAAAATACTTTCTTCATAAACTGTGTAATGCCTGTATCCTCAGGAATCATGGGTATGGGTACTTTATTAATATTGTCAGCTACAAAAGTAATGAAAATGATTTCAGTTAGTGGTTATTTATTAGAAAAACTAGGGAAACTTTTAATCTTAAAAAAAATATTTCATGTTGCAGAATTAATTTACACCTTTTCATTCAAATGTGCAACAACATTTGTTTTTCTGTAATCCTACTTTTAAAAAGGTATTTTCATTTTTGATAGAAATTATCAGGCCCTTGGGCCAAAGCTTTCACTAAAGACAGATTGCTTCATATTGCAAGATGTTTTTCAACTTTGAACCCTGCCAAATCCCAAACCCATACCATAAATCTGGAAATATTTGCTGTAGATAAATTTTTAGCAAATTTGCAAGTTCATTGCATTCGCAAAATTATTTTTCTTAAAAATAAATTACCAATAAGAAAATGTAAACAAAGCAGTGGTCATTCGCAAAATTTTGAAACGTAAAAATTAATCAACACCATTTTGACCCGAATTCACAAAATAAAATCGACGTAAAAATTTCCAGATTTACGGTATCACCTTGACCCTTTTTATTTGATCTGTGGTCACCTTTTTTAACACAGTGTACAAGTATACAGGGAGATTCAAGGGAATCTTTTTAGCTTTATTCCTATATTGGATTCCAGTGGGCTGGGGCCATGAACTTCTCAATTTTTTTTTATGTTTTCCATGTATATGCCACATTAAAAATGTTAAAATGGATTGGCCATTTCATTAAAGAACCTGGACATACTAAAAGTTTGTGAATTACTTAACAAACAAACACCATGGTAAGTGGTCACCTGTGAAAAAAAACCATGAAACTCATTAGGTGTGTATATGGGAACCAAAAAGAATTTTCTGAAGTTTGTGGTCAATGAATAAGCATCATAAAAAATAAAATGGAGTATCTATCTCAGACTCTCTTTATAAGACATATAGAGAATATTTTAATTGGCTTCCTACACTCCTACTTTCCCAGTCCACAGGAGTCAGCAATATATCATTAAAGTGAAATTAAATGATAAAAACACTTAAAGCAAAAGCAGGCATGTGAAACCAGAGACCTATATACTAACGGGATAGCCAACTACCGCAAGTCTCGCGATATCTCATAAGTCAACTTTAATTAATTATATCTCTACAGCTATCTCATATTTGAGATAATATCCTTTAATTATCTGTCAAAAAATCATTCAAGATTTGTTTTTAGCATGCATTATACTCCTTATCTTTGTAGTAATTTTGTTTTATGTAAAATCAGCACATTCCCCGATCGGCCATATTTCTGAGAAATCGCCGATTCCGGTGTTTGTTTTATATATATTTAAATCATATTATTATTATGCTTTAAAATTTATCAATAAATCAATTCCTATACATAAAAGAAATAAATGATATTAATCAGAAAACACCCTGTTTACTGGGAGTAAACGTAGTTTGAAAAACTTGCAGTGTTGTGTGTGATGTTTTGGGTAAATAAACATGGTGATGAAGGAGTTGCCTATCCCGTTAGTATGTAGGTGCCTGGTGAAACTCATTGGTAACATTTACGTGTAGCGAGCTTGCGAACTGACTGGTCAAATTTGCCTGTTTTATATCTGAATATCATTTTTTTCACCAGAAACATAAATAACATATGTATGTCTCCACTTAATTGGCCCAGTCCCATAACAAGGGCAAGCATCGTAAAAATTCTACTATCATATTCTTATCAGTTTTCAAATTACGTGGCTAAATAAATTTGCTCAAATTATGATTCCTTCCTGTCTTAACAAAATCAGCCAAACGTATTTTTAAATATTTTTTTTTCATTGATTTCAAAAAGTTTTAACAGTCACTGAGTCAGACGGCTTCAACAATTCTGAGTTCATAACTTGAGGAAAATAAATTGATTTTTGTTAATTAATAAAATAAGTACAGTTCTTTTCCTCATCTTTCTTCTCCATGACAATACGACGTGTACAACAGCCCTACAAACGACACCTCGCCCGGGTCGCCGTGGCACCTGTCAATGTTTCCAACTGTTCCGAATTTCTTCCTCCACTTCCGGGTCGTTGAAGCGGATAATTCGAACCAAAGCATATTCTTACATCCTGCAAGTTCTAAAAATGATTTTTTTTTTTATTTTTAATGGTTCGTAGCATAATTTCATCCCGATTTTCGGTCTTTTGTCCGTCAGTCCGTCCGTTTTAGCTGTCTGTAGTTCTGTCTGTATGACAAATGCTATAACTCGATTCCCACTCGATGTCTCAGCCTTTGAGCTGTAACTCCCTATGGCCTGTCGATTTTGAAGTCAAAAGGTCAAGGTCATCAATTCATTTTTTTGGGGGGTCTGTTTAACACTCTCGATTCGTTTCTCAAAAAGCCTTTGAGCTTTTGCAATGAAATTTTATATCCTGACTCCCTACGGTCTAAGTAATTAAGGCTCCTCAGTATTTATTTTGACTTTGAGATCAAAAAGGTCAAATGTCAATACCGTAGATTCATACATTCTGCATGTTCTGTGAGTGTGTAAATTTTTCACTTCCGGGCGATACTTCTAGAGGCTTAATTAGACTGCGTTTTCAAAATTAAATTTTATACTGACGGTATTTCCCTATGGTCCCTTAATTCCCCTTCTTAAGGACAGACGAGACGTTCCTCAATAATAGAAATTTTTTTCCAAGATTTTATTGAAGAATTACTACTTTACATGTTTACTCACAAAAAAAATCAAGGTACCTTACCGGGCGTTTTTGTGAGATACCAGAGGATGGAATTTCTTATATAATCCTTTAGGAAAAATACTTAGTTTGTCCAAATTACATTACTAGTGTTTCAAATTTTTAAAAACAATTAAAACCCGGTTTAGAAAACAGAAAGTGATAAGGATTTTGTATATTTTTCAAAAATTATGAAGATGTACAAAACAGATATTTGGGGAACATATCGTCTGACCTTAAAGTGACCCCTTGAAATGGCTGTTATCTTGGAAAAATACCCCATTTATTGGATGGCATTTTACGTTATATATGTTTCCTCTCTATATTGCCAAATTTTACTCACAGACATACAAAAGTTTTTGGTAATCTTTTAAAAATTGCCTGTTTGCCCTTGCATATGATTATTTGGTTTATTCATTCTGAAATTTCCTCAATCTTTCAACTTCTTAAAGTTGATTGACGTCTTCAGTTTGAATCAATAATTTTGACATCCATATTGACTCTTAAGTGTTTGGTATTGTCAGCATTCCACTTTTAAAGAAATTTTAACCTTTCAGTTCTTTGCCATTACATACCTCTTGAACTGTTAGTATTACATCTTCGCTAGCCAAGAGTTTCCGATCCGAAATCTACTCTACAAGTAGAGTAGATTTCGGATCGGAAACCCTTGGCTAGCGAATATGATAGTACTTGGGCTTTCATATTCCATAGGTATATTCCTTGTTACTAGACCTTCCCTTGGATACTAATAATTTTGATCTTTAGACCCTGACCTTGGAGTAAATTCAAAACTTGCATTTGGGAAACATCAACAATCGCCATGAGCTGTCATACGGGGGGGGGGGGGGGGTATCAGTGTTTCACAAACACATATCTTGCTCTTTATTTCAGAATCTGTAATAATAATTTTTTACAATATTATGCATCCCCCCGTGAAGTTTATTTTTAAAAGCATCGATTTTTCGAAAGATGCCTTAACAACCCCCCCCCCTATTTTTACAAGCATGTACTCTAACATTTGACAGTCTCTTAAACCGTTATAAAGTATTCTGGCATTTATTCCGACTGATTTCTTTTCAATGACGGAGCTGTCTGTGGACAATACGTTTAAATGTCCTTGCAGAGTTAACATTGATCAATTATTAAATATTTAAAGTCCAACTATTTCTCAATCATAACAACGTGTATTGCGTTTTGTTTATGTTGAAGGTCAATAGAAACCTATGTTCCGGTGAGTTTACTTGTGAGACTTGGTCCATGCTAGTGTTTATATATTGGTTTTAGCTACTACTCTCGGCTTTCCATAAGTTTCTGAGTGTTTCAGAAGATGGCTAACGTACAGATCTACCCCGCGGATTCTTCCAATCCGACGGATTCTGTTATGGATCCACCCCCGGTCTACACCGCCAATGATGTAGCTCAAAACGGTAGGTACATTGTAGCTAGTGCTCAGCGCATTTTTGACGATGGCACTAGAATTTCAAGGAAAACACATTAGCCAATATGTTGTACTTAAGTTAATGTCTGTTAATTAGGATTCGATTGATTACATACAGGAATTCAGCCAATACATCGGTTTTGCTGAAACGGAAGATTTGTGAATTGCTTTCGGGTAAAAGTATAATGCACTGTACATGCACCTTTGAATGTGAGAACAAAAGGATCATATAATATACATTGTATAATATACATAAACAAAGTCGTTTGTACCCGAACTTCACAATATGACCTCCATATTAATGAATTTTGAAATATCTGAAATTCGATTACACAATTTTCTCGATTTTCTTTTAGACTTAATTCTACTCGTAAATATTTTATTCATTTTTGTTTGATATACTATAAATATCAAAATATGCCTAATACTTGATTTGTCTTAACTTTCAAATAATTCTTTCAGATCCGCCACCATCCTATGATTCTCTCTTTGGAAAGTTTAAACAGGCAAAGGCAGAATCGACAGGAAATGTGGACTTTGCCAGAAAATGTTGTTCAATATGCACCGGTTCAGGTGAGTGTGTGACACAAGGTCTCCATTCCGTGTGTCCGAAAAGTTTATAAATCTGCTCGCTTAGAATTGTTCAGATTGAGATTTAAAAATAAACCTACGCCATTTCTATTCATACCCATGCAAAGCTCCTAAAACTAAAAAAGTATCATTGGCATACATTAAAATTGCATGTCGGTTTTGACTTAAGTTTAATTTTCTTGTGTATTCTTCAAGTATTTATAAGCATTTTGGATGGTACTTTTTGCTTCAACACGAACATACCATATAATGCATTTACATTATTTTTGCAATAATACGAAAAAAAGAACAGTATTTAATTTTTTTTCTCTTTATTTATTACATGTAATTTTAAAGGGCTACAATTTAATGCTTTTATTGCAAGAATTAATCAAGTAAATTACAGCTGCCTTTGTGTGCTTCTAGTACTTTGATTAAGGTCAGACGACACGTTCCTCAAAAATATATAATTTTTCCTGAGAATTTGTCATTGAAGTATAGGTTCTAAAACAAGCTTCCTCACAAAAAATTAGGGTACCTTACCAGGCATTTGGCCAAGATACCATAGGGTCATATTTCTTATATAACCCTTATGGGTAATCTTCTGAATGACCTATATCACAACTTTTTGATGTACATCTTTTTAAAAACATTTTGAGAACAATGTAGAAATTAGAAGAGAACAACAAATAAGAATATTTTTTATATAATACCACGAGATACAAAACATAAACTTGAGGATCGTGTCGTCTGACCTTAAGAATACGTATTTGTGTGAAGTCCTTATTCACTCTTTACTTTTTTTTCAGTGATATTCATTGTGATTTTAGCCCTATTGTTGGGATATCCTATAGCTATGATTGTAATGGGTGAGTATTAATCTTAGAATGTAAGATTTATTTTAAAATTTCGAAAGAGGTGTTTAAACCTGTATGGGTGTGAAATTTTGGGGGAGGGAGCTCGAGGATAGAGAGGAAACAGGAATGGTACATACCTAGCTGGGTGATTTTTGTGGCGATCACTAAGCATCACCTGTAATTTACCTTACAGGTGCGATATACCTAGACGACTGCCCCGCCCAGAGACTGATTCCAATATACCTAATAGTGGACGGCGTCTTCACCTGTATCTCCATCTTGTACGGGTTACTGAAAAGTGCCCTAAAGGACAAAGAGAAGGAGGGAGAGGGAGATGGAAAGAACAAAGACAAGCCAAAGTCTAAAGGAAGGAAGGCCGGCGACTGCCTAGAGTCCCTCATCAACACATTCCTCTTCGCATGGTTCATTTGTGGTATGTTACGATGCTTCATGATAACTCTATATCTTGAGGGCACCGTTTCTGTCTAAGGCTTCTAAAAACAAAAAAGGCCAAGAAAATAGGAAAACTTTAAATCTAACGCTTAACATGCTATCAGTATGAATGATCAGTATCTTCCAGATGGAGGATTTAAGTCTGATCTTAATATTTATATTTCTTGGATCCCAGTGCAAATTACGTCACATCTGTTACACAAACAAGGACAACCCCCACCTCCACCTCCCAAAACGCTCATACACAATAGATAGCGCGTTATAAGTTCTGTCTTCCAGTTGCGTTGCGAGGGAATAATGACACCGACTTGTGTAGGCATTTTGCCTGGAATAAATTAATGTAAAGAAATGAAGGTTTCAAAGATAACAGATTATTTTACTTGGGACAATTAAAACAAAGGGGGATTTTATGTTTCAGTCTTTCGAAAGCTGCTGTTTCAGTGAATTTCTGTTCCAATCTTTGAATTTCTGTTCCAATCTTTCAATAAACATCTTAACTGTTCTCTAACATTTTCCCCCGAGAAATGTTTATGCTTGATAGAAGTCTACGATAATTGCTAAAATTTAATATGCATGTAATTTGATTTTTTTTTATTTTTCTAGATTTTATTTGCTGCTTTCCTTCTACAATAAAAGTCAAAGTACTACGAGTACTGACAGATCCTTTTCTATAGTTATTCCCTACTGATATGCAAACGTTATTGAGTACATACAATATCAATTTATATGTTTGTTGTCAAGGCGATTTTCTAGTTACTTTTCTGAAATCAACCCTGACCATGTTGTTAGTTACACATACGAATGTACCAGTTCACCGTGTTGAGTGTACATACATAACAAACCTTTTATTTTTCCTTATGAAAAATTCATTTTTGTTTCTAAATTCATTTTTATTTAGAGGTCGGAAACCGCTCCAAACTTGTTCTCGAGATAGATTTTCCCTGTAATTCCGGGACGCCTCTACATTTTTCATTGTTAGAAATCGGCACTTCTGTTGCTCTTGATTTCTGTACTTTGTATAAAGGACGTTTTGGGTTTACTGCATGTTTTATACGGCAAGTTCAATCATTTTGAAGCTAGATCTCACCCGACACCGGTAGGAAAATGTAGATATTAATTTAAATCAAGTGTAAACTGAGGCACCTCCTCAAATCCAAGATGGCGAATGGCGCACTTTTACTCTTTTTATATACAGTAATAAATATCACATTATTTTATCACTTGCTAATTTCAGCGAATTTTTATTTTTATTTCAATGAGGGTATTCAGGCACATCTAGAAAAACACAAACGCGAGCATATTAAATTAAATAATTTTTTAAACAGATTTCAATGCTGCCTTAAATACCTGTATGCTTATTCCTTTAACCTTGATATCAAGTATACTTTTTTACTAACATAATAATATTTGCTTTGATATTTTTACAGGGAATGTCTTTACGTACAATTTGGACTGGGTTTCCTCTCCCGTAACGGCCAAGAACTATTGCGACCCCACCATTTATTATTTCTGTTTCTGGACCATCACCGTGACATATATATTGGTCGGAGTGATTGTTCTGGTAGCTTGCTGCATATGTGTCTGTGCATGTGTTGCTGCCTCAAAAAAATAACATGCAATTGACGGTTTCGTCGATGTAGTAATATTGTACAAATATGTAAACAATTATGGGACGAAATTGGGGGAGGGGGGTATAGTAAAGGGGCAAGGATGAGAGAAAGGGTGGAAAAGTGAGATAATGGCGGGGGAGGGGTTAGTGGAGGGATACCGCAGAAAGAAAGGGAAAGGAAGAATGTATCCCATGTTTATCTCCAATTGTATCTTTGTTGACTGAATTATAAGTCATCAAATTTTGTACTCTGCAATTTGTGCAGAACGGAAATAACGAACGTTTTCTCAGCAATTAATTGTTATTCCTTTTAGTTGTTGAATATTTTATATACATGTATATAGTACAGCTTCTGTTTACGATCAACATCATGTGATCTGCTTATGAGATTTTAAAATAATATATATTGTTTATATTTTGCAAGTAGAAACAAAAATATAAGCAGGAAATGGTAGTGATCTTTCGGTTTATCTGTATATACCGGTATGCAAAGAGACTAGTAGAGTAAATTTCTGTTATTATATTTCGGGTCAAATGAAGACAAACAAAGGTCAGATTCAATTATTGATTTGAAAATATATTGGTCACAAATCAAAAGTAGTGAACATTCCATTTTACACATTAAGTCCACTAGTTTCAGGTTGATTTTCTCTGTTTTCATTTGTTACAAATACTCATGATTAAGGACATCGCCTCAAACCACGCAGTCCAGAGTCTGCTCAGCGCACTCTCCGGATATGGAGGGGCTCGTACATCTAGACCGTGGTTTGTGACGATAAACCACGGGTGTGTGCTGTGATATATACAATTAAGTGGACTGTTTGGAGAGATTTCCTTTTTTTTGTTATTATTGGTATTAATAAAACATTTATTTTACATTACCAGTTTTTCTTTTGTTTTATTAAAATTGAGGAAGTGTACATTTTTTAAGGAATTAACCAATGATTAGTAGAGAGCCTCAGAGACAAGGATAGCCGGTATTTGGACGGTTATTAAAACATTTTTGTCAATAACTTAATTAGAATAGAATTAACAATGTTTTTCCATGCTTATGTGAACACGATATATCCTACTGAGCCTGAAATAACAGATACAAATCAGTCTGACACACCTGTTTCATATTTTGATATTTTACTAGAAAAAGTCGCCCGCGTGGTACAGTGCCAGAGTCGCGGATCGAGTAAGGAGTGGATGTTGACGTCGCAGGTTCGAATCTCACCGTGGGATGTGGAGACCGTTCTTTCTGATGAGACCGTTTAAACAGACGTCCTTGTTGCAATAGGTGCTGTGACAAAAAAGATCCTTTACTGCTCACTTGCCCCGAGTACCGAACGTAGGTATTAGGGCTGGGCAATAATATCGATGTTTCAATATATTGCAATACAATGACAGAAAGTATTGTATCGCAATACGATTTTCTAATATCGATATATTGGCAATATGCTAAGATTAAGGAATTTTGTCATTAAATATGAAAATGGACTTATGGAAGTTTGTTATTAAGCCAAACACTAACTAAGACAGAAGTTGTTTTGTGGGAACATTTCAGAGCATAACTTAAATGAAATCAACAAGATTTTTTTCCGTGTTGGTCACTTATCATAGTTATGTACATACTGCATGTAAATTAAAGTAAATAAAGTAAGAAAATGCCATTTAAATTTCATTGAAAATATTGCAATACATATCGCAATACAGTTAAAAATATCGCAATATATCGCAATACGAAATCTCGGGCCAATACCCAGCCCTAGTAGGTATAAAAAATTGCAGCTCTTCACTGTCAAGTGATGCGGTCTCCAACTCTCCATATGAGTGAACAATTTCGAGAGGGACTTACCACATACATACCAAAACTAGAAAAGACATTAATGGTAATCTAACAAACATAGCTTTATGATAAATGTGATAACTTTAACTTCAGACAATCATCAAGTTATCCTTCCCTTACATTTTCCTATCACTTGCATACGGGCTTTATATTTCTCGGTTGATTTGATACGCACCTGATCCCACCACTGATGTGTTAGAAGCCCGTGTTCGCCCCGCTCCTGATTTATATTGTTTAATGGACTTTTGAGCTTGAATAGTGTTTCAAATTAAACAATATCAGGACCGTAGGATGACAGGGGAGGGGTTTCTCTGTTTAGAGTTTTGCTGTAGTTTTAATATGGAATTTTTCAATAGACGCTGACCCCCTTCAAATTTTTGCACAAGAGTATCTATGCGTGAAGGATACAAAAAATATGAACAACATTCCCTACCATCCTGGAACCTGAAAGGGGGGAATAAAATTATCAAAATTAGTGCAATCTTTGAAAAAATATTTTCCTTTGCTCCTTAGTATCACTCAGTTGAATGTTGGATGTTGGCATAATTATAAGAATAGAGTCCTATACCAAAGTATACATATTCATGGCTCAAGGATGAGGGGTACTGGTGGTATGGCGGGCTCAAATGACCATACAGTGAAAATGCACAAATTCTTTAAAAATATTCTTTGTCCTTTCTTACTACTCAGTAATCAGATAGTCGCCCGGATGACACAGTGGTTGAAGTGTCTGCTAAATTAGAGTCGCAAAGTTAGGAACTGGCCTGATCATTACGTCATGGGTTCGAATCCAATGTGGGATGATGAGACTGGTTCTTCGGTTGAGACTGCAAAATCGAGGTCCAGTGTGTCAGTACATGTAGGTGCTCACACCAAAAAAAATCCCTCACTGCTCAGTGGCCCTGAGTACCAAGTTATGGCACGCCAAATTCACAAAAATGAGCTAAACGTAGTTTCACAGTTGATAAACTAAGTTTATCGACTGTAAACTATAGTTTACAAACCGTGAACTATAGTTAACAATTCGTTAACTATAGTTTTCTTCTGTAAAGTAAAGATTTCTTTTACTTTGTGTTTATGCTAGGTTATAATCGTTGATTAGGGCATTTGTACTAGTATCCTCGTATTTCTTAATTGCCAGTTTTCACTGTGGAAACTGCATGTGTAAACCATTAAGGTTTGAAGCTTGAGTCAGTGAGATGACATGTTTGTTTATGCACTGAAATTATCTTGGATGCTAAAACGGTGGTGCTTATTGTTTTTATGAGGTTTATGTGTTCTTTTTAGTTAGTATGTCATGTTGCCTTTCTGACTTGGATTCATTTTCTTATTTATAACATATTAGCACAACTGAGGATACAACATACCCCTAAAGTAGGTCACAAGGACTTGCCTTCTTCTAGCTTGGTTTATAGCATTTCCCATTTTGGATAATATATATTTCCACTGTAAGGTTTGGATATTGGACCTTGTTTTAAGTAGGATCAAGGGGATATTGTATTTATTTATCACGTTATAGGTCACAATGACCTGTTTATTATGCCATCTGAGATACTATCATAGCAAGGCCTTATTGATCATTGACAGTTGATACATTTGAGGACATTAGGTTTTATGCTTTAGCTGCATTCATTAAATTGGTTTCCTAATGATGGCAGTTTATAATATGCTTACCCATATGTTTAATTTGTTCATATGACATTTCAGAGGTCAGTGTAACAGTCAAATTGTTACTAAGGTCACTGTGACCTTCAGAAATACATGTTTATGAAGAAACAGTCCTCGTATTTTGATTTACTTTGAACTAGAGGCCAATTTCATTTGTTAAACAAGTATCAATGTTGTTTGTTTTATGTCCCTTCAAGAATATTTCACTCATATTGAGACACCACCACTTGCTGGTGTACAGCTGAAAATTTTTATCTGCACTCGGCATTCAGCGCCACTGAGCAGTGATAGCTGATCTTTTTGTTCCAGCACCTACTGCAACATGGGACCTATATTCATACAGTCTCATTCTTTACATCCCACTTTGGGATTTGAACATGTTTCTTATAAAGATATATGGATGCATGTATTGAAAATGTATAGTGGTTTAATGCACTCCCTTAAAACTCCCCAGTGCTAGCCAGTACTGGGATGGTGGGAGAGGTTGTGAGACTTGCAGTGCTACCCAGTATTGGGATGGTGGGAGGGGTTGTGAGACTTGCAGTGCTACCCAGTATTGGGATGGTGGGAGGGGTTGTGAGACTTGCAGTGCTACCCAGTATTGGGAGATGGTGGGAGGGGTTGTGAGACTTGCAGTGCTAGCCAGTATTGGGATGGTGGGATGGGTTGTGAGACTTGCAGTGCTAGCCAGTATTGGGATGGTGGGAGGGGTTGTGAGACTTGCAGTGCTAGCCAGTATTGGGATGGTGGGAGGGGTTGTGAGACTTGCAGTGCTAGCCAGTATTGGGATGGTGGGAGGGTTGTGAGACTTGCAGTGCTACCCAGTATTGGGATGGTGGGAGGGGTTGTGAGACTTGCAGTGCTAGCCAGTATTGGGATGGTGGGAGGGGTTGTGAGACTTGCAGTGCTAGCCAGTATTGGGATGGTGGGAGGGGTTGTGAGACTTGCAGTGCTAGCCAGTATTGGGATGGTGGGAGGGGTTGTGAGACTTGCAGTGCTAGCCAGTATTGGGATGGTGGGAGGGGTTGTGAGACTTGCAGTGCTAGCCAGTATTGGGATGGTGGGAGGGGTTGTGAGACTTGCAGTGCTAGGTGGGAGGGGTTGTGAGACTTGCAGTGCTAGCCAGTATTGGGATGGTGGGAGGGGTTGTGAGACTTGCAGTGCTAGCCAGTATTGGGATGGTGGGAGGGGTTGTGAGACTTGCAGTGCTACCCAGTATTGGGATAGTGGGAGGGTTGTGAGAGGATGTGAGGTACAATGTAACAGCATCATTTTGGAAAGGACATGGGGCTTTGCTTCCTGCCACATTAAGGAACTACACCAGTACATGTCATTGAAAAAAGTCAAGTAGCTGCCTGTTGAGCATTTGTTTTGTGCATCTGTTGCAATAATGGGTAGGGGTCTTGCATTTGGGGAAGCTAATTAAGTGTTAATATTACAGATTTCTATGAGTAATTGTTGGAGTATTGCATATACATGTACCTTAAAACTATTAGTCATGATTATATAAGGCTGATTTCTTTGAGGACTGTTAGGTACATTTGCTATGGGATTATGTTGTATATTCTGGTTTTTTGGAAATGTAACGTAGTAGTTTCCCCAAATTTTTTTAATTGCCAGTTTCCAATTTGACAATTGTGTAAACCATTAAGGTTTGAAGCCTGAGTCAGTGAGATGACATGTTTATGCACTGAAATTTTCTTGGATACTGAAACGGTGTGTGCTTATTAATTGTTTTACAGGATTTATGTGTTCTTGAAAATTTTTAGTCAGCATTAATTATGTTGTCTTTCTGACATGGGTTCATACTCCTTATTCATACCATATCAAAGTGAGTAACAGACCCCTAAAGTAGGTCACAAGGACTTACCAATTTCTACAATTGGTTACAGAATGACCTATCACACTTTAGAATACATGTACATGTATGCTTATACCTATGAATAATGTGTAATTTGTTCAAATTTGATATTTTGAAGGTGGGTTATAGGCATTCCTTTTTTTTCATGCAGAATAAAGAATTTGACCAATCGGCTGGTAGATACAATATGAGAATGTGGGGTATAATATGTATGTAGCGCAGCCAATATGGAGGGGAGGGTTGTAAGGGGATGTGGGTACAATATTATGTAGCACAAACAATATGGATGGAGGGTTGTAAGGGAATGTGGGATACAATATGAAGCACAGCTAATATGGAGGGGAGGGTTGTGATGTACAATGTATGGTATGTAGCACAGCCAATATGGAGGAAGGGTTGTGAGGAGATGTGGGGAACAATATGTATGTAGCAGTGTCGGCCAATATAGAGGGAGGATTGTGAGGGGATGTGGGGTACAATATGTATGTAACACAGCCAATATGGAGGAAGGGTTGTGAGGAGATGTGGGGTACAATATGTATGTAGCAGTGTCGGCCAATATAAAGGGAGGGTTGTGAGGAGATGTGGGGTACAATATGTATGTAACACAGCCAATATAAAGGGAGGGTTGTGAGGAGATGTGGGGTACAATATGTATGTAACACAGCCAATATGGAGGGAGGGTTGTGAGGGGATGTGGGGTACAATATGTATGTAACACAGACAATATGGAGGGAGGGTTGTGAGGAGATGTGGGGTACAATATGTATGTAACACAGCCAATATGGAGGAAGGGTTGTGAGGACATGTGGGGTACAATATGTATGTAGCAGTGTCGGCCAATATAAAGGGAGGGCTGTGAGGAGATGTGGGGTACAATATGTATGTAACACAGCCAATATAAAGGGAGGGTTGTGAGGAGATGTGGGGTACAATATGTATGTAGCAGTGTCGGCCAATATAAAGTGAGGATTGTGAGGGGATGTGGGGTACAATATGTATGTAACACAGCCAATATGGATGAAGGGTTGTGAGGACATGTGGGGTACAATATGTATGTAGCAGTGTCGGCCAATATAAAGGGAGGGTTGTGAGGAGATGTGGGGTACAATATGTATGTAACACAGCCAATATGGAGGAAGGGTTGTGAGGAGATGTGGGGTACAATATGTATGTAGCAGTGTCGGCCAATATAAAGGGAGGGCTGTGAGGGGATGTTGGGTACAATATGTATGTAACACAGCCAATTTGGAGGGAGGGTTGTGAGGTACAATATGTATGTAGCACAGGCAATATTGAGGGAAGGTTATGAGGGGATGTGGGGTATAATATGTATGTAGCAGTGTCAGTCATCATGTAGGGAGGGTTTTGAGAGGTATAATACCTACAGCAGCTCTTTAATGCTCAAGGGTGGGAGCTCGTTAATGATTAGCAAACTTTCTTGTTAGCAAAAATTAATTGAAATATGTATTGCACATTTTTGAAGCTAAGTTTGATTTATTTGACTAACTCTGTATTTTAAATAATAAATTTTTAATGTTCTTTCCAATAAGGCATTACACATTATGATAGAATTTAAAAGGGCTAGCATTTATTTTGTATATAATTTGTGATATTTAAAATGTGTAATTTATGTTTTTAATATGCATATTTACATAATTTCTGTGCATCATGTCAGAAGGATCTTTATCAAGTACTTTTGAAAAAGGGATTCTTGTGTGGTTTTTGAAATATCAAATGAAAATTCAAAGTATATTTGAATAACTAGGAGAAGAAATGATAAACTAGCTGAGTTTGATAAACTGGGGCAATTGAAAATATCTCTTAATTCTGCTTCTTAAAAACTATAGAACAAAGAATTGATATAAAATTTTGAAACAATGAAAGACTAACAGAAATTTCTGAAGTTAATAACTATGGAGTGGAGTTTTAAAATGTATTAAAATAAAGAAGGTTTCCTAAACAAAGTATAAACTTGATAGCATCAAAAATCTTTGAGAAAAAATGGTAAAAAGTGATTTCTCACTCTTATAAATGATCAATATTTTTTGATGATGGTATCATTTTGTATCTTCAACATATGTGAAAATAAGAATTTTTAAAATCTTTTAGTGTTTGTTATATATTGTTATATTGTGTTCTTCAATCTATCAAAATGTCATTAATTTTAAATATGATAAGAAGAATCCGGCCCTTATTATTATTATGTAGCTTTTGTAGAATGAAAAAAAATTGGCAGTATATTGTGTATAATTATTAATTATGGTTAACTGTAAGATAATGTAATTTTCAATAATGTACAGTATTATGTTTATAAACTATGTGATATAGTAAAATAGGATATCATATTTTTTATTTGTTAAGTTTTTCTAATATATTTTCTTGGATAACTTCTTCGTTCAAAAGGCAGTTTGAGCACCAACCCCCAACCCCCTTAAAAAAGATATTGGCTCTGCATGTATTGGTCTGTCGGTATCAAATAGAAATCCACCTAATACATTAATTAACACCTGAGGCTGACAGACATCTTATGGAGTAGATGGCCTCTCTCATAACTCTGTCCCAAATTGCTCGATCATACCCAAAACACATGTTGACCAAGATATGCATATGATAAATCTGTATACCAAATTTCATTTCAGTATGTTTAACCTCTGCAAAGAAAATGAAAGGAAACTGAAAGTACTGTATAATCCCTATTAACCACACCTGCCCCTACAAGCGCCCCCTTAGGTATTGTTCATTTGTCAGGAAATAAGGGCCCCCTGTAGAGTGATTAGAATCAACAAGAATCGTATCCAAAAATTGAAGAAAGTGAAAATGAAACTTGTTTCTTATCCAATTTCTCAGTGGAAAATGAATAACTTAGCATAATTTTGGTAGATTATCTTCACTTTAAGTAAATTTAGACAGTACAATGTATTAAAGTGGTGTCTTGTACGTATTTATTTTTATTTTCAGAAGATTTTTTGAAGTTGAAATATGACATTAAATATCGTAAGGAGAATACCAAAATAACCGCCCCCTTTTTGCAATTTTCTAACCGCCCGGGGCGGTTAATAGGGATTATACGATAATTGGAATTTTTCCAAGTCCAAGGGGCCAAAAATGGCTCGACTGTACCAAAAACAAAATTTGACTTAGATGTTCTTATGATAAATCTGTTTCACAGGGTGACAATTACTTGTTTTTATTTTATTTAGTATAATTATATAGAACAGCTGTTATAGTAAGTTAATGTAGTAGGTAAGACAGCTGTTACAGTAGTAAATTCCGTTCTCATTCATTCATACCTGGTCATTCATTGTCATCGTGTTTGTATTGTATTCTTGTTTGTCCCGTGTTCAGTGTCACGTGAGTATTTGGTTGACACATGATTGTCTTGTGGTCTACAATGAAGCGCATTGAAGTGGTAAAATTTTCCGTTTGGATGGAACGTTTTGAGCTATCGTTAGACACGCCCAATTCTTTAGAAAGTCAAAATCGGCCAGATGATTCAATCGAATACCTGTAGAACATGTTTTCCATAAATGTAATAGCCAATCAAATTGACGGTCTATATAAACACCGAGTAAGCACGTGTTCCACTGATCCATGTGCTATGCTAACTCCAATAAGCATAATAAAATCATAATTATGTACAAAATCGCTGCAATGCATGTTTTACAGAAGCGGAGACTCTATATATAGCTCTTTCTCATTTAAAAATCTTCTTTTCAGTGTAATTCATGTTGTTTGTCGCGGAAAGTGGAGTGTCCTATAACATTACGACGAATATTTCTTTCTCGTTTCTAAAGAAATGGGCGTGTCGTTATGTTATAATTGACGTTCAAAACATGACTCAGAACGTTTCATCCAAATGGAAAATTTTACCACTTCAATGAGCTTAATTGTATCATTATCCTGGGTCTGAGTTATGTATGGGGTGTGGTAGTTATGTAAGCATGTGTGAGTCCTGGTATAAATACTTATCCAAGGACTATTCCTTTTTAATCTTGGCGATACATTTAAAAGTTGGAGGTTCTCCTGCAAGAAATCTATGTTAGCAGTTGATCTAAGAAATTCCTTACAAAATCTTAGTGCCTTGCCATGACTGTAAGAATAAATTAATATTAATACTGATTTTAAACTATTGAAATTAAATAAATATTGTGTGTGAATTTGTACGAGTGTGTCATTTCCATTTCAGGTCACCTTCATTTATATTTCATTTATACCTCATTTATTTCATTGTTCCTGCAAATTGTCAATAATAAAATGAAATATTTGAACCTACATTGAGAAATTGTGTTATCATTTCCTAAGAATTGGAAGACCCCATGACATCTGTAAACCAAGTTTCATTTCAGTATGTGCAACCGTTGTGAATAAAATGAATGG